CAAAGTATTTTCTTTGACAATGACAGAGAGGGGATGTCGCAGGAAGAGGGAAATCACTTTCCCCTTTTTCAGATTATTCTAACAAATGGCCAACAGTTTCTGCACGGTCTCACTGCCACTAAGCTGGCCAAGAAGCTGCAGCAGCCGGGATGTGGTGACAGCCCAGCTGCAGTGGCCAGGAGCGTGATGGCAGCTGATTTCCACTGCTCCGCCTGGGCTGAGCTCTGCCTGAGCTGCCAGCATGCTCCCAGGTCCCTGCATTTGGGGGTCTGCAGCATCAAAGCAGCTTTATGTTGTCAGTCTGTAAGACAGCAACAGATCTATAGGTGAAGGGACCGCAGGCTTCATGGGCCCACGGGCAGTGACGCTGAGGAAATAACGTGCTGCAGGCAGCACTATGCTTAGCTCTGCCTGTCAGCTTCAATTTCAGGTCTTTAATTTCCTGTGGCTGCGAATGATGGTGAAAGGCTGTGTTATCATTTTAAGACTTTGCCTTACAGTATGTGGGTTTTTTTGGAATGAAGATCGTAATTTTTTTATATCCATCCTTAGAATCTTGATCTGCTGCTGCTCCTTGACTAAAGTCTTCAGAAACTTTCCTAGAATAAAAATACTGATTTTTATTAAGATTTTTTTTTTAATATACTTAAGGGGATTTGAAGAAAATCTGAAGAAAATCACTTGTCGTCTTCTAATCCAAAAATGTTGGCAGCCATTGCGTTTTATCTCTAAAACTCACTATTAAAGAAAATAAATAGGAATTGGGTTGGGCCTGTCATATTTGATTGTACTGGGCATATGCATGTAGCTATTTAGATGAGGTGTGTTTGTATTTGTTCTCTTTCTCCTTGCTGTCTGCTAAACACTGGCTTATGTAAAACGGAGAAAATGGAATCTTACATCTGTTGTGAAATGAAAGCCAGTGGCCAAAATACTGGAGTGTTTTAAACTCTCCTCCACCACCAGAAAGGGCAAAATGGATTTCTGATGATCCTTTGTTTTTCTCTGGAATTTTTACATGAATAACAACTACTCTGTCTTAACATTAAAAACAAAAACAAAAACAAAAACAACACAAACAAAAAACAAACAAAAAAACAAAACAAACAAACAAACAAAAAACAAAAAAAAACACAAACAAAACCCAAACCAAATAAAAACCCCCAACCCCCCCCCCAAAAAACCCCAAACAAAGTATTGACACTGAGTAAGCCATGCTAGAAATGATTCATGTGCTTCCACTTCAGTATAACTATTGTTGCATCCTGACCTACACTTCCCATTTAAATTTGAACTCTCCTAGCTGCATCATGGTACAAATCATCCCTCTGTCTTGTGTAAGATCTTAGAAACAAAAAGATATTCCAGTGAAATTGAAATGCATTATTATCAGTGGTGACAGAGCCAACACCCTTACCTAATCCTTTCATATACTTGGGAGGGTTTGCTGAGAATCACAGCCTGTACTTGATTAGCTGTTTTCTGGGCAGGAGAAGATGAAAGTGAGAAACTGTCTTGTAAAATCACATGGAAACACATGTCCCCAAAAGAAAATTTAAGGCAACAAGGATTTTCAAAGTGTAAACAAAAGTGTGAATCATTGCCAATGGGTGTTAAGCTTCATGACTGCTTTTTACTTCTGTTTGCATAGCTCCACTTTCAGGCTGACTCTAGGTGACTAGGTATAATCTCTTGAAACCCTACATTTCTCTCCTGTAGATAGGGCTTCATATCAGAGCATTGCTGATCTAGTGTTTAATATGAAAAATATTTAGCAGTAGTGATAAAACTGCCTAGCTCTTGCTGCAGTAGTAATATTTGAATTCATATATATTTTTGTACCAGTTTTATACAGGTTGGAATTCATCCTGCAGGATCAGGGAATTGACACAGAATGGGTCGAAGCTCTACAGACACTGAGCAGTGGATGTTTGCCCAATGCTTTCAACTACAAACACACACACAAAAAAATACGAAAGTAGGTATGTTCATTTAATGCTACAGGAAAGAAAGTAGCTTTTCAAACAGCTTTTCTTACAAAATGCTGAAAAACCTGCAGGCTGCAGAAGGCAGATGGCTTAATAATTGACCCTGTCTCTCTGTTGCATTGAATCCTGATATCCTGGACTCTGTATCCTTTACATCACCCTTTTCTCTACTGCTAAACACCTTGATCTGAAGCCTGAAAAACAAAAAGGTAAAAGAAGCCTTGTGAAAAGCAGAAAAGAGAGAAATAGTTTCTCAGTGAAACAATCAGAATCAGTTTATTTTTCCCTGACATTCCACCAATTGTGATTTTAGACCCCAGTTCTCTCTTGATGAGGTGGGATGAGACTCACATGATGCAAACGGGGGGGGGGGGGGGATGCTATCACATGTGTTTTCAGTGCGATTTTTTAAAAAAAGGTATGAATAAAATCGCTCACTACTGCCATTGGTGGGAGGCACTGATGTACCTAGTAATCCATCAGTGCTCATGGGTGTGGCAAGTCTGTGAGAAGCTGACAGGGCTGGGAGATGTGGGGTGTTGGTTGAGGCTGCCGACTGTGATGCTGGAAGCCTGGGACTGTTTGAGAGTCTGCCTGCACCGGGACTGGGCAATATCTTCTGCTGCAGTGGGGTCACACTTTTTGGGAGTGATCAAGCCCGAGTGAGTTACACAATGGTGGGCATTGATAACAGCTGCACGTTGCCCTCCGTGTGCTCAGCGAAGAAGCTTCTTTGTTACAGAAAAATCCACTTCAGAAACCTTGGAGAGAATTCTGTAGTGAGTCTTAGAGGCTGAGTCCCTGAGCCTGTGAAACCTAATGCTTTGCTACAGGTTTTAGTCAACTCAGTGTTTATTCAGAAAAAGGCATAAATCCAGTGGCCCTTAAAATGAACCTAATTTTTACTAGGACTTAAGGTCAAGTCTCGGTTAGCTCATACTTCTGGAAACGTCACAGTCAGAGTTTGCACGTACATTCCCCCATCCACACGGTATTAATCATACTCCTGCCATCTCAGGGTGCTGGAGTATCTCTGCATCTCCCAAGCACAAAATCTTTTTCTTTCTCTTCCGATTCTCCAAGTCCACACATTACGGACTGACCCCCACAGCTATACCTTGCAAATTTATCACCTTCCTTTCTATGGCATTTTCCTGAACACTGTGGCTCTAGAGCAGGCTGTAATATAATACTTGGCAGATCCACACTCCCTGTAAAACAAAACTTTGTTTACTCTTGTTACTGGAAAAGCTTTTAAATGTGACCACTCAAGAGTAACAAAGTAGAAGGCAAGCAAAACAGTATGTCATATCTGCTATCTAAAATCACTTCTCTTCAAGTCATACTGAATTTTTGCACTGGACAACTTTTGAAGTTTTGGGGGCAAAATGCTGACTACATGTGGAAAATGATTTCCACATCAGCAAATCTGTGGTGTTTATTTCCACCGCATATATCTTGACACCCCTTCTAATACTGGTGACAGATGAAGGCCATTGCTGAGTCTCTAGGAATGCCTTGTGCTAGGGTGATGAGATTAAAAGTGAAAAAAGGATGTGGGCTGTAAGGAGCCTCTTCCCCTTCTTAACACGCACCACACAGCGATGCTACCTGCATCTGGTCGTGGCTGTCAGTGCAGATGGTGTGTCACCTTGGGTAACCTGGCAGGGCCCATTTGATAGCAGGATGCTCTGTCTGGGTCAGGTTCTACAACAGAGGATGTGTCTGAGTCTGATGGCACGAACCAGCGTCTGGACTGCAGCCTGTGTCCCCCTACATGCAACATAAATTGCAAGGATTCAGAGAAATTGGGACCCTTCGCAGTGAATAGACTAAAATATTTTACTTAAGATCTCCAACACAAGCAATCACAAGTAAATGAAGAACAAAACAAGGCACAAAGAATGACAGTAAAAGCTGGTGGCAGTGGCATGTTCAATGCAAGTACAAGGAGGTGTTTAACCACGGACTGGGTAATGGGGCTGCGGAGCTCCCAGCTGCGGGCTGTTATGGATGCTGATGCTTTAGACTGGGTCTCTGTAGCCAGGATCACCAATTCTGAGCAGAGTCCTGCGTACTTTCACTAAAATAATCTTAATCTACATAGGGTAATTAGATATTCGATAATACTAAATTATCTGTGGAGAGGTGTGCTCATTTCTTACTAATGGACATCATCACCTTTTTCTCATGTTCTTATTTCTGATCAGTCTGACTAAGACCCATCTGTCCACCTTCAGCTTTTTGACATACTTCTTGTGGTTTGAGCTCAGAGGCCAACTGAGCACCACACAGCTGCTCACTCCCCCTTCCCCCCCAGTGCTGAGAAGAAAATAAGTCATAGTTAGGATTCAAGATAGGACAGGGAGGGACAAATCACCAATTATGGTCACGGGCAAAAGACAGACTTCTTAGGGGAAGAAAAAAGGAACATAGATTTATTACAGACACTAACAACAACACTTAAGAGAGTGGGACAGTGAGAAGCACCGCCACATTTTGAGAACATCTTCCCCCCAACCCTCCCTTTTCCCGGGCTCAGCTTTGGCTGCCGTAGCCCCCTCCGCTGCTACCAAAAAAACCCCACCACTCACTCAAACCCAGGGCAATACTTTGTGAAGCTGCTACCTTTATTTAAATTTTAAATGACTTCTAATGGTCTCTTGTACCATGCAATCTACCAAGGACTACCGAAGCAATTAAATTATCGTCACTAGAGCCTGTTTTAGTCTTGTACCAAGGGGTTGGAAATCCGTCTCTGTAGGCAATGTCAGGGAGGTTGCTCTGGACAACCTGTGGCAAAAAACCCCACCGCAGCCGCCATGCCGTGGGCCTCCCCGCCTCACCCGCGCGTGGGCGGGGCCGCGGCGGCCGCGGGGGCGCGGCGGAGGGGCGCGCGCCCAGCGGCGCGGCCGGCGCTGCCCTCTCGCGGCCGCGCGCCGGCAGCGGCCGTTACTTCGCAACCGTCGCCCCTGCGCCGGCGTTCGCCCCCGCCTCAAACCGCCCCCGCGCTCCCCGCGTCTCACGGCCGCGGCGGGGTGCCGTGGCCGCCGGGCGTTTCCCTCGTGGCCTCGAGAGGGAAGGCGCTGCCTGAGGACGCTCCTGGCGGGGTGGGGGAAAAAACACCCGGGTTTTTGCCAAGGTGCTTCCAGTATGAGGAAAGCATTTGTGAAATAGTGACGGAGCCTGTTTTTTCCCCTCTCAAGAGTGAAAAAGAGTTCATCTATCTTGGATCCCACATCGGCATCCAGTGGTGAGGAGGCAGGGCTGGAAGAGGGAACTACCTGTCACTGCAGATTTCTCTGCATGCTTTTTTTTTTGTCTGCCTCTATCATTGCCTCCATCTCTGTGCCTGTCCTGATATCTTTTCTGCATTTTATATGTATGTATTTGTGAGTGGCTGTACTACTCTTTGTGCGGATGTCCGTCCTTGTGTGTATCTGTCATAATAATATTGCGTGTGAATAATCATCTGTGCACTGATAGCCTGTAGAAACTTCCATTTGTCTTAGACATCCTTATACCGCTATGAAGAAACACACCTTTGTGTCTGTCCTGGTTTAGAGAAGCTGATGCCCTGCTCTTTCTTTCTGTGGGCATCTGTCTGTCTCTGCTTTTGTGACAAGGCAGACACTCAGTGCTCTTAGGGAAACCATGTACACACATGCTGGTATCCCCTGTAGCTTTTCCTGCGCTTAAAGGTAATTACTGGTTCAACATTTCTGTATTGAAGGCGTCACAGCAGGGGTGATCTTGCAGTGAAGGTGCTCCATTTTGTTTGTGGTCTCAGCTATACTTCACATACCTTTTACAGATGGAAAATGTCATAGCCAGGTTACCTGTGGTGTAGCTCACAGCCCAAGCATTTGTATGACATTATGTTAACAGGTCAAAAATGAACAAGAGAGCTAGAGCTTGGGCAAGGTCACAGAAACTGGATTTGATTTAATGTACATTTCTATTGGCCTCACCTGTCAGTCACAGAAAGGTAACAGACCTGCTGAACGCCTGCATCACCGTATCCCTCCACAGACACTGTGTGACACTTGGAGCAGTGGGGTGGACTCTCCCCACTGAAAAGTGTGATCAGCAGTATCACCATTCTTGTCCGCTTGTGGGACAGACTGGCTTGAGGGTCTGGTGACTGGAGGGGTGACTTGCCAGCACATGAAAGTTTTCAGCAGGCAGAATAAACCTTTTTTTCCTCCCACTTCCATCCTGGTTATGTCTGCCTTGATTTAAGGAATTTTTAATTGAAATTATGGGAAGGAACAGCTCCTACAGGGAACAAACATTTTCACACATCAAGCGAATTTCAAACCAACCTTCACTGCTGCTGTCCATCACTTAGCTTCTGTCTCCCTCAAGATTTTGTTAGTACCCAAGTGTCAAAAGAGTGTGTTGAAACAGGAGAAGAAACTCAACAGTAGCATTACCTGTAAATTCTCCAGGGAAATATTCTTGTACACTTAGATGCTTCCTCTTGAAACTTGTTTCTGCAATACGCCAAAATAAATTTATATATTTTTAACAGTTGCTTCATTTAAAATCTTACTTATTCCCTCTGTTTCTCTATGTGTCTGTCTCAGTCCTTTGCCCATTCTACCTTGCAAGGTATCCAGATATGTAGAAAAAAATAACATTTTCTCATTCATTGAGAAAATTTCACAGGAAATGTGAATTGTTCAGATATTTATTGATTTAGAAATATGTTCTTTTGGCAGCCACTAGGAAAATAGAGGTTTTAAAATCTTAGAAGATTCAAATATGGGTATCCTCCCACTAAGTATTTAGTATATAAAACTTAAATATATATTTACTAAAGAATACAGTTCAGGTAATTAAAATCGGCTTCCCAGTTTGAAATGAGCACCTGCTTTGTGATGTTAACATATGTTTCTCTGGAAGTTATCAACAGGAAAGAAAAGCCTGGAAAACAGCCACACTGATTGTGCCTGATGGCTTCTGAAGCTGTTTTATGACCAACAGAGATCAGACTTTGATCAATAAATCTGTCTCTGTTTTTACTGTAGGATGAAAAAAGTTTGCAGTGCCAAAGCTGAAAGGCACATTTTTTTCCATTATTCAACATTTTTTTTTTCCTTATTGGTGACAGTAAAGGAATTTTGTAGAGATGCAATACATTTCATAAATTAGTTCCCATTGGCGGTATTGTTGACTCCTGGACAACTAACTGGGCATGTTCTGATATTCCCTTTGTAGAAGATGCTTAATAAACATCAGTGTGGCAGCATGAAAAGAGTAAACATGGTTGCTGAACTGTTTTGTTTCAGTCTGTGGAGGGAAATGAGCCAAAAGAACTTCAGATAGCAGTTAGGGTCTGACTGGTAAGCACTGCTGTGAGACAGTGGTATTTGCCTGACAGCCAAGGAAGAAAGGAAAAAAAATAATCTGATGCAGTATATATTGCTTTTTGGATTGAAGCACAGCATTCAGGCATACATATGGCAAACTAGCTTACTCCTTGGGGATACACCCTCATTTTCTGTGAATTGTTCAGGCTTATGGGTCCCCTAGATCTTCTCTCACTTGTGAAAGATGCTGAAAGATTTTTAAAGAAATATATCCTACAGACATAAAGAAGCAAACTCTAGGAACTGCTCCTGGGAGGAGATGAACATAAATGCAGGAGTAGGGTAGCTGTATCCCGTGCATGTGATCAGCATGAGGTGGCAGAAAGGCAAAGTTTTCTGCCACTGAGCTTATGAGAAGTGTAAATGTAGGAAGAATGTGGCTGCTTGTTTTTCCAGAGATCACCCTCAAGATGCAGATTCTTCCTTAACTAGAGGCAGTAAAATTGACTATTTTACTTTCAGAATTGCTGGCATAGAAACTAAGTAAAGGGATTTAGGGATAAAATTAATTCAGTGATTGTTTTGTCTGGGGCAGAATGATGAAGGGGAAAGAAGCCCTGATTTAGGAGTGCTGGAAATAGGGAATACAAAGAATCAGGGAAGTGTGTGTTTTTCCTTTATTCTTTGTGTCACTTTTTCAAACCAAATATCTGATTGTACAAAAGTGTGCACCCACCACAGTTCTAGAGCAAACAGAAGCCTGAATTTTGTAAAGAGAAGAAAACGCAGAAAAGACCCCTGTGCTCAGCAGGGTCATCTGTTCAAGTTTGATATTCAGAGTCTGTTGAATATGGGGAAATATGCCTTGCTGGGGTGGATTATGGCCTTGTCAGGATCCCCCCACTACAGCTTCAAAATATTCCTTCGGATGAATAGGCAATGGTGAAGACAGTAAGAAATTGGATGGGCCTCAGGAGTGGGATTTAGTCTCCAGTCTTATGTCATTTTAGTGCTATCTCTCCAGGCTGCCAGATGCTGCTCTTGAAAGCTGCAAACCTACGGGGGAGGTGAGCATCAGAACCAAGACCAAACTCCTGGGTTCAACCTGGATCCTGGCGATATGTATGTGCAGACTGTAGCTGGTGACTGTGCATCTATAGATGTTTGTTTTCGTCTGCAGTGGGCTTTGTCTGGTGTCAGGAATGCTTCCTTTGGTGTTATGAGAATTCCACAGACAGTGAGATGTTAAGATAAGAAACAATGAGTCCAGAAGCATAATTTCACAGGAAATTTGTACTCAGGCTGCAAAATGTTTATGTCCCATAATAGGGAAAAGGAAAAATAATCAGCATTTTCATTTTATAGTAGAACTAAACACTCATCAGAAAATATTACGTGCTTGCTTCAATATTATTGCCAGTTTTTCATATTGCCTAGCAGAAATTAAGGGTACAGTTTCAAGGCTGGCTTAAGCCAGTCCTGGCAGTGTGTCACCACAGAGGGGGGGGCAGGTCCTCCCTCCCACACTGCTGCCCACTCCTGTAACAACTGGATGAACAGTTGCTGATGGTGAAGCAAGGGTAGCAAGTACTAGTGTACTGCAGGGATGAAGGGGAGGACAGTGTGTCAGCAGTAGCCTGATTTAAGCTGGTTGTAAAACCCCAGGGTGAGAGTCCATCTCAATAGAGCACCATGCAAAAATCTTGGACAGATTTTGAGCTGACCTGTGTTTTTTGCTGGCTTTTGAATTCTTTTCTGTTTTAGTACTTCGCAGTCCTTGTGTGCCCACTTTGTTACCTCAGACTATTTGGGACAGTGATAAAGAGCAGGACTGTAAGAGCTGTGTCCCTCTGCAAGTGTTAAATTAAGCACTTACCTGTTCTGAGATCTGCAAACAGGAATTATAATGCTGTCTCTGCTTTCCTCTCACTTAATCTTGTTAGGAAATGTGAATGGACACCTTATTTTGGAAACTTGGTTCATCATTTGTGTTAATATAAGCAGGACAAAGTGTCCTTAATTATGACTAGTATTTTTGCGAGTCACCACAATGTAAATGGTAAGTGCTATGCACTGAGTCTGTTACCATAGAAAAGCAAAATGCTGCCTATTATTATGCTGCAGTATTGCATTCACACTCTCACAGTCACTGCTCTGGTTAATCTGCTTTCTATGATTTGATGGTTGTTTATCAGAAACGAGTGCCTCTTTAGGAGATTCTTGGGAATGTTTTTTCCCTTATGTTTCATTCTCTGATTAGGAGAATAAAAAAATACATGCCAGGTAAACCTACACTCCCCATTCCACATTGCATCTCTTCTCACTGCAGCTGATTTACAGGTTGTTAAGTACTAGTGCATTATGGTGTTTCAGCTCCTTGTGTTTAAAATGGCCTCTAGATGTGCTCAGATTTTTTTCAAAATTCCAGCCTCTGAAACATCTCTTAATCTGTGGCATTTTTCTGTTCTTGTTTTTATAATAGCTGTTGTCAATTTGCTTTGCTTTCTGATCTGTGGCAGAGAGGGGTCTGTGTTTCCAGACTGTAATTACATGAAACTATGTTTTATTTTGCTCACTACAAGAAGACATCTCATTTTTTTTGATACTAGGTGGTGTACTTACCTTTGTTTCTTTTGCTTGCTTGGTTTGTAAACTCTTCCACTGAGTTTACACACTGTTACTGTGCACTGGGTTTTGTCCTTGAAAGATAAGTGTTACAAACTTTTCATGGACTACAGAGAAGGAATAATTTAAAAAAAAAAATTAATGATATCAAAGAGACAATGTTATGTGTTTAAACACAAGGACCTATAATTGACTCACCCAATATAAGCAAAGTGTAGTATCTTGTCTTTATTCTTCTGCAAAGATGGATTGTTTTAGAATTTATTACTGACAAATGCATAGGAGATTAACCTGTTTTCTTAATGGTAATCTATAACGATATTATAATCTGCTCTGTGTAATGCTCTTTTACCCAGAGGAAATGAAAACAACTCTGGTATGAAGAAACCCTATTGCAGTGGGTGACATCTAGTTGCCCTCACTGATATTACACAGCCGTTAATGGCAGCATTCACCATTTCGCTCTGCAGGAGTCCCTCCTGAAGACCGTGCGTGTGTGGGCTAGACAATTAGTTTCTGGAAATATGCCATAGCCAAGGACAGAGGGGTAGCGCTTAGATTTTCAGTGTGCTTAGGCAAGGCCCCTCAACGCAATATTTAGTGTTATGACATCAACAGTGTGAAGGTGGTGGAGTATGTCTGTGCATCCAGGTCTTTTTTTTCCCTTTGACTAAAGCTGATTTAGTGGGGGCAGTCAAAGCATCACTGAGAATGTTTTGGAAATCCTCCATGGAGCAGTCTTCTCTGCGCTGCAGCTTAGTGGTAAAGTTTTTGCTACAGCTAGGAATAATAAAACAGCGGGGTGCTGATAGCTGAATGAAAACAACATCTAATTGCCTCTTTCTATGTTACAGACTCCCCTCTTGGCTGATGTGCCTTCTGGAGGGAGGGACATCCATATGCAGCTTGGCCAGGGGCATGGCAGTCATTCTGCAAAGCCAACTTGTTTGTCTTTGCCATATCCCTGAAGCAGGGGTTCTAAGCACTTTTCCAGCTGGGAAACAAATACACAAAGCAATTTTCACTTATTTATTTTTAATGGAGTCTTTTGACTTCCTTGAGGTCAGCATACAAAGTCAACACATTTATGCATTAGCATGACATGATCTAACCTCAGGTCCCCTTCAGAGCTCCTGGTGGATAACCTCAGCAGCTGGAAGATCCTCTCCTTCCCAATTCTGTGTTTCCTGCTTAGTGAGGATAACAGCTAGCAGTTTCAGTTAAGGATGATGTTAATGTCTAAAATATGGCTTACCCAAAAGTCTCTGGAAACAGTGGATGATTACTATTAGCAGAGAAGACAGTATATACATGTTGCGATTCCTTTGTAGTTGAGGAAGACTGTTGGAAATGAGTTAACACTGATGAATGTGCAGATAGGTGAACATGCAGAAATGTGGTAACACATTTACCATGCCACCTGCAGTGTAGTTAGCTTCTTATCTGATTTGCTACTGTTGGGCCTGTGCTTGGGTGGCAAAAGAAGAGAATCCAAAGGCTCTTGGATCTTTTCTTATATGTAATTTAATCAGATGTGCTGATATTTTAATAGATGTAGGCTGGATGAGACTATACAAGTTAACCTGACTGGCTCAGGAACATGTATTATCTCCACCTGGAATAATTCTCATTAGAGTTATTTATCTTCCCTTTTCCCGCCAAATGGCGGTGCAAATTAATGCAACCTGTTAAAGGTCTTATTAACTACAGCTTACATTTATCTCTTATCTAGAGACTTCACCCTGGGACTACACCAGACCTGATGGAAATGCTATCTGGCTATCTCTAGGTCAGGCTGCAAATGATCTTTCATAAGTTTGCTGAACAGGAAAGGATTAAACTATGAATTATATAGAATGGGATGGGTAATAGGGTTGAAAGCCTTTGATCTAGTCCACCAAATTCAATCTAACACTGTTAAAGTTTTATGCGTGGATTGAGAGGGAGTTTTTTATTTTATTTTTTTTTAGAGTCACAGGCAGACAGCTGTTCAACTCCAAATGGAAAAAAATAGTGGGAATTAGCTGTCATTTGGTAACCTCCACCTGGAAGTAATTTTTATCTGAGAATTATTTCTTAGCCCAAATGAATTTAGTTGGAAATCTCAGGGAACTTCTGAGGAGGCATATGCACACTTCACAGAATTATTATCTCAGTGTGCCTGGGTGTTAACAGTCTTGGCAAACACAGTGTTGGTTTTTTTTTCATTCCTCTGTTTGTTTGTCTTATTTAGGAAGAGGTCTACTGTTGGGAGACCTGCATTCCTTCTACATCTGTTAGATAGGGCTTGGGTATTTCCATTTCCCTAACTTTCAATCTAGTATCTCTTATTTTCTAGATAAAGAAAAATAAACATGTGCTTTTGACTTTAATAATTTCTGAACTTGCTGATGGTTTAAAAAGGATAAATTTGACTGTGTCAGCTAATAAGGTGTGTCCAGTATTGCCCAGTTTTAAGCCCACAAGAAATCTTATCACCTTTCATAGGAGAAGCAGGTATGCTCAAGTTATTGCTTAAGCAGCATTTTGTTAATAAAATGTTTTGCTATTCAATCTGCTATTGAACAGTTAGGGCAGGCTAAATTAAATAAAGATAAAATTAGAGGTGGTTGAAGGATACTGGATCTTAGACATGCACATACCTTATAAATTTAGGGTAAATTAAATATCTGCAGAGCTTAGTAAAATAAAAAAGATTGTTGGTATTTCCAAATGTTATGGGGAAATACTGAAACAAGATTTAATTTTTAGTTTGGACTTGTTCCATGATATTGTGCTGTCCAAAAGTAGTTCCGTGTCTACAGACAAAATGCTACTGCAGATCACAGCAACAGAAAGGATGTTAATGGTTGGGAAGACAATACAGTGTAGCCTGTTAATGAAAGCTTGATCTGTACAGAAATTTATTTTGAGCAGATACACGCATATCTAGAAAGCAAGATTAATTTAGAGACCTTTGTCATTAAAGCAGATTTTTGTATGGTTTTGTGTGGGATTTAAGGGGGATTAAATGTTTGACATCACTTTGCCTGCACAGACTATGTTGAAGAGGTTACTGAGCGGGTGGTGGAGAATTCAAATATGCGCCTATGCTGAAAGAGTGGAAGCAATGGATCAGACTGCAGCCTGGCCAAACAAACTGCTGTATCTACTGCGTTTCTAAAAGCAAGGTGCTTCTGGTTTGGCAGCAGATGCCGCAGAGATGTAGAGCTGAAGGAATTTTTAGGATTTGCCAAAATACAAGGGGAACTCATTGAGGACATCAAAACTGGGATGACCCTGTCTTCTGTCTTCAGTGATGCCTTGCTTCACGTGCATCCTTTGTATGCTATGCTGTTTCTAAACAGTAGAAACACTAGTAATAAAAATTCAGCAAGGTGGATTGGCTGATCAGGTGCATTTCTCTTTTGGAAGAGATGGTCCTGGTCATGAAACTTCTGTTCCTCACCTGCCTGTGGCCAACAGCAGTGCTACACAGTTTTCAAAGTCAGCATCACCATTCTCATCATCGGCAACAATTCTCATTCTTAAAAAAGCATAACAGGTAAGCAATACACTCTTTCTGTCTGTACTCATCTGATAAAATTCATGCTGTCAGTAACTGTTCAATGCACTCTTTTTGTTCACTGTCTGGTTTGGCTAGTTTCTGGATTTATAGTATGCATAGTATTGATAGAGTTCTCCCAAAAGAGAAATGGTGAACTATTAATTAACTTTTCGTAACCAGACTTTTCATATTGTGATTTCATTAATGCCTCATATATATGCAGGTATGTACACACTCACAACCCCACACAGCTCTTTTAACTCGTGTGATACCAGACTACTATTGTGATGTACCAAGCATTCTTGCCCTCTCACTCCCATTACAAGAAGTAGAAATGCCCTCCAAAGTTCTATGCCAATATTATAAAGTGATTTCCTCTACCTAAACAGGAGAATAGCTACACTATCAAGATACAAAAGACATTTTAATAGCACTAAATCAAGTGAATTGTACCTTATTTGTAGTGATGATACAGTGTGTTCCCTTTCTGGAATATACTTATGCTTTTAGACATTGAAGATTGTCTCTGTTCTTAGTCTTTCCATTCAAGTAGCTGGTTTAAAATGAACAATTATACAAAAGTTTTTACATGTAAGTTTCTGTCCAAAGTGTTAGTGCTTTTTCCCACAAATGCAATCTCACATCTGCCATGAAAGGTGTTTGAATGTGTTTCCAGATTAATCTAATAGTATGCAATGACTGTCAGTGATAATCCAAAACTCTGTTAGATGGGAGGCAGGAGGAATTGTAATAAGTATCTCTATTTAAGGAAGGAGAAGGCATACAGCTGTTACATTTTTCTGTGTGCTTCACCTCCTATTAAAATGAGCAGGGGAGATCATAGTTTATTCATACAATATCACATATTGAGGAAAAGTAACATAAGTGGACTCCTCTAATGCGTTTAAGCTGTTTTTTCAAGTGACATGCTTTGTAGCAGGTGTACAGCTGTTTACCTTCACTTCTTATGTGATAATCCAGCAGTGACATATGCCTGAATCCCACATGTCTTGGTAAAAGCATGTTTAAGCAACACAAGGCAACTGAACATACCCCAGTGACACAATGGAGCTGCCTGGAGATGCTATATCACTCAGTACCTCTGGATTTCAATTCAAGGTCATAGGTTCCAGTTTGGTCTAAGCCAAAAGCTCATGAAAAGAATGGCATTCAGCAGACTGTTGCAAACTCACTGAGAGTTTTGGAGTGAGTGCTGGTGTACAATTATTTGTAATAACAAAGCAAAGTAAACAGAACTAGCCCTAATATCAACATAAGGTCTAATCTGGTGTTCTGCTAGTGTCAGGAAGCAGTTAAGAATCAAATGGAAACAGAATAAAATATCTTCTTATTGCTGTAGTGGTAAGGAAGGTCTATTTTAAGCTCGGCTGATACACTTTTGTCAGTGGTAAAAGGGAAGCGTATGCTGCTGTTGTTTGCATTTATCCTGTTCTGCAGTAGCTGAGAGGAGTTTCTTCATCACTGACATAAAAAAAAAAAAATCACAAAGTGGGAGAGAAGCCTGGTGGTAGGAGACCGCATATTCTGTATCATCCTGCTGAACATCCTTTGCTGACTTCATGCCACTGGGCAGCAGTAACAGTACTAGCACAGTCAGGGATCTTTACTAATACATACAAACGGATCCATATGACAATCCTGTGAGACAGGCAGAAGTGTGTTAACAGGGAGGAAGAATAGTAACAAGGAGGAATGCCACAACTGCATTCTTAGCTGATGCTGACTGGTATAGCAGTTTTTCTTTATGCAAGGCAATGCTTTGGCCTTCCATGTCTTCATTTCCTAGGTCCTAGTGATTTAGAACTGGAAAGATGACTGCAGGATCGAAGCCACAGAAGATCCCAAAGCTTAACAGCTACAAATCAGCTTTTCTGGGGAAAGGATCCAAATATGTTTAATTTCTCTTTCTTTGATTCTCTGGTTTTGCTCTAAAGGCAGCATTATCCTCCAGTACATTGCAACAGGGTCTGACTTTCCACCAGCCTCTTTTTCTTTCTGGGGAAAAATCTTTCAGCCAGCACTAGGGTTATTAGGGACACAGCTGACAGATGGCCTTGGTTAAATGGGTGGCCTTTTAAAAAGAATCCCATGTGAAAATGTTACTTAACCTACAAGTTCCACTGTTTTAATAGAGTAACCCAATTCTCTCTCCAAAGCTATTTGTCTGCATTCTCTTGCAAAGAAGATTTTAAAGCATTAACCAAAAGTACATGAGAAAGAGATTATTCTCATGGTCCATTTCCTACAGCAAAGTACAAAACATTTGACTGTCAAAATATTAGGCTTTTTGACCGTACATGTTGCTGATGCTACTGAACATTCTAAAGAAATGCATTTTTATGTGAGCATGAGAGAACTGTACAATTTTGATTATTACATTTATCTGGGCTTCAAGATTTGATAAACGTGTTAAAATGTTTAAGAGATCACACTACTGTACAATTCCACAAACTCTCCTGGGAATAAGATTTCTGTAACTTCTACCTTTTGGATGCCTTTGATTTGATGGTAGCTGGAGTATCTTGGGGACATAGCACTGGACGAAGCTTATGGCCATTAAATCTGAGGTATTCTTTTCATAAAAGGGTTCTTCATAGTATTCTTTTCATAAACTTACCTAGTTTAATTTTGAATATGATGAGAATTTTTTTCCCACTACCCTCATACTACAGCAATAAGGGAAGTGTGTTTTCTTGGATACTAAATTAGTTTAACTGAAATCAAAACCTCTCCTAACTATCCTCCCTAAGACGTGAGTTTCAGATTTTTCAAAATCTGTCATGATGAGAATGGTGCTGAAAATGTGCTTATATGTCCCTGAATAAGTAGAGGTGCTTCCAGATTTCACTCCTACCAGGAACTTTTACTGTATCATTAGTTATGCAGGGCATTAAAACAGAAGAACAGCCACACAGGATCTTACCAAAGGTCCATATACTATAGTGATGTGTTTCCAACAAGGTCTGTAAGCACAAGTTTGGAAGAACAAGGACAGGGCAAATAAACAAGATATTTCCCCCTAATATACCCACCCATATCCACTCACAAGATTTCCTTCAGAGACTTCCTGCGTTGGATGTAATTTCTGCAGATTTAGTGACCTTCAGTGGATTTCTTTTCCATGAACTTGTCTGATTCCTCCTTGAACCAGCATAAACTTTTGATAACCTGGTAAGTTAAAGACAACCAGATGGGGTACTAACCACATCAATCCCATTAATGGGCAGTTATGGAACTACACTGATGGCATTATGTGGTTAAATGCTTTAACAAAAAACAATCCAAGTACCCTTGAGCAGACCTTTGACCTTTATTTTCTATTAGGCATTCAGGGTCAGGTACGAGCAGCTAAATTTGTCTTTAAAAGCCTGCCACATACTTGTCCATTGTTAAAGAATTCTGAATTAGTTGCTTTGGTTTTGTAGGCAAAACAGCTCTTGGGAGCAGTGACTAACTGCTTTTTGGGAGCTCTGTCAGATACCAAGGCATCAAGCCATGAGTCCATGTAACAGTATTGGGTAGTGAAGTGTCCAAAGAGTGTACTCTCTTTTTTTCATCCAAAGAGCTAGTGCTGCTATTAACTTCCTATATAAGTACCAGCAGGTGTGTCTTTCCTATGTGATCGGAAACACTTCAAGTGCTTTTTATGATCTCTGTTGGAATTTAATTACAGATTACCATTTCATTTGCATAATGTAAAATGTTGCCTGGAATACAGCTGTGGAAAGCAGAGCTATTATAACTGGAAGCAGTAGTTTCTTGAGCATGTGCCTCACTGAGACCAACAAACTCGTATTTATCATTGCCCAGATCTATGCCAATACCAAGCCATCTGTCAGAGTTCCCTTTATTACTACTATCCCAGGCAGGTGAAGAGTCGTTTCCTTTCCTTATGTGCATGTATCTGCTAGTACCTGCATCTGCTGATGATTTCACAAAAATTTCTTGGTAGAAAGGGTTGTTGAGCATTGGAACAGACGTACCAGGGAAGTTGCTGAGTCACCATCCCTGGAGATATTTAAAAGACATGTAGATGTGGTGCTTAGGAACATTGCTTAGGGCTGGACTTGGCAGTGTTAGGTTAATGGTTGGACTTGATGATCTTAAAGGTCTTTTCCAACCTAAACTATTCGACGATTCTGTTATTCTGTGTGGGCTTTTCCTCTCAAACAACACAGCCTGACATCTGCCATATAATGAATGTGCAGAATCAATGACTGCAATTAGAGTCCTAGATTATGGTGCACTGGCCAAAGCTGTGTGATAATGAGACCAGGGTGCCAGGCCACTGAAATATAATCTGTGTCTTTGCTGTGCTTCTGTGAGAATGAAAAGTGTACCTTGACTGATCTTGGGAAGATCTTCTGAGACCTAGGCTAGTTAGATCCGTCTCTTCTGCTTTTTGATGGAGCTGGTGCCATGGGAAGGAGCACTCAAGAAAACATCTTCTGATGATTTCACAATGCTGTAGTGCTGATCAGTAGTTAGGTATGGGTCTAGGATTTTTTGGGAGTAAACAAATACATACATGCGATTCCCTTTGAATCAGCAGTTAAATAGCTGTAAGGCTGCAGTAAGGACAACTTAGTACTGTAACTCTTAGCCAAAGAGCAACATCTGGAGTCCAGATGCAGATGTTAAAGGAATATCTGCCAGAGAACACTTCTTAGCCTTGGGTGGAGGAAGCAGTCAAGAAGGACAAAAAATATGAAACAGAAGTGTATTACTTTTTAATTGTCTAAGAAATTTTAATGGAATTTTTCTAAGTTTTGCTACCTTTACACATGTAGTGTTACCAGGGTCCATGAAATTAATTCCAAGTACCATGAGCATATATCTCTGTAGGCAAGCCTATTTTCCTTTACAGTAAAAAAATATATTTTGCCAAAGGAAGGTACTGAAGAAAAGATGTAGAATGTTTGCAATGACAGTGCTATTCTGACCCCTGCAAGGTCTTGCCTAGCTTGAACAACCACTTTTGATAGCAGCTGGAAATAATTATAGATACTCTACCATTTGTATATAAAACATGAGCTTGAAGAGTCTGTTCAAGTAAGTGGGCACAAAAGATCTTTTCATATGGGCAGCATTTCTGTTTATTTTGCCCTCATCCAGAAAAACAGATGGAATATCAAAATCCGGTAACATCTCTTCTCAGTTTCTCATAAAGAAAAGAATTCCTGCTCTGGTAATTTACGTTTTGCCTCTCATGACGAGGGAGTCTTCCTCAGTTACATACTTGCTTCCAGTAAGAAGTGGTAATAGATATATCATAGTTTTAGCTTGCTTCTTCCTGTAAAATCATCGGAGCATCAAAAAGCTATTTTCTTTGGCGTATCCAGTGACAAATAACTTAATGCTTCCAAACTGTTAGCTGTGTCATGGCATTCTGAATATAATTTGTCATTTTCCCTTATACTGGTTCCCAAACAGCAGAATTCCCTCGTATACCTATTGCAGAGCATTGCAGGAGTTCAGATCTACTGCCCATTCTACTCTGATACAGGCTTGCTCTGAGGTGATTTTAATTCTCTAAAGCATGGGGTTTCATTTTAGCATCCACATAATTTCCATACTTAGAAAACTAAAGTCTGTATTTGAAATGGCTGATGGGCATTCTGACTGCCTGATAATTTGGTTCAGACAACACTGCCAGAGACATTCAAGAATACTAAGGTAAATTAATTTGTTCAAGCCCAACAGTTCTGAATAGACCAGCAGTCACTTCAGCATTCCTGTAACATAGCATTTTTAAAAGTAATTTCTTGGGCTTTATTATTAAGAAAAAAAAGGGGGGGAAAGAGATTAAAAAAAAAAAGGCAAATACAGATGCATATCTTATCCTAAGGTATTCCATACCTTTTCTTAAGCAGTGTTTGACTACAGGGCAAATCTTCAGAACAGATTTATATCATTCAGTCTAAAGTAATAATTAGAGTTGCTGGCAGCAAAGCCCCAGAGAATCACAGAAGGCATGAAAGAAATCATGTCTAGGGAGAGTCCCTTGCCTGTGGCAAAGCATCTGTATTTAAGTCTTTCTTACAGATATGTCTAACCTGTTCTTATGTAGCCCAAGTAAAAGGAGTCTGTCTCAGAACCTGCCCAAGGAATATGTTCCCATGTTTCACTATTCTCACCATCAGAAAGGTGTTCCTAATGTGTACCATACATACATCTCTAGTTGCCACTGCTTATCCTACTGGGGAGTGAGCATGGAGCAAAGGGCCCTGTAAAAGCTCATGGTGTGTTCTGGAGACTGTGATGTGTTCCCTCAGCCTTCTTCCTCTAAATTAAACTATGCAGGTTCTTAGAATTTTCCCGTACCTTTCCTAAACTGGGGCCCCAAAGCTAGGCATAATTCTGAAGCAAGGTACGGCTAGTTCTGTTATTACTAAAGAAGAACATGAAACAAAGAGTGGAAACTTGAGGAGACATCATAGCATCTTCTTATAGCAGAACCAAATAATGTAATGGATTCTTTCTAAAGCCTGTGTCCCCCAGCAGCCAGATCTGACTGTAGATCCTGTCTGTGTTTTAACACAAAACTTTTATAGTATGGGCATGTACCAGACATCTCTGCTCTCTGTGCTGTGGTTTCTGTTTATAGGAAAAATGGAAAAGGAGTCTGCATTGTGATGGGCTTGTGCTGTTCATTTCAAATGCAGGCCCAGCACATAAGATTTCTGTCTGGAGAGCTCAACTCCATTCTTAAGCATGAAATAAAGAAAGGAAATAAAGAAAGAAGAAATACAGGAATACTTGAAGGCAAGGGGCTTTTTTGTGTTTAGCATATCAATAGGAGAAACTGTTCAAATTGTCTCCTTTTTGGAACTAATTAAAAAAATATTATTGTCATGTTGTGCAGTATGTTCTGTGAAGGGAAGAAAGTTAGAAACAGTCACCAGGAAGAAGCACAGAATTCATGGCATCCTGCTTGGAGCACAGGTTCATCTGTGTTGCCTTGGTGCTATGCAGAGGCTCAGTTATGTGTGGCATGGGGAAAAATGCAGAGACAGGACTCTTGATGCAAAGAAATGCAAAAAAAGTGCTGCATGTCTGAGCTGCAAATAAGAGGATGAGCTAATGAGTAACTTGGCCAAACCTGAGTTATGTCTAAGAGAATCTCAAAAAACAGGTCCCTGGATCCAGGGCCATCAGTTTCTTAATCCTTCTGAAAAATTATTGACTCATTTGAGCTCCTAGGGAAAAGAAAATTATTTATAATAAAAAGTATAGTTGTCTCTGTAATATGTATAAATGTATGAAATGGTTTAAAACCACGGATACATGGTGTTATTTATGAGTTACAAATGGTTATGTGAATAATATTTTTTCAAACATCTATGATCTCTTATATAATGACAGATACAATCTTTGAGGGGAGCATAAGAAGAGCTAAATGTTCTTCCTGGAATTTTTTATGTATAATTGGTATTCCTTGTGGACCTGGGCACCTTCATACCTGATTTTCCTACCTTTTCCAATATATCTTTCTTCAACTTTATTAATACAGTTATTTCCCTTTTCATAACAGATTCAACTGTCCAGTATTCTTGGGTCCCTGCTTCATTTAACTATCATTCTGAATGTCAGGCAGAAAAAAAAAAAAAAAAAGTTTCTTACCTTTTTATTTTTTTCAACACAGTAAACAAGAAATTAAAATGAAGAAACTTGACAACACAAAAATACGGTCACTTAAATCTGAGCAGCTTCTTCGCATAGAGGACCATGACTTTGCACTGAGACCTGGATTTGGAGGTAAGCAGCATACACCTGTACTGTGCTGGTTAATAGTTTATCCTCTCTATGGGAGTTTACTTAAACTCTGTCTAGCAGTGTCACTTAAAATTGAATGACAGACTTAATTGCAGTTCACCTCCTTTGTTGTACTCCAGGAAACAAAGAAAGAAGAAATCCAGAAATACTTGAAGGCAAGGGGCATTTTGTGTTTAGCATATCAATAGGAGAAACTGTTCAAATTGTCTCCTTTTTGGAACTAATAAAAAAAAACCCTCTTATAATAAGATTATTTGAGAACAGTAATTAAGGTATCCCTGTAAACTGCATAGTCTAGTAGCAGTTAGCAAATTACTTAGTCATCAAATTTGTTTTGAGAGATTGAAATGAACCATCAATTCCTAAATCTGTTTGCTCTGCACAAAATTGAAAAACTACCCACAGGCATTAAGTTTATTACCATGTTGTTTTGATGTTGTTGGGTAGTATGGTGATTATTCTTCATTTAACTTCATTTTACATGTGGATAAAGGGATTCAATGGGACACTCACAGTTTGGATTCAGTTTTAACTCTCCTTCATGAAAGGTAAAATGAGAAAGCTGCCGCACTAATAAGCTTTCTCTGAGCCTTTGCGTCATCAGTTCTGTGTTCATGATTCAAGAAAATAGACTGAACTGCTCTGGATTATGAAGCCAGAACAAAATATATGAGGACCAATAATCATCTGTGTAAACAAACATAAATGTGGGAGTCTAGCTGAAGTCTGTGGAGCTATTCTTGTTGACACCAGCTGTTGAGACCTGGGGCCTTGCAAGCATGCTAGGAGGGAGACCTGGGGTAAGAAGAGCCTCTCTGGATGCACTGGGAGAATGTGAAAGGGTTTTTTGTTACCCTAAAAATTCTGTCTTCTCAGCAAAAATCTTGCCTGATTTTGAACAATACTTGAGATTCATCTCTTTCTTGACAACAAAAGTTAGGATTACCTCTTGTCTAATACCTGTCTAGTATCTGTTATTCTGGACATCTTGTTACTACCTGCTTTGCCACACAAGGAATTTAAATTCTGGGGAGTGTCATCTCAGAAAGGAAGTAGCATTTCCATGAAAGCAAACAACAGTTTAGGATGTACTTTATCGCTGGATCATCCCAGAAGGCAATATTTATGGTGTACATAAAAGCAGCTTTCAGAATATACCCTGTGATCTGGCAGTTGTAATTTTCCACAGCCAGTGAGGATTTTTTTACACCCAACAAATCTGTACCAGGCTTTTTCCCCTCGTCCTTTATTTTCAGATGACTAGTCACAGAGCCCATTCAATTCCTATTGAAGCCAGCTGTAGTTTTTCCACTGACTTCATTGCACAAGCCTCTCAATAATCACATTGCCATGGGTATGATTTCAGATATTCTCCTGTCTTTCAGAAATAGCTTTCAGCAGAAGCGTGCATCAGCTTTGCTTCTCTTCTATCATCTATATGCCACAGTGGCACGGGAGGCACTTTTTTCAGTCATGTCCAATAGTTCACACAGTTCCAAATTTTCAGAACTCTCACAATACATGAATACTTATGCGTGAATCTCTCTAAAACTAAAACATAGATCTATTAACATTTTTACAGCAGACAATGAAAAAAGTCTCAGCAAAATTAATGCCAATCCCAAATTTATACTCCATTATTTCTACTTTACCACTGATTTTGGTGATGTTGCAGGAGTAAAGAATGATTTGTGTTTCACAAAGAGGCAGGTTAATAAGACAGCAGCAGAGGGTTAATACACAAGTATGACCTCATCAGAGGACAAAACTCACCAACTGAAACGTGAATCTGAATAATATACCCAGAATTATTGTATAGCAGCAGAGATACAGTATGGGTTTCTCTGAAGAACACTGATGATTAAGTGTGTAGCTGAAGGAAACTTAACTAGGGAAGGTGAAATTGGAGGTACCATTTCTACAGTCATTGCCACTGCAATCATAACATAACCCTGAACTGCAGAAAGACTTACAACACTGTGGCTTAATGTATTTAAAGCAGGTGGAATTTTGGGTTTGTTTTTATCAAATCTAATGAGGCATTTCAATACTGTGATTCATGAAGGGTTTGTATCTGTCACAGCCACAATGCATGACTTATTCAGCTCAGCACAATGCATCAATTCACGAGACTGATGGGAGAAAAAAGAACCAGGTCAAATCAGCTGGGTGAAACCCAAGTATTTTAAAATTATTCTTTACCTTAAGAAGAGGGACGATTTTTTTCCCTCTCCTATATCCCACTGCAATTTTTTGGATATGTTGGGGAGTTGGAATGACAGATTTTGTTAAGCTGGCTCCACTGTGCTCCTTTCTTCGAGAAGGTCAATCATCCTTTTTACCAGTTTGGGAGAAAAAGCAGCTGGAAAAATCATGATGTTTTGAACCTGCTGGAGATCCCTCAGTTCAGGGAACTCTTAAATCTAAATCTGGCTTGTTTGATTTCATTTAGCCCCACACATGCAAAATAAATGAGGCAGACCACAGGACCCAGAGTTTTTTAGTGTTTATAATTGAGTAACAAAGGAAAATGAGAAAAAGTAAATGCTGAATTTGATTTGTAAACTGAGCAAACACGCACAGAAAAAATCTGGGGTAAATGAATATAGAACTGTTGGATACTGATGCTACTGGCTGCAGTGTTACTGAAAATAATTGTGACTTTGCTCACGTGACTGGTTGCATTCTCATGAGAGTAATCATTGCTCTGTGGAGATAAGAGATCCTATTTTTGACCAAATGGACACAACTCTGCTGACATTTATGTGAGTGTATTTTGGCATTCTTCTGTTGATTGCAGTGCCATTCCAACTGCACAATCAGAATTTGACTCTCTGAATGTTGATTTTAAATTTTAGGCCTGACATTGTCCATTTATTAACAGATTAGAGATCAAAGTCTGAGAAGCATATTGTGTCGAGATGAAGCAAAACCAGCAAGCTGCTGGCAAGCTGATTCTACATTTTTGCTATAGAAATGTTACTTTGTCTGCAGTTCATTATACAGTGAGGTTGAGTGAAGCAAACCAATAATACAGTACACACAAATGTTCTTTAAAAAATGAAACTTGTATTGTTACATTGCATTTATTTCCCAAACCAGTCTCTTGGGTCATTGTTTGGGGGGGGGGAGGGGGTGGAGGTGTTGGTTTTATTTTCCTTTCCTAGATATTTTTTTTTGTTTTGTTGTTGTCTTCTATGTAATGTCATGTTCCTCTTTTGTTTGGAAGTCTTCAATAGATGGACCCCCAGTGATGCAAACACATGTGGACCAGCATAGTGATTTAAGTAATTCCACTAGACATTTGACTAGGAGCATGGATGTTTCCTTTGCTCAAACAGCTTTATGAACTACATCAGTGAACATTGTAGGAATTATGTTTAGTCCTTGCTGCTTCCAGAAGCACTGATAAAGGCCAGGAGATGGGTATGTGAGTGGTCCTGGAATGGTATAATAATGCATGCCAGTTCTGGTAAGGCTGTCTGTCTGTACAGGTCTTACCAAAGGAAACAAAAGACTGTCAGTAGGATCAGAATCTTTGTAGCTTATATATCTTCATACTACTATTGTCTAAATTGTAGTTGAAGTCTAAAGTACTTCAACTGATTGTTCAGTATCCTGATAAACTGGTAATCTGTGTGAAGAAGATACCTTAAGTTTGGACTGGAGAAGAAGTAAAAAATTCAGTTGTGTTGCCAGCACTTCTTGTAATGGTCATCCCCCATGTTTTAAACTCGGTGAGAAAGGGTGAGTACAGGCCAGTATCAGACAATGATCAGAGACTTCTAGCAGCTCAGGTATGAGGGCCATAATGCAGGCTGCCTTAGCAGCCAAATCTATGTACATTGAGAGAGGTGTTAAAGCAAATCCTTAGAAATGCTTTCAAGTTACTGTCTTTTCTACTATAAGTCTATCCTATTATTTTCTGAACTGTCTTATTTCAAAATACTGGCAGAAGTCATTGGTGTGAGCTCTTGGCTTCCTGAGTTCTGTCTCCCCTTACTAAAAATTAACATTGACATTAAAAAAGGTCATAGACTAGCATATAGAGGAGGTCATTCTCTTATTCCTCTGTGCCTTCGTTTTCCTGACAGTAAAACCGTTCCATGCACTCTCTGAGCTATTTTGCAATCTAAAGATTATGGAACTACATGATCATTGTCACTGTGTACGTGCAAGTTCTCAATGTGTGTATATATATTGAAGTACGATAACTTTATTTTTCTTTTACATTGTGTCTTAAGGACCTGTAATTTCCCACGCAACCAGTGTGTTAGTTAAGTTTCAAAATGTGTTCTCTCTGTCAACCAATATAGAGGATAATAACTTTATCAAGTATTAGAAATAATGGAAAATAATTTAGTAGTATTTAGCTGGTCAAGAGGTAACAGTCTTTCTATACAATTTGCATCCCAATGTGCAATTAAGAATAATCTTAATTCCAAATTTTCAGAGGATCAGAAAACCCATAAGATCACACCCCCTCATGCTTCCTCCCTCCTCAAGCTAAATTAGTAAAATTTAAATTCATTTGAAAGGGGGGAAAAAAGAAAGAAAATAGGGCTCAAAGAATGTTCAACAAATGCTGCAATTGTAATAGCTCTTTGCCACCAAGTTGTTTAAATAAAATAGAAACAGAACAGTAATGAGAAGAAAATACCATTGCCAATAATTCTCCTGTTTCAGTTATTGTCAGAGGAAGGTAAATACATCCACATAGCTTCACTTCGCTGGCGCTTGTTTACATTTTTATCTGGTTTTATTTCTCCACAGGCCCACAAGCCTTTTTAGAAGAAAATACTCCTATAGACTTTAATCCTTCCCTGGTCTCTGTCTCCTCCTGGGTGCTTTCTGTAGAACTAGCTTTTTTTCCAGCATACACTGTTACAAAGGCAATTGGCTGGTTTTTATTAATTCAACATTTATCTCATGGAATTTTGGGTGCAATCTGCTGCATGTTCAAAGGTCTGGCTATTACAAAAATACTGTAGAATACACTAAACCAGTCTTTATTGCTGTAGAAATTGATCTTAAAATGCTAAAAGGATAACCTTTTTACATAATATCCCTTTTAAAAAGGGTATTATAGAATTTGCCTGCCATACTATCTATTAAAAAAATTCCATGTTCATCAAGGAATTCTTTAGTTGTGTTTAAACCTTTAAAATAAAAGACTGGAAATGGCTTGTGTGAAGATAAACCCATCTGAAACAATTCTATTTTTTCTGCTGAGGAGTAATTATCTTGAAAATCTGTGGGGCTTCCATTGTAAAAATCACTAATCCGTCTAAAATAATATTTTGTAGCAACGCTCCAGAAGCAACTGAAGCTGCTCAATTTAATAACAAAATCCTCTCTGCCATCCCCAGTTTTGTCAAACTGGGAAATAAAAAACACAGCTTTGCTCTGGTTACTTTTTTTGAAAGTGAATTTGATGTTGTTGCCTGATGATCAGCCAGAAATTGAAATTCTCAATATACTAGGGAGAAAGATGTGGTGCAGACATAGAGGTAAGCAAATCGCTTAATTATTCCGGCTGGTTTAGGATCCTTTCCAATGCTTTTTGAAATGCTCTTTTTAAAAAACATCCAATTGTGGTAAAACTAATCCAAGTGATGAAGAAATTACAGCTCCCAGCAACCTATTCCCAATAGTTAATTACTGTTTCTAGAAGAGTTGGTTTTTAATCACAGAAAGAAATGTCCCCAGAAAACTGCAAAGCTCAGAAGGCCTAGACTAAAGTAATACCAGTATGTATCTTATGGGGGTGGTGGTCTTAGTGACAACAATATAAAAGTGCTTCAGATTAGAAAAGTGAACAGCAAACTGAAGTGACCGAGGTTGCATATATGTGCATTGTTTAGTGTCTCTATCATCTACTTACATTTGTTGCCGAAGTAGAGTCAGAATAGGAAGAAAATATTTGCAGCTCCTGTGATCTGCCAATAATAGGTCAGGGCTGGGGTTAGGGGATGTGGTTTAATAATTATCTGTGGTGAATGCTAGACTGAACAGTATTTTCTCATTAAGCAGCATGAGTCTGATCTTTGGCCTTTCCTCAGATAGAGAACAGGAATCTCTTTGTAAGGAGTCTGTTTCACAGTTGTAGCATTTCTACCTAATCAGGAAAAAATTTCATTGTAACAGTTTCCTTTTTATTTAAATCACTTTAGAACTATTCACTGTATTTCTCCTGGCCATAGCTTTTGATATCTTTTATGCTATTCAGTGTCCCCACTGACTTGGTTTTATAACAGTTCCCAACCTGGTGCAAGCTGTCCTTTCAAAGAATCAAGTGTCTCTGTGTGTATTTATGTATAACTGGCATTTCAGCTTGTGTGCATGTAACCAACTTAATCATGAGCTGCCACTAATTTCTAGTTCTGTGATCAGTTACTTTATATCAGCCCAGATAAGGTGAATTATTGAATGAAATTGTGCCCACGCTGGAACAGTGCTTGTTGGGGTAGGAAATTGTCAGTAATTTTTACAAATCCCAATAAAGTATTAGGATTGCCATCACCACGCTTTGAGCAGCTGTCACTAAGAAAAACCTTTTCCTCACTACACATGATATATGGCTTAGAAAGCTAGTCATCCTATTCTGTGACCTGATTTGTGGGCAGCTCCTTGCCTGTTTCAAGACATTTAACTTTGTTTTAGATTTGTCTTTGTCTCAGGAACTGGTAAAGTTGCCGTTTTATGTAGAGAGTTGCTCCCCTCTCCTCCCCTTCCACCCACATAATTCTACATAAATAGGACTATACCCACTGTTTTTAACATGTTAGTCAAGCAAATAATACCCAGAAGTTTTAGTAATAGCAGTTAAGATCAAATGTATGCCCACATATGAGCATTTCCAGTATATCCTACCATGCGCCTCTGACATAGTCCCGGGGTAAGTCTGGGCACACAATATCACAAAGTTGAAGCTTTGTGGTGATAACGTTAGATAATAAACAGTTATTCTGCCTATTTGCAGTCGCTCTAAGCAATGCTGGTAAACCAACAGGCATTCCCAAGTCACAAGCCACCTCACCCCAATCTAGAATATGCCTGTTACACTGCATGGACTTCAGAAGGAGCCAAGGGCTGAGGACAGCTTTCTATGTTCAGTGCTGTTCGCATGTTAGCTTTCGTACTGACTGTGCTCCTAGGCCAGAGCCCTGTGCTTCTACAGCTAGCCTGCTCCCTGAGCCACCCTGCCTTGTGTACAGCTAGCTCAGGCATCAGCTCTGCAACGTAGGCTTGTCCTGTTTCATTGTGCAAATGACCAGCTTGATAGACACCACCTCATCTTTCTGCGGTGTTTGCATTTAAATGATGTGTGTATGCTGTTTGTGAATGATGTTCACATCATGTATAAATCTCGCAGTGGCTTCTACTTAAGCTAAACCTGTGTTTAGTTTACAAGATAGTTTAGACTGCAGTGGAATATTGAGCAGATGACTCCGCTCAGATTACAACCATGCATTTTTGTAACAGTGCTTGGTACAAGTTCAATTTTGCAGAAGTAAACTACTTGTGTAGTGTGGTCAAAACAAAGACAAGAAGTGGTCAAAACTGGTTTAGGAGAGGGATAAAAAATTGTATTGTTTTGTGTGAAGATGCCTGGCTGGATATACATTGATACTCTTGTGCATCAACCTCTAGGGCAGATGTCTCCTGGTGTCTCTATTCTCCAAAAGAAGCAGCATTTTCCCAAGTGCTGTCTAGTATTCTACTAATAAACTAATTGACTAATTGCTGTCTGGAATCCCAAATGTTGTTTTCAGCTTTGGCCAACAGACTGAGCGATGCATTCCTCTCAGAGGGAGACATGATTTCCAAGCCAGGCAGCACAGCTCTTGTCAGTGCTGAAACATGCTCCTGTGTGCCCTGCTAACTCTGAACACATTTTACCTTGCTTTCCCATGCATAATGCATCTTCATCTGTTCTGTGCAGGGTCAAACACTCCATTAAAAAATACAAGTCAAATCACGAGATTACAGAGTGAGATTTTAAAATACCTCAAAAATAGTTCAAGATCTCTACTGGTAAGAACCGGAGGCAGCTATGTAATCCTTGAGAGCTTCTATTTTAAGGATAATTCCAAAAAGAGACATAGTATTGTGGCTGGTTATCAGGAGAGTGATATTGCTGGGCTATTTTGGCTTGAAACAGATAAAAGGAAAAGACAAGAAAAAGATAAAGACAAGTTAAAAGAGCTGTTGCTATGTCCTGCTGTTCAGACTTCATTGTACTCATGTTTTGTACCGGGATATTTTAAATGTGTACTTTAAAATTGTTTTAACTGACTATTTTTAACAAATGCAATTGGAATCCCATGTACAATAATTAGTATTGATTTTCATGCCGAATGTAGAATATTTTTTGGGGGTGGGGTGTGTATACACATATACACACACATCTCTCTCCTCTCCCTCCCCTGTAAGGAATTGATTAACAAATTGCTTTAGTAGAATGACTTGCTTGCTGAAAATTACGTAGGTACATAACTCATATACAACTAGATCCTTCATTCTAGATATTGTACACAGAAGAGACTAGAACTAATTTTATATTTTGCTGTAATTTTTAATTGATTTTTAGTCACTATTGTAAAAATGCAAATATGGTTTTATAATTTGTTCATTCAGATCCCATTGTGTTATAAATTCAGCCTTTTTCAGTGGCATGAAATAATGGGGTAGTGTGTAAAATCAAGTCACCTAGTGTAGCTTGATATGTATTGTACTTGATAGTAAATTATGTACTCAGTAATACACAACACTCCATCACAGAACATGCTTAGTATGTGTACAGCTTTTCTTTTATGAGGTAGGGAGCAAGTTATTCTTTTTTACAAATATCTGTGCCAAACTTTAAAATTTAAGTAACTAAAGATAATTAGGAGGCATAATAAATGTTTTGTTTATAAGAGTGGGAATAAGCATTGGAACTGGTAAGAAAGCTTTGCAGTCTTTGATGTATTTGATATATTTACTCAGCTTTTCCCTATGACAGTTCTAAATAGCACTCCAAGCAGTTCATTAGCTTTGGCACCACAAGGAAGCTGTCACTGCTGGCCAAACTGCAATGCCAGTAACAACTAGTCTGGCTGCAAAAGGATCACTGAAGACTGTGCACTTATTTTTACAACTGTTTAGCATCAGGTTTTACTTTGTTGCCGTGGACTTTCTCATTCAGTGTACTAAGGTGGACAGACCATAGTAAATGCTGGGAGGGGTACTCTGTATGTTGCTAATACACAGTCTTCCCTTTAAAAATACGGACTTACGCTCCTCATCATGCTTTCATTCTGTTACATTGAAGGGTCGCCAATACCTGTGGGCATTGATGTGCAGATAGAAAGCATTGACAGCATATCTGAAGTTGACATGGTAAGTTGGTTAGTAGAACTAGAATAAAGAATTTCAACCAAAAATCAGGGTCTCAGAAACATCCAGCTGGATGATATAGAATAATACAGCTAAAGAAAGAAAACCCTTAAAGAGCACAACCTTGCCTTGAAGCATGCAAGTCAATGTCTTTTAAACTAATAAGTGTTTTACAAAAGCACATGTTGAATTTCAGCTTGGGCAAGAGGAACAGATCAGAGTGGATAGTGCTCTGATTTGAAAATGCCAACCATTCAGTAAGTCCCATGGGCTTCCACATGAGCTCTTAGTGCTCTGCGCATTAGATGTTGAGGCTTCATGCCCTTTGCTTCCTTTGCCTATGCAGGTCTAAATATTCCTATAATTTCTGGCATGGGTGAAGATGTGGTCATAACAAATGGAAATAAAAACATTAGTTCCAGGAATGGTCCTAGGAAGGAAACACCCTCACTGCAGTCAAGGACCTGTATCACTGGAATGCAGGCTATTTATTCTTCAGCTGAAATTGTCACTAATAATGCCATGCAGACATTAGTCCCAAGTTACTCTGTCCTAGAATAGCAAGACATGTTATCTTTGCAAAGATACGTCATTTACAATATCTTTTTACAGTGAGTGTAGCTCTAGTCGTAGGTATTGAGTTTGCAAGGGGATCTGTCAGTATTCCTTTGCAAACGTACCCAAATCATAAAATCTTACTAGAGGGGCATAAAATCATATTACAGGGGAAGACCTAAGTATCTTCCCAGTATTCTTATCAGAAGTAATTGTTCTACTGAGATAAAGGATGTCTGCCTAATAATGCAAAAATTATATAGGTGAGCACAGAGCAGTCAGGCTGTGCAGAAGCTCAGACTGGGTTTGCAGCATGCTCTCCATCTCTAGCCACATGTATATTTGCAGTCATGTTATTTCGCTAAATAGGATGCTAAAATATTTGTAGCAATCTTTCATATTTGAAAAAAAAAAGTAATTTTTTAAATTTTTGTAAAATGTACTTGTTTACTCTTACAAAATTCTACATATTGTTTCTTTATGATGCATTTCATTAATAAATGTACTAACCTAAAACCCCTGTGCAATATTTGTACAAAATGTACAGATGAATGGATTTTACAAATTGACCTAATGATCATGAAGAACTCATTTTAATCCCTTTGTAAAGGCACCACAGTCCATCCTGGGAAAAGCTTGTGAAGACTTCCAGAGGAAACCTTCTTTCATTTGCCTTTGATTGGTTTTAAAGTTTCTTTTATCATTTCACTGATAGCCCAATCCAGCAGATCACTGAAATCTGTACATTTTATCTAAGTATAAATGAAGTATGAACCTCAGACTCAGACTTCAGTGACAAGGCAAACAGCCAATATCTCAGAGGTAGTTCTAATCTATATTTAAACACATGGAATGGCGTTTGATTCCTCTCATTGAGTATCCTCCAGATGATATTCAGAAATTGATCCTTTGCATAAGTTAATTACTTTGTACTGTTTTCTATTGTATGTGAATAAAACAAGTATTATCTTCTTTTGTTTTTAATTAAACAAAGGACTTCACAATGACTTTGTATCTCAGACATTACTGGAAGGATGAGAGACTTTCATTTCATAGTAACAAAAACAAAAGTATGACTTTTGATGGAAGACTGATAAAAAAGATCTGGGTACCTGATGTATTTTTTGTACACTCCAAAAGATCCTTCATCCATGATACAACTGTGGAAAACGTCATGCTCCGAGTATACCCTGATGGCAATGTACTCTTCAGTCTACGGTAAGAACAATACCCTTTTATAAAAAAATACATGACTGCAACTGTGGACCAGTAGTCTCTACAGTGAGCAATTACTGGAATTACTTGCAGTTAAGATTCTGATACCGGACTGAAATTAATCCCCTGGCATCAGATAATGGGAACTGGTGACCAGTGTACCAGTCTGAAAAAAAAATTAGGATTGATAACACATAATATTTTTCTATCATTCACATATTGTTTTCTGTCACAGGATAATGGCAGTTGTTTCATCTGTTGTAAATAGTACTGAAATTTATCAAGTGTTAATTAATCGCCAGTGGTTTTAGCAATATTGCAGTAGTTTTACTGTTGAGTACAGTGAAGCCGAAAATTATTAGCAAAGAACAAATGTGGTTCTTTTTCCCCTGAATCTTTTAAAACTGTCTGTCTCAGCTATTTACACCATGGGATACCTGTAAACATGCCATTGATATTAACTGGGGCTCCAGATAAACAAGGATTATTGGTGCTGATACCAGCAATGTTAGACAGGCATGTTGTGTAACTACAAGGAACTGGAAAGTGAAACAGCAGTTCCAGGACTGGAACAGCAAGGTCATTAAATGTGTTTCCCTTCTACCTACATGTTATTGCTTTTCTTTATGAAGCAGATTTGGATGATGTGGCAGAGGTAGTTTTAATGGAGGAATTTTTCCCTTAAGGCCCTAAGGCCTGTTCATTGCAGAAATCACAGTTCTCCAGTTTGTTACTAATTAAGCCTGTACACAAAGGTGATATTTCACCTAATCTGGGTAGCTTGAAGATTCATGCAAGCACTTGAGATTTTGTCTGTTTAATAATTGTTCCAGCAAGTAATGAGTTTATTTACCCTCCCATGAAAACATGCATAAATTCTCTCAACAACAGCTGTACACCACTTTAAAATAGTGTATGCTCAAGAATCACACTGACCGGTAGGAAACAGTGAGGTGAAGTATGCATTTTATTGTTATATTAATTTTCATGTTTCATGAGAGAGAGAGTGGGATCAGAGGAACTACACTACTATATGAAGGCTTATAGCAGTGAGTCTCAGCGTGAGGGGTAGAACATACATTCAGCTGGGGAAAGGAAGAGTGGCGAAGAGACAAGCTGGGTGAAAACATTCTGTCAGCTTGCTGGAAAGGTAAAGTGCTATCAAGATTAACAGCAAGAAATTGTGCACAAATAGTTATGAACCAAAGGGAACGTGTGATGGGAAGAACAGAAATGGAGAGAAAGGAAGAAGTGAGATGGGAGGGAAGGAAAAGGAGGAAGTAGAGCTGAGGGGCAGACACACTGTGAGTCAATTTGTTATGTTTGCTCATTGCTCAGAGTCCCCTCTGTGATGGAAGCCCTTGCCCCATGTCCTGCATCACATCTGCAACCCGGTGCTCTACTTTTCTTCCTTGCCCTCATCCTCTCTGCTCCCACAGTTATCTTTCCCTAACCCTGCATTACCAGATGGTGTGTACTGGCTGACTCCTGCTTGATCTGACAGGTGAGCTTGCAGCTAGCCTCACCTTCCTGTGCCAACAAATAGCAAAGCCTGAACGTTCCTACCAGCCCTGTGGATTTCCTCCTGGACATAAGCACAAAGGGCAGGTGATGTCCTGTCCTCTTCCTTTCATTCTCTTTCAGTTCTTATCAAACTGAGAGACAGGGAAAGGGGTGACCTAAAGGCTAGCAAACCAAGGTTTTAACATCATTAAGATGAAACAATGTGTTTCTATCCCGAGTGGTGGTAAGGCATATGTTCCTAAAGAATCAGATGTTTGTTAAATCACCCTTTTTGTATTGCCAGTTTTACATGCAGTGGGTAGATTATATTCAAAATACTTACATGCAAGAAATCTGCGTATTCCACAGTTTTTCTTCAGTGCCTATTATCCAGGATTCTATTGAATCAAAGCAGAACAAAAATCCAGATTTGTTGCCAAAATAGTATTCTTTTCAATCAACATTTTCTTGTTCTCCCAATCCTTTAGTCAATAGTTAAAAGACGGAAACAACGTCCATAGTTGGAAGTTTTATGCATGATTTTAAAGATGTACCACTGTTAGAATCTCATTTCAAGCCAGTAAAATCTTAAACTTGTAAAAATTCAACCACAGTGTGATTACCAATTCAAAGATCACTTGTATAACCAGTATATCCCTTACCACTTAAATCCCTGTATGATTCAGTTTGGGGAAAACTGAAAAATCAAACTAAAACATCAAATGACATGCAAGCTATGGTACAAAAGTGAAATTCAGCAATATTTATCATATTTAAATTGCTGCCTCTAGCCTTTATTGGTTAAAATGTCAAGGGACATTTATTTTCTAAACACTTGTGAAAAAGCAGATGGAATGCAAAATAATGTCTTTATCTAGATTTTCTTAAGCTTTTTAGAGTGTAAGGTATTTTCATGGTGTTGAAGAGGAGAATAGGCTTCCAGAAATTGCAGCTTATCTTTTTATGCAATTAAATATTATAACCATTCTCTCAGGGAAAATAGCACTTGGAATAATATTTGCTCTAATCTGTAGCATTACCTACTTCAATCTGTGAGAAATCCGGTCAAGAAATGTGAACTCCCCTTGTTAATTTTCGTAAGTATAACCCTTCAAAGCAAAATGTGTGAAAGGCTAATGAAGGATCAGGCCAGTAAAGTGTTTAAAAATCAAAGGCAATGCACTTAATAAAAAGACTATTTATGTTTAAAAAAATGTTCTTTCACCGATTCATCACATTATCTTGAAGCAATTTTAGAAGTGTTTAAAAAAAGTATAAAAACTCAATCATTAGTATTCTAAACAGCAGATTGGTCGGGGATCTCACTAAGATGCCTGCATAGCCCTAAGAAAGTGTGAAATTTTGCATTTAATTTCTGTTTTTCTGTTCCTTTCTGCAGAATAACAGTTTCTGCTATGTGTTTCATGGATTTCAGTAGGTTTCCTCTGGATACTCAGAACTGTTCTCTACAACTGGAAAGCTGTAAGTTTACTTAGTAGCTGTTCTTCCCATGTGCATTCTTACCAGCACTCCATCCTGTTCATAATGCCCTTTTTATTTATTTTGATGTGTGACCTGAACCCTTCAACCTGTCCATACTAAACTGTGGCCAGTTTGGGATCTTTTCAAAACTCAGTGAGCTTTGGGAAGATAGAAAAATCATGATGCATCCTGCTTTGTTTTGACTGAGTTGATATTCCAAGGCCTAAATCTAAAAATGTTTCATGTATTAAAAATCATGTGTTTTTTTCTGAGGAAAAAAGTTCAAGTTAAAGGTAAAATAAGATGTCAGTATTTGACTTCATGGAAAAATGAAAATTAGTGCTTGTGTTACTGTGAAATGTCTGCCTTCTCACTACTGACTCAGTTGTCTGTAGTAAGTAGAGCTGGACAACAAAAAGTAATTCTGTTTTGCAGAGCCTTTTTATATCTCAAAATGTACTTTTACTTGGATCATGAATAAAGCTGGAATGCTGGTTTGTTGTTAAACAACAAACCTGTGCCCTGTGACCCTGAGCATGCCCATGTCCCCCATCTGTCAGGTAAGCTGCTGGCAGGGCACAGGACTGAGCTTCACTTGGAAAAAGATGGAATACCATAGAATCATAGAATGGGTTGGGTTGGAAGGGACCTTAAAGACCATCTAGTCCCAACCCCCCTGCCACGGGCAGGGACACCTTCCCCCAGCCCAGGTTGCTCCCAGCCCCGTCCAGCCTGGCCTTGAACCCTTCCAGGGAGGGGGCACCCACAGCTGCTCTGGGCACCCTGTGCCGGTGCCTCACCACTCTCACAGGAAAGAATTTCCTCCTTATATCTAATCTAAATCTTCCCTCTTTCAGTTTAATACCATTACCCCTCGTCCTATCACTACACCCCCTGACAAAGAGTCCCTCCCCACCTTCCCTGCAGCCCCCTTTAAGCACTGGCAGGCCGCTGTAAGGTCTCCCTGGAGCCTTCTCTTCTCCAGGCTGAACAGCCCCAGCTCTCTCAGCCTGGCCTCACAGGGGAGGTGCTCCAGCCCCCTGAGCATCTTCGTGGCCTCCTCTGGACCTGCTCGAGCAGGTCCATGTCCTTCTTATGTTGGGGGCCCCAGAGCAAAATATGGTCTTTGCAATTTTTTCCATGTCAACTAACTGGCAAATGGATTGAAAAAAAATGTTTCTTTAGGGTTTTCCCAAATTGTTTGAACAGTCTTCTATCCCTAAGAAAGGAAAACAGAAGCATTATTCCAGCAGAAGAGGTGATTTAGTTTTTACTTTCTCTTAGATGCATACAATGAAGATGATTTGATGTTATACTGGAAACATGGAAACAAGTCCCTGAACACAGATGAGCACATCTCCCTATCCCAGTTTTTCATCGAAGAATTCAGTGCTTCCAGTGGACTAGCTTTTTACAGCAGTACTGGTATAGTACTTGTCATTAGAAGAGAGAAGCACAGGACACAATAATGCAGAATGTCTTTCACATTCAAATTCGTTGCTGATAAATGACTGTTACTGCTGAGAGATCTCAGTCAAAATGAGAGCTGACAATCACACTGGTCTGTTGGCCTAGGTCCTTGTTTCTCTTTACATTACCCATTTAGCACTTTGTTGATATTAAAAGAAAGTGTCATAATAATATTTGTAACTTAATATCTGACAATAAGAACCTGAAAAAAATGCACAACAATGAAATATATGCTGTTGTGAGCTCTTGCAAAGTTGTGGCAATTCTCTGAAAGTCACTGGAGTATTGGGTTTACAGGAAACTTTGTGTCCTGGTTATATAGAAAAGCTTGAAAATGCAAACCCTAAAGGGTCAAGTACTAGAAAGCACGCAAGGGGAACCCCAGTGTGTTTTATTGTCTAAAACCTTCTCATCTTTGGAGCCGTAAAATGTCATTAAAAGTCTAATAACTATAAGATTTCCACATGAGAGCATTTATAACCTATTGAGGCCTAATTCATGGTTGCTTAATGTTCCATGTTTATATGTAAAGTTGCAAAAAAAAAAAATACTAATCCTTTTATGTCAGTGCTATATTGTTTAAATACAGGTATCTGCCCCAGACAGGTTTTTATTTCTCCCTCTAGATCTTGAACTACACTTTCTAGCAAACTGCACATGGCTTTAGGAGTTTATTATAGTCTTGATTTCATACAAGGTGGGTTTTATTTTCTTTGTATTTGTACATGCAATTCTAAATTTTGAAATACTTATCTATGTAAGTAGTCTAACCACACATTTTTAACCAGATAAAATAGCATGCTTGCTACTGTACTTTCCAGTCTGAGTCAATTCATTTCAGTGTGGACATTGCCCTTTATACTGAGGCAGATTAATACAATATAAACTATTCCATCTAATATGATGAAATGCATAATACTTTGGAAAAAAGCCTTTAAGACATATAGGAAAGCTGCAAATAGATTTATTTACTGTATTTTATCTAGAGGATAGCTTCTTTTTGCATTTAAAAAAGAGCCATTCAAGTTTGCAGTGGCTGATATTGAATGAAGAAATTCCAGTTTAAATTCTGATCCACCCTAAGCAGTGAGGAATTCACAGCTTGATCAGGTTCTTCATCCATATCTCTTGCTCGTGTATGAGCTAAGAACAGAGCTCCAGTTTTCAAGAGTCACTGTCATGTGAGAAGAGGGTGAGTGATACCTTACTATCATAACTGTGCCTTGCTGAGAGCTATGTCAACTTTGTCCTTGTTGCAAGAAGGAGACTGGGATGTTTTCCGCCAAAACTGCTATCACTGTGTGTTGAATCTGAGTTCCAGGAACTCAGCTGGCTTCTTTCTGCCTTGCTATTTTCATCAAAAAACACTTATACGAATAAATACGACCTTGTGCACAATAGTGCAACCTCATACCACCTCCCTGTACCCAGGCCTTTGCAACACCTTCACAGCACCTTTGACTTTTCAAAGTGTAACTGCTTAACACTTACATGCAGATGCTTTGATGATGAGCTTATTCAGCAGGGTAAAGGTGAAAGGAAAGCCTTTTTTTAAGTTGCAAGGACCACTGGGAAGTACCGGAATAATGCGTGTACCATATCTGTTAATTAGAACACTGCTCTTTGTAGATATATACTTTTATTTGGCTTTAAGGTTTTGCTTCAGTCAGGAGGTTTCACTTTCTCTTGTTCTTTTATTTTGCTTCATGTTGGAAAAAAATGATTACACACAGACCTTGCCCCCCAAAGTGAGTAATAGTGGGGAACAATCAGCACAGCTCTAATGGGAGCCATCTTCCCCTGAAGAATCGGGCAAAAAATGGACAAAAATGCTGCTCACAAAGCAGCCTTCTGCATTTTAGGTTCTGCATATCCTTTCTTGTGAATCTTAGTGAACTACACATGTGTAGCATTTAGGCTTTTGGAGTCACCTGGTCTCCACAAGAGCAATAATTTCAATCCATGTTTGAGACAATCATTTTTAAAACCAAAAACTCTCCACAACTGAAAACACATAGCGGGTGTTTAATATTAGATGGGGTTATTGTTGAGATGTTATTTTTTAACAAGTCGCTCTTTGTGATGGCATGACTGCTTCAACACAGGCTCACTGATGTCCCTATTTGTACTGGACAGGCAGATGCTGTGCAGCCAGCCACTTCTGTCTTTTCACCTCATTATAAACTGATTTCCCTACCATCGCATAAGGTATAGCACACATGCTGTGCTGCACAGACAGAGTATGCCCCAAAACTCACTAGATGGCACCCTTTCCTCTAAAGTCAACCCTGGCAGGCAAGCTGGTCTAACCTTACGAAAAGATGTGCTGCTTGTTGCTGGGTATTTGTAGCGTGAGAGAAGGCAGGCTACTTTTTGGAGGAGGCAAGGTGTTGGCCTCACTGTCCTAGCTGAACTGGACAATTATATTCTGTCTGTATTCTCCCAGAAATTTCACTTGAAGTCTATTTACTCTTTTTCAATTTCCTAACCTTAATTATAACATAGTATTTTATTTATGCATGCGTGACGCTGCACTCCCAAAGCTGCAGTGTTTTGATGAGGTATGGTGGACAGTTTGTAAAGCAGTACAGAAAACCAAGGTGGTGGCAATATTTCTCAGGCATTTACTATTACTGATGTGGATACACCATTCCTACTGGAGGGGGCCAGTGAACAGAGCTCACAAATAACACAGCTCTCTTCTCCCCCAACCTGTTCCTCTCTCATTTCTCAATAGGTTGGTACAATCGACTTTTTATAAACTTTGCACTCCGGAGACATATCTTCTTTTTTGTGCTACAATCCTATTTCCCAGCCATGCTGATGGTGATGCTGTCATGGGTTTCATTTTGGATTGACAGAAGAGCTGTTCCTGCCAGGGTATCTTTAGGTAAACCTTTAATGTATATTCTTTTTGGAAGTATAGAATGGATAGGGGAGAGGTTTTCAAGTTACTTTAGCTTCTTATTTGCACAGGACATGAGCAAGTATATCAGGTAATTGCCTGTTGTCACTACCACCAACTCCTTTAGTCAACACCTACATTTGGAAATGGGTTGTTTGTTCAGACTGACTTTGCTATATTAGAAAACAGCTCATATACCACAGAAGGAAAAAAGGATGATTTTACAGATTTCTATATGTAGAATTTTGCTTCATTCCTTTTTTTTTTTTTTTTTTTATCTGCAAAGACCGGGTTTTTCCTCCCCTCTTCTCAGCAAAGTAACAGGCAGTAACAGGTAGTCAGATCCCTCCCCAAATCCATGGTTCATGAGAGATACTTAATAGTCATAGCACAATCTATCTAAAAGCTTTGCATCTCTGCTTTCTCTCTAGAAAAAATTTGCTATTTTACTACCAGCTTGGAACCATTTTTCTGATTTGTTCTATCTAGCAAAGCCTGTCTTTGTTAGGCACCTTGAAAATGTTTGCTTTGGCACCTTAACAGTGCAAGGTACATAGGCTTTTGGGGAAGCCGAAGAGTAAGTTGGGCATCTTTCTGCTCTCACGGTTTTAGTTCTGAACACCACAGCTCAGGAAAAAAAGACTAATCACAGTGGTTTTTTTATATCATTATTGTTTTTCTCAGTGATGAATCAGTTGATACTACTTCAAGACTGCCTTTGTTGGGAATTTAATGCTGATGGCCTTGGAATGAGTACATTTTTTTCAAAGATTAGCATCTCTGTGAAGATCTGATGGAAAATTAAGATATCTAATGCAAACCTAATGCATCTGAGTCCTGCAACTGTCAATTTAAGAATTAGTAAAGAAGCACCTGTTCTTTCTTCTCACTGATGGTAGTCCCAGAAGCCAAGTGTATGTTGCCATATTTCTTAGACAAGTGAAAATTTTAGCATCCTTGTTAAAGAAACAAACTTGCATGTACTGAGGGAGCCCTCAATTTTTATCTATAGCTATATCAATCTAGAAAAAATAGGACTGTAGCTACTTCATCTCCCTTTCTACTGGCACAGTCTAAAGCAATTAATACATGAGATATAAACCTATATTTTTATTCTAAAAACAAATTATGGTACCTCCTACCTACTTTTATTATTGCTTCTACCAATTCCTTTTATTTGCATTAAATTTAACTTCATATTTAAAAAGAAAGTTTTATTTCTCAGTAGGCCATTTGTAATGTTGTCAAGATAGTTTTGCTGATCATGTTCTTTAATTTATATATGGCTTTCTGCAGAAGGTTATGCATCAGGAGTTCTATGAATAACACACACTTCATTAGCATAAGCATACATAATTTATAGGCAATGTTAAAACCCAAGTTTAAAAAGCTTGGCTCCCTAGCCTAGAGTATACATATTTTAAATAAATTGATTTCCTTTTATATGTTATATTTCAGACTCCATCCTTCAACCTAAGGAACTTGCAGAGAGGGGGAGGGAAAACTCTTGTATGTTCCAGTAGACTTGAACTAGCATGAAACTGGAGAAGGGCTACACTGAGATGCAGCTGAAAGGCCATGCTATCAGCCAGTGCTGTCTCACAGATGTTACTGAGATGTCTTCACCTCCAGTGTTACTTTAATTTCTTTAAAAGCAGGGCCTGGGTTGGGTGTTGAGTGTTGGTGTTTGGTTTTTTTTTCCTGAGACAGAGCAAAACAAAATGAGATGAATAGCTGCCCGTCAGAGGAGAGATTGAAAAGATGATTCTGAGATTCTGGACACTGAAGTAAACAAAAAATATTTATTAGTTTCAATGGATAATAGCATTTTTATGCTAGAGTGTTTTTAGAGAAGCATGGAGTTATGACAGAGACATACAGGCTGATATATGTTCTCAAGAAGTACAATTTGAGAAGGGGCTAAGAGGGAAATTGATGATTCTTTAGTGATTCTCCGGGGCTAGAAAGCACGTAGTGAGCACCCTGGCTTTATGCTGCTGAATCACCAGTGTTGGGTCCCCGCTGTTTGAGCCTGGTGTGCCGCAGCTCTAACTGCATGCACTGAGCAGAGAGATGATTTACTGGTTTCAGTATTGTATGTGATAGGTCCTTCATGGTTCACTCCACTTTTCAGAGCCTGTGCAATGAAGTTAAAGGCAGTGTCAATCATACACCTTCAAAAAGCTGTGCTGTCCAAGCAATGGTGATGAGCTAAACAGAACCAGCTGGCCAGTATTATGATAACCTTCCCTTTTGCTTTGGCAGGTATAACTACAGTGCTGACAATGTCAACCATCATGACAGGAGTAAGTGCCTCAATGCCTCAAGTGTCTTACATAAAGGCTGTGGATGTGTATTTATGGATCAGCTTCCTTTTTGTCTTCCTGTCTGTCATCGAATATGCAGCAGTGAACTATCTCACCACAATTGAAGAGAGAAAGCAACTCAAAAAAAGGGGCAAGGTACAATCCTCTGTGTTCTGTTGCCTTCAGAAAGCATCACAGAAGCCGCAGAGTAATCCTGATACACCACTGTGATAACAGTACAGTAACCATCTCTGTGACTCCACTCTGTGTCTCATTTTTCTTTACTTGGCTGAAGGGAGGAAATGTACTGTCCTCTCTGAGATCTTGAAGTCTGTGCTTTCTCTGCCTTCCTTTTCTTGTACCAGAGGTTAAGGGGTACACCTCCAGGTATTTTTTTTTTCCCTTTTCCCCTCCCCAGGGGAAGGTAACCTTCATTCTGTTCTCAAATACCTATTGCTCAAAGTATTTTTCCTTTCTGAAATATACTCCAGAATGCACTCATGTAATATTCCTTCCTGTTTCCTGTGAAGCAGTCTATTTCTCCTTTTCTTGCTTCACCATTTTCAATTAGGAAGATGGGTTTAATGATGCCTTTTTGTCCCAAGACCAGATGAATGACAAGGTCATTTTTAGAAAAGTGTGCCAGAGGCAGAAACGCTCACAAATTAAACATCTGCTTTCTATGAAGCACTCACTTAAAACATTTGCTTCAAAAATATCCCACCATGTAAACTAATTTGTTGGAATATCACAAGGGGAAAGACACAAAAAGGGTGTGTATGTTGCTCACATGATTTGATATTCCCATCAAAAAGCTCCTCGTGAAAATGTTTGAACTAATTTCCCACAACTCCAGCAATGCAGACCTACAGGAGAGGCAGTGTTTGATATTTCTGTTTCAGAATCTAGGGCACATATTGCCAGCCAGAAGCTGGCAATAGTCAGACAAGTGTGTTTTATCACACATATCCCCCTACTTGCTCATGTCCTGCCCAAGGGGGGCAGGCCCTGCAAATAGCAATACTGTGAGTGAGGTAGCTCCGTTCTCCATATGCTCTCCACACAGGGAACAACACCGAAGAGAAAGGTTGATTTATTTTCTGCTTTACTTATTAATAATTTACTATAATGGTTCCTACTAGACGCAGAATAACTATTCTTTGTTGCCAGGATTCAGGAACGTATAGTATTGATGCAGTGCAAGCAATGGCTTTCGACGGCTGCTTTCATGACACGGATGTGGACATGGACCTGACTGATTTCTCAGACCGCTGTGAGGAGAATGAGACTCAGGCACATGCAGCCAGTGACTCTGATGGGGACACAACTCAAGTCAAGAGGAAGAGATCTCTGAAGGGAAACGTGGGAAGGATTATTTTACAGAACAATCATGTTATTGACACATACTCCAGGATTATATTTCCCAGTGTGTATATTGTGTTCAACTTTTTTTACTGGGGTTTGTACATATGAACAAAAACTATTATAAGGTAGACATTATTTTGTGTATGAGGGTAGTGTTGTGATTTAAAAATCATGCAACAGCAGTAGAGGAAAGGGTTAAAAGTTTCCAAAACTGACTTCTGCATCATACCAAGGCTGGTTTGCCTGTTTGGGGTTAGGGTTTTTTTTTGTTTGTTTGTTTGTTTTGTTTTGTTTTGTTTTGTTTTTCCAGTTGTATTATGCAATGGTTCATTGGGGCAATCTAATGCACGTGCTGCTACTGCAGTAGCATAGAGCAGTTTTCTCACTGAGAGACCCCTTTGTCACACAACTAAACAGACAGCAGCTCCCACTTGAGGTATTATCCAGTCTCTATCTACACTATAACCATTCCGCTTTAATCAGCCTTTCTGTTTGCTCTCCACTTGTGGTCCATTTTAGTAAGCAGCTGGCACGAATCACCTTCAAATAGCTCCTATCCTTATTTCTCTCACCGCATTTTGATTTTGCTAGGCAACTTGTACACACCTCAGCAGCCTTTGTCCTCGGATGGTAACCAGAGGGGAAGTGATTACGGCTTAGCAGTGGAGTAGGGACCAGCAGGGAGCAAAGCTGATGGGGCTCTGTACATTGTGCATCATGAAGACCTCAAGAAAAACCTTCACCCTGTCAGCTGTCCCTGACTTTCTGCAGGACATTGGGAAGGGCCTCTATCTTGGAGAAATCTTGCTCACTAGTCCCTGAGGCATTACAGGAACAATGTCCCAGAGCTGATGCACTCCTGATGCACTCCGTGCCCTACAGCCACCTCCCAGGTGGATGACTAGTGTCACCTGCACAAGCTGTGCCACTCCTGTGACACCCATACCACCTACGTGCCTCATGTAGACCTGCTGTAGTCACCTGCTTTCTGCATAACCTTTCATTTCAGAAATACAGGCTTTGAGGCAGAGATTTTTAAAAAATTTGTCAAGAAAACAGACCATGTCTTCAGCAGAATCTTGTTCTTCTGCTTTATGCTGCATACATGAGCTTGGGGTTTTGCCCCCCTCCCTCTCCTCTTGGCTTTTGAGATTGGAAAGAGAAGTGAGAAGCTACGTATGCCTGCTTGCAGCAGTGATCCCCAGCACAGCTCAAGGTGCCACACTGAGGCACACAGGCAGTAAGAGGAAGCAGCTGTGACAAAACAGAACCACATACAGGAGTCCTGCCTGTCCCAGATGAATCCTGCATGGAAATATCCTTAGGTTGAAGCGAAGGAGGTTGAATTAAGGATGTTCAGGGACACACACAAAGTTTTCACAGCTCCAGAAAAGAATCAAGATTATATTTGTGACTTTCCCAAATAAGGAGCATTTTTCACTTAAATTCCTTGGGTTTTTCCATAATTCAATGAACAAAGTCAGTTCAAAATGATAATTTTTGGAGGCAAAAAATGTCACAAGGTAGATGCTTGGTCACTGCTTGGTCAAGATTAGGAAATGGGAATAAATTTGGAAGCCTGAACCACTTTCTGGTTTATTTGATTTTTCTGCTCCAATATTGTTTGCTCATAGCTTGATGATGTCTCTTACTCTTTCAAAAAGCTGCATTTGTCAAGCTTCCAATTACAGAGCGGGAGAAGCTGGTGACACACTGCATGCCGGGTGACTGAAATCTGATGGAGCAAGTGGGTACTTTGGCAGTCAGTTCGCTGCCAAACACATGATCAGAGCTAAGACAGCTTTGACACTCTTCCAGGAAATCCTGCCATGGAAAGCAGAACTGTACCAGGAATGACAGTGCTGGGAACATAAAGCCAAAGGACACATAGGCTTTGGCAACAGCAACAGCGCACTAGACCTCAAGCTGAGCAAATGCCTAATATAGATATATAAAAAAAATTCCACGACGTCCTCATTACTGCACTGCCATTATGGAGGCATCCTGCACAGACGTTCCAGATTGCCTGAGAAGATCCCATCTAATTGCTCCAGATGTGTAATGTGTGTCCTAAACTTTTCACATGAATTCACATAATTGTTTTTGCATAATTTTTTTAAACTGCCTTACAAGAAGACATATTTGTTGTGTAGCCAACAGCAGATCCTCTGCCTCCAACAGAAAAAATATCCATGTGCTTCTTGACCCAAACTGGTTCCCTCTTCTAAATTTCTTATAGGATCTGCAGCAGCAAAAATCCCTGCAGCGCAGCACGGCCGTGCCGTGTGAAGGCTGTCCACCAAACAGGCCCGCACAGGGAAGTTTGCAGGAAAAGAGATTCCGGCCTGCTCTTACCTTCTGGGCACAATCTCTACAGGTGCCCGAAAGCTGCACTGCTTGCTTTGACAGAGGAAACTGTCAGTGACTTTGCAACTGACTGTAACGATTGGGAAAGTGTTCTCCCCAGAGAGACTACTATGTAGCAAGTTTTATTATGATAATGAAAAAGATTGCACTTAATGATGGTGAAACTTAACTGCATGCTTTTACAGGCAAGCTTATAATTTCTATCTTCTTAATTTAGTGACAGGGATGGGATCAAGCTCAATTATACTTCAAAAATCTACTGCTTGTATAAATAGTAAAAAATAATAAACAGTATTTAAATACATTTCTTGTTTAGAGTGCGCTAGAGGGCTAAAACTCACAGGACCCTCATTTGAAGCTTGTGTTGTCTCCCAGAAGTCAATTTCTCTAAACAGACCAGCATGGAAGTTTTTAAAAAAGTATTGACAAGCATTGCCCATTCCTGTTATTTGTGGCTGGTTTTGCAGCCAGTCAAGTGGCTGGGTTTTACTTCCCACAGCGTTTACTAAAAGTCAGAATATCACAGCCATTATGTAAAAACGTATTTGTTTGAGCATTCATCCTAGTGGTATTCACGCAGTTATGCTAAGAATACTTTGTGGGTTTTGGAACAGAAATAACAGCTTGTAATGGTCTCTGTGACCAGCTGAGGTTCAGGATGTGGCCTCCCTATTTTTAGCATCTGTTGCTACACCCATCTGTAGGAAGAAAACATCCTGTAAGTGTTAATGTAGGTGATGCAAACTTGTAAGTCTGGAAAACTACTTAATTCTTCAAAGGTTTATAATTCCCACAAAAGAAGTAAGCAGAATTTCAGGCCAGTGATCTGTTTTTCAGCGAGCTATGAAAATGTATACCTTTGAATATCCCAACTATTGGTGAGTGCTTACACTAAAATATTCACAATTTAATAAATTTTGCGAAGTGTCCTGAATATTGAGTGGAGTTGTGATGAACTGAGTCAGAATTGTAGAGAATGTCTTCTTTTTCGTAGAGAATGTCTTCTTTTTCTTCCAAAGTCATGGCCCAATGAAAGGAAAATGCTTTATAGAGAAACTTAAATTTTACTAATTCGTACACATTTGTACAATTAGGGCAACCTCAGGTTCACCTCTGGCAAAATCTCTCTCTGGTAACCCATCCACACGCTGATTAATCTGTATTTCATGATCAAGTGGCCACATTTGGTCAGCTGGTGACCAAAGTGGTCCAGGTGGTAAAGGAAGAAGGACTGAACAGGATGAGCAGCATTTGCCTTTTTCTCTCCTCCATCCCCTGTTCCCGTGTATTATATTTTGCCAGTTTCTCTATTCAGCACGTAGGACTTTGCTGGATGCATTCCTGAATGCAGAACCCATGGGAATCACATAACGTTTGTTCCAAAAGATCCAGCTAGTGCTAGGGAAGCAGGAGTTAGTACTGTGTGAGTAATAACCACACCGCAAGGAGGAACAGGACTGCCAAACCACCTTCTATAAAGGGAGGGATTTGAAATGGTATTTTAGATGTGAAAGGCCCTATTATTTCCCTCCATGAGCTGTTGCTAGAAGGCAGACCCCTCTCTTATCTGTCATTGAAAGGTCCTTCTAGTAACTCACTTAACCCCAGTGTAACTTTCTACTTACTTTAGCCATGCACTGTAAGGCTGCTGAGGTTTCCAAAATTCACCTTTTGCTGGTAGTTCTGCTTTGTATGCTTCAAGCTACCAGTACACAAGAAAAAAACTTGAGCAAAATCTACCTAACAATTTTTCTGATGTCTTTCAGCCAACATAAATTAAACCATTAACAGGCATCTTTATTAAAGGTAACAAAAAATACTTTTATTAGTTTTCATGTGCTCATTGAGGATTCAAAAAAATTTCTTCAAGGGAGCCTTAGAGGGGCTCTGGAACAAGATTTTGGTCCTGGAAAAAATAAAGCAGCTAAAGCCCAGACACTTTCGTGCGCGTGAAGTAACATTTTACACAAATAACCACAAGGTTGCATCTCTTAATTTAATCCATGTAATAACTTTGGTGGAGATAATGTTGTGTAAGATCGGTTTCAAAGAAAGGATATTTTTCTCTCTTGCACACACATGCTAAGTAACTTGGGCAAGCGAAGAAGGAATATTTTTTTTTGCACAGATTACGTTTTCAAGTGGTGATCACTTTAACGCTTTCTAGTTCGGCAGTGAAGACAAAAAAAAAAAAAAAAAAAATTGACGTTAGGTTCCCTCCCCTGAGGAGGTTACACGGCGTGAGCCGCAGGCCAGCGTTACCGGCCGCCGCCAGCGAACCCGCGGGGCCCTGCGCAGCCCGCCCGGGCCGCTGGGCCGCAGGCCCGCGCGGCGGGCGGAGAGCCCCGCTCCCGGCTCTCTCGGGACGAGCCGCAGCCGCCTCCGCCGCCCCGGCCACGCCGCCACACGCAGCGGCCCAGCGACTCCCTCCCGCTCCCACGCCGGCCCACCCGCGGGCCGCCCGCCCGGCCCGGCCCCCGCGGCGCACCCGCACCGCCCTCCGCCCGCCTCCGCCGCCATTTCCTGCCGGCCCCGCCCCGTGTGCCCGGGTGAGTGCGCGGCGCGGGCGGGGAGCGGGGGGCTGGGCCCCGGGGCCTGTGGGGGCCGCCGGGGAAGGGGCGGGCTGATGGCGGCGGGAGGAACGGGGCCTCCGCCGCCGCCCCGCCGGGCTCGCAGGGTGGGTGGGTGTGGGGCGCGTCATGGCAGCGCCAGGCCCGGCGGGATCCGGAGGAACTAGAGCGGCGCAGGCACCGTCCCGCCGCCCCGGGCTCGTCAGGTCGGGCCGCGGCGGGCGCGGGGCGCGGCCGGTGCCCCTGGCTGGGGGCAAGGAGCGCTGGTCGCCGCCCGCCGCGGGCACGGCAGCTCACCTCCCCGCCGTTTTCTCTTCTGGAAAATGTTTCGTAGCGGCCCCCTGTGCGGCGAGGGCGAGCAGTGGCGGCGGCGTGGCCTCAGAACCGCTGTGGCCATCTGTCTTGCCTGTTTTAGGGGGGAGCCGAGTTCCCCAGCAGTTGCTGGGCCAGTTTAGAGGCCTGAACTCACAAATGAATATATCTGGTGTGCGAGGCGAAAAATACTAATGTGAAGTAACTCTGAAGGAGGAACAGGTCCGTTCTGTTCCCCAGGCCCTGCAGAGAAGGACTTGGGGGTGCTGGGAGATGAAAAATAGGACACGACCCAGCAAAGTGCACTCCCAGCCTGGAAAGCTGGCTGTAGCGCAGGCTGCCGTAAGAAGCAGCGTGGCCAGCGGGTCGGGGCGGGCGATTCTCCCCCTTTGCTCTGTTGAGACCCCACCTGGAGCTCTGTGTCAGCTCCGGGGCCCCCAGAACAGGGCAGATGTGGACCTGTTAAGAGTGGGCCCAGAGGGCCACAACAGTGGTCAGAGGGCTGGAGCACTTCTGCGGAGTAGGGCTGAGAGAGTTGGGGCTCTTCAGCCTGGAGAAGAGAAGGGTCTGGGGAGACCTTATGGCAGCCCTTCAGTACTTAAATACTGTAAGAATTATGGAGGGAGACTTTTTACCAGAGCCTGCAGTAAGAGGACAAGGGGCTGTGGTTTTAACTGAAAGAGGGTAGGCTTAGGTTAGATAAAAGGAAGACATTTTTTCTGATGATGATGGTTAGACGCTGGAAGAGGTTACCCTGAGGACTCATGGATGCCCCATGATTGGCAGCATTCAAGGCCAGGTTGGCTGGGGAGCAGCCTGAGCTGGTGAAAGATGTCTCTGTGCATGGTAGGGGGTTTGAACTAGATGAACTCTTCCAACCCCAACCATTCTGTGGTTCTTCAGTTGTAAGAACTAGCAAAACACTACGGAACAGTACATTGTGTAAATGAAGCCGCATTCTGTGAGTAATATAGAGCTGAATTTAACGTTGTTAAATACAGTCTGAATGAGCTGAGAGGTTGATATGATGGACTTAGGTCTGGAATTCACAACTGGCAATTCAGGCTTGGTTGCATTTGTGTTGCTGGCATTTTGGGGTGTCAGATGTAGGTCTTGGTGCCGGCAGCATCTTCAGATGTTGCCAGCAACTGGAGTCTAATTTTCAGTCTTTTTTTAAGCCTTCCCTTGCCTCATGGGGAAACTGTAGCTTGCTGCAGCTGGGAATGCCCATCCTCTCAGGAGGTGGTGATGTGGATTCCCTCCTGCAGGACTAAGGTGACTGTAGGTTACTGTTGAGGTACAGGCTCTTACAGGAACTGCTAATGAAACACTGCCCAGGAGTTAGTGAATCAGCGAGGGTGTCCTGCATACTGCTGCACAGGAGAGCTTAGTACTGTGTGTAAATACCAGAACTGGAGTTTACGTTTCATCATAAGGAATCTGTGTAAGTAAAAGCATCTTGATAAATAAGAGCATTTACTTTTGGGAGTAAAGCTGTCATTTTTACTTACAAATGAAAGCATCACTGTGCTCTAACTCCTCTTGTTGGCTTCACAGACTTGCTCAGACACGCCCAGAGCCAGTGTGAGTTGGCCAGCCCAGGCCCAGCAGGCAAGCTGTGGTGCTGGAGGGCTTGGTGCTGGCTCTTTGTCAGGATGCCTAACTCAGCTTCCCTGGCGGGCTTGTACTGCTGCCTGGTGCTCTGGGCTACTCTGGGGGATAAAATGCTGGTGCAGGCTTAAGACAAGTGTGTCTGCATATACTATGGTGTTAGACCTACCGTTACTTGATTTTTGCCTTAACTTTCCTGAGAACTTGGCAGCTAAACCCTTTGTGAATTAACTTTTTTATTTTTACATGATGATACACATGCATATTATCTACCTGAAAAAACAAACTAAATGACTTCCAACTTTAAATGTCTATACTTGGATGAAAGAAATCTTTTTATTCTATGTAGGCCATAAAGTTTGACAGCTTTGCAGAAATGAAAGCAAGATCTTATAATTTTAGTTTTTGGTGTCATTGCATAGCATCGACAGAAAGGCCTAACAACGTTCTCCCTCTTCTCTAAACTTAGTTTTGCTAAACCTGTGCATTCGAGATACATTATGGAGACCTTGACAAAGACTGAGATGCGGGCCACTGCCACTGTGGTGAGCGTCAATAGATGCTTGGCACTGCCACATAATTTAGCATAGAATTGTTCCCAGGGCCTGAGACCTCAAGCAGGTGCCCTTATTTCATGTTCCTAAAACCTGCTCCACCTGTAGGGGAGTCTGCTCTGGGTTTTTCTGTTTCTTTGGAAGCTGCTGTAACGCTCCTGCCAACTGAATCATCCTCGCCCACTGAACCTGGTTACATATTCCTTCTTCCCTCACAGTGATCTGCTCTTTCACTTGGCCTCCCTCTTTCCGTGCCCCATTTCCCTGTGGTTGCTGTTCACTGTATTCTGGCGTAGCCCTTGCTGCGTCCTGTTGTACCGACACCGGTGTCAGTGTCCCCTCGCTGCAGCTGCTGCCTTCTCTGTAAGTGCTGCTGCAGCTTTAGCCTGGTAACTCTACAGCTGTGCAGACACAGGGCTTGTGATGCATGACCCAGCTTGAAAGGAAAGCTTACCTTCACACGCCCCACACCAACCACTGCATTTAACTGGTTGGGTTCTGTACCTGAAATGCCGTACATCCTCCTCCATCGTGCTGTGGCTAGAAGGTCACTGGGAAGTCATTGTTGTGCTTTTTTTCCCAATGCTAATGCATTTCAAGGAGGTGTAATAGGTGTCGTGGTTTGAGCCTGGTTGGCAACCAACCCCCACAGCTGGTCACCCTCCCTTCCCCTTCCCCACCTGGGAATGGGGGAGGGGATTAGAGGGGTGAAGGGAGACTCACAGGCTGAGATAAGAACAGTTTAATAATGGCAATAAAATGAGAACAATGATGATGATAGAGGAAAAAAAATATATATATAAACAGGCAATGCACAATGTAATTGCTCACCACCCGCTACCCAATACCCAGCCCGTTCCCGGCCAGCGACCCCAGGATACCAAGATCCTGCAGTCGTAAACCCAGAAGCGAGAGAGAGCTCCTTCCCTACCACCCCTCCTTTATAAAGTGAGCATGACGTTCCATGATATGGAGTATTTCACTGGCCAGTTAGGGTCTGGTGCTCTGTCTGTGCTCCCTCCCTGCTCCCTGTGCCCTTGCGCACGGGCAGGACACGGGGAGTCGGAGAGTCCTGGAAGTCTCGGTAGCAGCTGAAGACATCAGTGTGCTGCTATCAGCATTTTTCTCATACCAACCCAAAGCTAAATCCAAAACACAGCACTCATCTAGTCCCTGAAAAGGAATATTAACTCTATTTCAGCCCAAACCAGGACAAATAGGGTACAAGTTTCTGATCCTGTCCCCTCTCTCTACCCTTCTCTGTGTGTTGCCGTTAAATCTCTTAAAGCTGAGTTGATTTCTTAAGAAGTTGCAGCTCTTGCTATGGAAGAGCAGTCTATCGTAGGTTCTTTGTAGGGGTGGATTCCTGCAGTTGTAAAGATCTGTTGTGTGGCCACTGGGTTTTACTGCATGTTTTTTAGTATAAACTCAGCTGTGAGACTTGAGCTTCTGTGACCAGCAGCTCCTAGTAGAGTTTGCTGGGGTTTGAGAAGACATTGGAGGCCTGCTGTGGGCTCTCCTTTTTCTGTTCTTTGGAGCAAATGGTGAGCATCTGAAAGCAGAGATGTTCCCGGCATCCTCTGATATCCCACTGGATGAGGCAAGAGGAGCTGCTCTGGGCCTGTGAGCTCTTGAGGCTGACTGCTTTTGTTTTCTCTCTTGAACAGGAACATGCCCAAGAAAGGAGGGAAGCATGCCGAAATGGGAAAAGAAATGCAGGCACAGTGTAAACGAGCAAAGGTGGAAGCGGCTTGTTCTCCATCAGTCATGAGTTTTGAGAACCCAGACAGCCTCTTTGGAAGCTTGATCTCTCCCATCAAACAAGAGGTGTTTTTCAGGGAGTACTGGGAGCAAAAGCCACTGCTTGTTCAGAGGAGCGATCCCCTGCTGGCTGCTTACTACCAGTCCCTGTTTCAGTTGTCAGATTTGAAGGAGTTGTGCAGCCAGGGTCTATACTATGGGCGAGATATAAATATCTGTAGATGTGTGAATGGAAAAAAGAAAGTTTTAAATAAGGAAGGCAAAGTGAATTACATGCAGCTGAAGAAGGATTTTGACCAGAAAAAGGCGACAATACAGTTTCATCAACCTCAGAGATTTAAGGTTGGATTATTTCATTGAATGTAATCATGCATGCTTTATAATGTGGTATACTTTGCTTGAGTCATACTAGACATCGTTTAATCGCTGTCCCCAGTAAATCCAGGGGAGGTAGCTGACTTTGATGACCTGCTGAAATCTATGCATGAACTGTATTAATTAAGACACGGTTTATACTTTTGCACTGCCCATCATGTTTCAGTGCAGTAAGAACAAAATCTGATCCATGCTAAAATATTAAGTATTTTTTTTTAAATAGCTTTGTCACATAAAAGTTTAGAAAAAATAAATGTGCAAAACTGATGATTATGCATCTGTGTCTGCTTAAATTATCCCTTCTGCACCGTTTGCTTGTGCAACTAGGGGCCTTTGTACTGCTTCCCTTAATGGAGGGCAAGGTATGAAACCATGTAAAATGTTTCCAGGACACTGTTCTTGATGATGGATTGGCTTTGAATTGCGCTATGGGAGTGAATCGCCCCATTTTTTGCTGACTGTTCTCTCTCTCTTGTTCTTTTTGATGCCTTTGCATTCTTCATGTATGCGAATGAGGCAGTAGTGTCTGCACAGTTGAGTAAAGGACTCGGATACTTGTAGGTACTTGGCTTTAGGTAGTCCTTTTTTTGTACTGTGGTGTCAACACAATTTAGTTGTGAAGTGGTCCGTAAGGACCCAAATACACAGCTGAGTCCCAGGGATAGTGTTGCTGGCATATCTCTGTTCGAGTGTAGCTGTAATGGCTGGTGGCAGAGGCATTTGCAGGGGAAGTTGAAATGTTGCATGGCTTATGCTGAAATCTAGAGCTTCAGCTCAACCCACATAAATTCTGCTTGAAGTTGCACTTGTGCAGGTCTGGTAGTCGGCATCTTCTGATACAAGAGTTGTGCCATTGTCTGTCACATGTTCGATGTGGGTGAGTAAAGTTTGTTCTTGAGTATGCCCAAACAATTGGAGTCACTGGAAAAGGGTCTCTAACCTTTGTATGCGCTCTTTGATGCTAGCCCATATAATGCAAGGTCCTGCATGTGTTCATTGTTTTAAGATGTTTTGGTATTTGTGGGATGACAGGTGGTTTATTCTCCTCTGTCTAGCCTTGTTTGTCTGGTTCTGAAACCTAAAAATGGTCCAGTGAAGAGAACAAACATCAATGCTGTGTTGGGGCACCAGACTTCTTGGCTTACCAGTTACCTTCATGGCAGATCTCCTGTGCATCTACAAGTTTCAGGAGAAACACACGGAGTGTCTGCTTTCCCAGCCTCTGTCTTCCCGTGGGGTTGCGATCTTTCTCTAGAACCTCCTGAGCGATGGGGAGGCTGAGGGCTGGGTGGCAGCCTGACTTGGCTGAGCTCTTCGGTACTAACAGCATCATTTCTTTTTAAAGGAGGAGCTGTGGAAGATTCAGGAGAAGCTGGAGTGCTACTTTGGGTCTCTGGTTGGGTCAAATGTTTACATTACTCCCCAGGGGTCGCAGGGCCTTCCCCCTCACTACGATGATGTTGAGGTAGGACAGCAGCACAACCTTGTCTGTGAAACTCTGCGTGGGCTTTTGCTAGTGGTGGTGGATACCTGTATGTGCGCTTCCCCCTCCCTCCCTTCTTTCATAAAATAAATTATTATAGAAGAATGTTTTTTTCCACCGAAAACTTATGGTAGTTGATTGCAACTGTTTTTTTTTTTTTTTTTTTTTTTTTTTTTTTTTTTTTTTTGTAGTAATTTCTCATCTATAATTTTACTGAAAAGGTACTAATAGTAATATCTAATGATAATACCACATAACTGTGCTTTCCAGACCTGGTATTTCCATTTGATGAAAAGAAATTTTTTTTTCTGAGCTGCAGAAGCATGGTTTTTTTTTCACTTTCACTTCATTCAGACTCCAAGAATCTAGAAGTCCTTTTTCCCTTACTAAGTACTTGCTCTTTCTTCAGCTGGACAGTGAAAGCAGACCAGTTGTTCTGGCTCCCATTTGTTGGTCCTCCTGCTTTTAAGAAGCTGTCAGTATGATGAAGTCCTGTGGTCCAAATGCATTTTAAATTAGCTTCTAAAAGAAACATTCAAATAGACACTGTATTGAAAATACAGTTGGACTATCCCACTTAAACTAAACCCCAAAACCCCCTTACATGTATTTTTTGCTTTTTATTATTTTAATATCTATTTAATACACCTGGAGTTTCATTTTCCTTATGCTTGTTGTTCAGCAGCCCCACAACCTGCATGTTCTGGTGTATGTCATCAGCCCCCAGCTCACAGAATCCCCTAGATGTTTCTGATGCTCTGTTTGTCGGTGAATGCTGATAAGACCTCTCTCACCTGATATTTTTAATATCTGTGTGTCAGGCATTACTTTTGGGTTAGTTGTCTAGTATTTATTTAAGTGACTGGAGAGAAACAAGAATTTCTGATTGCTACCTTTGGATAAAACAGATCACACTTAACCACTCTATGTTGTCTCCAAGTAGAGCCTAAAGAAATAGTTCAGATTTAAATTTCTGCATTGTAGACATCTAAAAAGTAACGTGTGAGGAGTCCTGTTTGCCATGCTGTGGATTAGCTGAGAGCAGGGAAGGTGAAATATGTTTGTTTATGCTGTCAGAAAAGAAACCTGTGTCGCTTCTGTTTGCTTTCTGGTGTGGTTCCAGAGACTTTCCAAGTAAAAAGACGACTTAAAATTTCTGATCAGTTGGATGTGTGAGGGAGGGACAGCAGGGTTTCCTTATGCATTTGGATTTATGGTCTTTTGCAGGTGTTTATCCTTCAACTGGAAGGGGAGAAACATTGGCGACTCTATAAACCAACGGTGCATTTAGCTCGGGAATATAATGTAGAATCAGAAGATCGGATTGGGAATCCCACGCATGAATTCATATTAAAGGTATTGTGATTGAATTGCTTTACGTGGTCTGGGCTGTGGTTGCCAGAAATGCAGTGGCGTTTAAAATGGTCCATTTCTTGGAGACAGTATTCTGAATGATCGTAGTTGTGAAATTGAGGGGAAGGTTGGTGCACAACATGCTACGAGCACAAGAAGTTTGGGTGATCGTTGTGTAACCTATCCTTTGTGAAAGGTATCCTTTGCTTTAGTATTTAAATAATGGATCAAGAAACCAGTTACTTCTGGAAATTGTCCAGTATTCTCCAAGTTGGGCACCCTGACTTCTGGTCATGTGTGTGGAGTTGTGTGGAGAAAACCCATTACTATGAAACATTTTTATGCTTTTACGTGCTGCCTATAATCAGTCAGGCTAATCCTTCCATGCACTAAGACTTACTGCTTTACTGAAGGTTGTCACTGTTCTGGTGAGTTGGATTTAAGTATTTATCTGTGGCTGATAAACAAAAGCATGAACCAAACCCTGTATTAACTTGCTGTTTCAATTGTTTTTTTCTTTTTCCAAACCTAAAAATCAAGTGTTACGTTGTTACTTAGAATAAAAAGAGCATTTCATGAAGATTAATGAATACAGCCCCTTTGACAGCAGGGTGCCTGGTCCTTGTCCTGGTCTGTTTCGCGTGCTTGTGCTTCCGAAGCGCGTTCCTTCTCCAGCAGCCAGCGCCGTGCTCGGTTGGAAGCCTCGTTAGCTTCTCTGCCTTGTGGCCTGTCACAGGGCCTCTCTCTGCATTTCTGCTGTTCAGACCTGCCTTCGGGTGTAGGTAGTTCAGGAATAGAATGACACATCGGATATGATGCTGACCTCACTCGCTGTGTCATTTGACAGATGGCAGTATTCAGTTGTCACGATGTGCTGGGTGATGTGAAGTCTAGTAAATTAAAGTTTCCTTTTTAATTTCTGGAACATTTTGGGCTGGACTTCAATGCTTTTGATTTTCAGGGAATAATGATCCACAAGCCATTTTACTGACATTAGTGGGGTGAAAATACTGGCCTCTGGAAAGAGCTTAAAAATTATCTAAGTTTGTAATTTATTTGCTTCTGTTTTGATGTTCTTCACTTCCTGCGACTCATTTCTTCTGGGTGGCCACTGTCAGAGTTTGGTTGCCTGTCTGGAGCTGCCTCTGAGAGGGATGCTGTCAGATGACTCTTATTTCATCCCTAAGCATCTTTCCAGAATATTTCCTTTCTCCTTTTTTCCATTTCTGTCTGCGGTCTGCAATCCTTAGGGCGTTTAGAACAAATGGACCCGTTTGAAACTCTGTTGGTGGTGTTCTCCCTTCCCACCAAAACCTGGTAGCTGACTGAGAGCAAAGGCACGCTGGTTTGTGTGTAAGGACCCAAGCTGCAGCATGTCTCGGTGACATTCCAACGGGCTGCGGCTGTGGCTGGTTTGCTACTGATGCCAAACACAAAGCTTATTTGGTAGCTGGCTATCTGGCCGCCTTCATGTTTGATTTGCCATTTAATTTGCTGGTACTTCCCCCTTCTCTGCCCGCCCTTCCTCCAGTTCAGAAGTAAGGAGGCAGCAGTGATCCACTCCGTGTGGTCTCTGGTCAGGTGCTCTGTCCTGCCCCAGTCTGGGTGTTGCCACCTGGAGTCTGTGAAGCCTGATTATTTTAACTGAGGAGTGTTGTGCTTGCTGGCTTGCGTGAATGATGTTGATGAGACTAGCCAGCAGATACGATGTGTAAGTGTTGGACTTTGCAGCAAAAACTCCTTCGAAAAACCATGATCCTGGCTTCTTAGTGGTAGGCATGGAGGATGAAAGAATTTCTTTTGCAGACTAGTTTGTCATCACTCTGGTAGGTGTTCAGAGCTATTACCTTTCCCCTGTGTGACCCTCCCTCCAGTTTGTTTTCTTGCTGGGGATGTGAAACACAGCAAATACAGAGAAGTCAAAATACTCTTAGTTGTTTAGTGTCGTCCCTACAGTGGTAAGGAAGGCAGTTTATTAGTGGCAGAGAGAGTCTTGCTTCAGACCAAGTATATCAGACATAGCTGATCTGTGACGCTTTACAGCTTGTTACAAATGGATGAAGAGACTTGATCTTGCCAAGTCCTGTGAAGCTTCATAATCTAGAGACCTTTTAATTCAGTGAAAAATCAAGTAGTATTCACTTGAAGTATATCTGTGTTAGACCGTTCGGTAGGCTCTTAGAAGTGGGTGATGTGACCAAATTTAAGGAGCGGTAAAATTAAAATGGAATCAAATTTCGTCATTGTTTCTTCATGAATTTTCTCTTTGACTGTGCTATCCAACTATATAGATGCTTATAGGAGAAGCCGTAAATAAACTGATCTTTCCTTCTTGGAGGCAATTTCGTGTGCTTTGCACTTCTCTCTCATCTTCATTTTCCTGATCTAGATTTTTATCGGTGTGGAGGTTTAATTCAGATAGGTGAGAAGAAAGATGGAGAGTAGGAAGATTGTACTTGTTTGAGTGTTTTAACTGAAAATTTCAGACAGCAGTATTGCAACAGATTACCATATTTATAGAATATTTGGCTTTTCTTCTGACGCGATCTGACCAAATTCACATTGCACTGCTCCTCTGCGAGCTGGCCGTATTGTCAGCAGGTTCATCTCAGCTGCTGCTTTGTCCGCTTTATGCAGCTGAGTTGGAATGTGCATGTTCTATAATGTTAAAAGTTTGCTTTGTATTTTCAGACAGGTGTATGGTAAATATTGACAGTAGGTTGGGAAGTTTAAGGTATTGGACTTCTGGTTTAGAGTTCTTTATGTTATTAAGTGTACAGTGGAGAATCTCTCTATTTTGTGATTTTAAAAACCAATATGTTGTCTGTCTGCTCGGAGAGTATTTTCTCTGTTTTGACTACAAAAAGGTTTGACCAGGTGCCTTAAATACGTAAGTTCTCTTTCATTTTTTTGCAGCCAGGTGACTTACTGTACTTCCCAAGAGGGACTATTCACCAAGCTGACACTCCTCCTGGGATCTCCTATTCGACACATGTGACCATCAGTACCTACCAAAACAAGTAAATTTTTTTTTTTTTTTAAAGTATGGCTTTCTTCTGCCAGATGATGTGTGTGAATAGTACAGACCTGAAACTGATGTTTCAAAGAAGTGATGTCCTGTTTCTTATAAAACCTCCCCCGTTGTAATGACTTCTGCTTACTACTTTCCTGTGTTCATTCTATTTAGCCCATGTGTGGTTTGTTTTTCTGTAATACAGGGATAGGGCATGTCACCTTCCCTAGAGATGTGGTGACATGGAATATATGTAGGTACCCCGTTATTATGTATGTGCCCTGCCCTTAGTAACAGAATCTAAGCTAGTGCTCAGGTAGCAGTATTTGAAGGTTTGAGGGAAGGAGGGGAGCGAGACCCGTGTTGTTTGAAGCAGCCTGTTTACCAGGATTTCATGCAGCAAGCTCAATTGCTCTTTAATTGGTTATTTTATTATTTACCAGCTGTAGACTTTAATGCGGAAGATAATGTTACAACTGCAAACTCATGGGTGTGTTTAAAAAAAAATCTCTCACCAGTGGCTGAAGTTACTGTTCATTTTGTAACCCAGATAGAATCACGAGTTCTTTCTTTCATCGTGTTTTCTCCTGCTTTTGATAGTCACCCGCACCTATTCTGACAGACTTGCTGCAAATTCTTCCTTTGCAAATATTTTCTTATCTGTGTTTTTCATCTCCTACCCTGTGCATGCAAGTCAGATTTCCTTTGACACACATCTCATCCCTGTGCTCACTGAAACATTGTCATCACCCAGGGAAATGCTGCTGCCACCTAATCAGCCTCTCAGATGCTGGGTTTGGTGTCATTAGCCTGAGTTAGGAATTGGGAAGGATTTCTGTTAGCCACAAAACAGGGCAGAACAAGTTTGGGCATATTCTGTATGATTGTAAGATGAATCTCTAGCCACCAGGTGTACCTTTGTGGAAGTCCAGGATGTCAGTATTGCTGGTAACCCTTAATGTGGCCAGTCCTCCAAGTTGGAGAGAGGGTTAAGATGAAGCTGCTCAAAGGTGTGAGTCTTAATAAAAGTTGGGTTTAGCTGATTTTAATTTACACTCATACACTATTGTTTTATTCAGAAGGGAAAAAAAATAAAAAAAGCTATTTTCTGTAAGCATTGACTGCTGTTGCAGAATGTTTGACTTCATTTGTTAGAGGCAATATAAGTGCTGAGCTTGGTGGCACGTTCAGGGTGAGCAGCAGTGAGCGGCCTCCAAAGAGATGTCCTGCTCCTCTGCCCTTCCCCTGCCTTTTTTGTCCCACTGCTGCCTTGTGTTGACCTGATGCTTCTCTCACCTCTGGTTTAGTGAACTGAACAGAAGAGTGACAGCAGAAGTGGGCGTTTGGGTTGTTGATGGAGGCTGGGATGGAGTGTTTTACAGCGTCCAGGAGTCCCGAGTACACAAAACAGGGTTTGACCAGCTTGATCTGTACAGAGTTACAGGTCAAGTAGTGCTGGGGAGACAAGAAGTTGGTTCCTTGTAATAGGATTGCTAGAGACCTAACAGGCTTGCGTGGAGTCAGTGCAGTTTCTCTGTGACAGTGTAAGCCTCATGCCAATCAGCTGCGTTACTTGAGAAGCGGTGGGTGCTGTTGGGGAGCTTGTTTCCTGGGCACTTGAGTCAGAATGAGGAGAGGAAAAAGGAAAAGCTTGAAGAGTGCTTTTCTTCTAGGGATGAAGTGCATGAACCTGCCTCTGCACATGCTTTCTGCAAGCATAGGAAAAATAAGCAGCAGTCTTGATACAGGCTGATATTTTGATTTGGCTTGTAGATGGAAGTATGGTCTAGTAACATTTCCTTGGAAAATTTAAGGGAACTCCTTGAAAATAGCTCTCCTTATTATGGAGTATGTTTGGACTCCTCGTGACCACTCTGGAAGCAGCGTGTACAGAAGGAGCTGGGAGGGGAGGAAGTGCTGGTGAAGGTGGCACTTCCAGAGATTTGTAGGCACCAAGACAAGAAGGACTCCACTGTGCAGTGTAGGGCAGTTCCTCTGGGCCAGATCCCAGTAGGCAGAGAAGTGTCTGTGAGTTCATTATAAATAGGGCAGTTTGGAAGAGCAACGAGTAGCTGAAGATAGTTGCTGGCAGATGGAGACTGGGGCAAAAGAAGGGAAGCAGTAAAGCGTATAAGATGTCTAATTCCATTTATTGGACAGAGTCCTTCCCTTCCCTCCCAGTGTGTAGCAGACAGTGGGGACAATTTAAAAAAATGTAAATGAGACTATAACAAGTTATACTTTTTTTTTTTTTTTTTTTTTTTTTTTTTACCTAAAGTAGTGTCTAGAGATCAGTGCTGAAAACAGGGAGTGTTGATGGAGAGCAAAAGCAGAGGGTCAAATGTCCTTTGGAGGAGAGGCCGTGCTCTGCTGCCCGCCCTAGTTGGGTGGGAGGCTGCAGGCAGCCTTGGGTGCTGGGCACTTGCCCTGGTGGTTTGCCCATTAAACAAACCAGCCTCTGGGGATGCTGCAGGGGGAGAGGGCACACGTGGGCAGGACAGCACTTTTGTGTGAGCAGCATGCCAGTTTCTGATGAGGTTGATTCAAGCTAGACAAAGGAGGTGAAGGCAGTAGTCCCTTCTCCCCTCCTCTAGTTTATTTTTACAACTGGGGGACAGAAGCACAGAGATCAAAGGCCGTTTTTAAAATTTTTTTAACTATGTAGACTAAAAATGGGGATTTAACACAAACAAGACAACTACAAGGTGCTTGTTAAATATCATTAAAAGCCCTGTTGATATATGCAGGGGTCTTGTTCCTGGGGTCATAATTAAGTTTGTAATAAAGCTAAAAACTGATGCCACGTTGGATTTGATAACTCTGGGTACATTTCCTCCTTCAGGGTAAGCGTCTCAAGAGCATGTTAAATGACACAACCCCACGCACTTCATTGGGTGCAGTGAGGCCCTATGTGTGCGTGGTTGGATATTGATGGCCCCAGTAGGAGGAATTCCTTGATTTACTGAGGTCAATGTTAAGCTGAATCCACTGGTGAATGGCAAGCACCTGGATCGGAACAAACTGGACCCTTCCCTCTCTGGGAGTGCCGCTGCCCTGAAGCGAGTGAGGACACACGTACAGTTGAGATGAGTGAGCTATTGTGTGACACCACAGAGTGGTAATGGAAGAGCCAGAGGCACGAAGCAGATTTGACATTGGGGCACACTACATTTCCAGCCCTTAACCTCAGTTAAGATGTCTGTTTTATTTCAGTGCAACTATTTTAAATTTTTTTTTTTTTTCTTTCTTCCTGTCCTTCAGCTCTTGGGGAGATTTCTTGCTGGATGCAATTCCTGGCCTTGTGTTTGATACAGCAAAAGAAGATGTGGTGCTGAGGACAAGCATACCAAGGCAACTGCTTATGGTAAGCAGGTGGGACTAAGGGAATAATAGTGCATCCAGCTGAAACTTCAGCCCTGAGGCAAGCATGTGTCTTGTTGATCTGCTCCGAAAGCTCAGTGCAATGGCACTATCTTGTCTAGAGGTACAAAAGTCTTCAGGATGACTGTACTGAGGTTTGCTCCATCCGAAGCACTGCCTAGTTCATTGCCCTGCCTTTCATTCATACCACGGTGTCCTTGTATGACTTGTTTCCTTCTAAAAGTAATGGTATTTGCTTTGGAGCTGTCAGACAAGCATAGTCCCTGTCAGGCCAAGCATCTGAACCTTTAAAAGCTAGCAAAGCTGTAAATTGTTCTGTGACCTCTTGACGGCAGTCCAGTTGCATTGCTGATCAGCTCATCAGCATGCAGAAGGAACACGTTTCTCTTTCAACTACACTTGAAGTCCCTTCGCATTGCAGGTAGCCCCGGAGTGAGGGTAAGTGGGCATCAGCTTTGGTGTGTGAACAGCTCGTGGGGAATGTGTAAAGAAACCAAAGTTTGCTGTTTTGGGAGTACATGTCACCCTTTGCAAAGATAAAAGAGGAGTGTCCAGATTTTCACTGCATTACTGCACCACTTTAGGCTAGTCTGTTTAGTTTGAATTCATGCGAGCAACTCTCTGTGAATATTTAGCAGGTGGATATAGCTGACTCAACAAAAAAGCTAAGCAGCCTTTTGAGAAGGCTTGCAGACCGTCTGGAAAACACCAGAGAACTGAGGTCATCTGACATGAAGAAGGATTTCATTATGAACCGGTTGCCACCTTGCTTGGGATGTGACTCTGATCCTTTGACTCCAGGTAGATTTTCAAGTTACCAGAACTGGCTGATGTGATGGTAGAGCTGTTGCTAACTCTGCCTTTGGTATTTTATGGTAGGCAAAGATTATCAGCTTCATGTTGTGTGAGGCCCTACGTGTGCACACCTCAGTTGGTTAATTCCCTGTATCTAGTCTAAGAGATGACACGTTGCTCTTAGAGTGACGTAAAGGTTATCCTAGACTGGAATTGGCAGCTTTAATAAACTACTGCGTACTGAGGATGTTTAACTGGTAGAATTTGTCCTTATGCTCTAGCTTGCTATTAAAGCTATTTGTAGACAGTAAAGATGAGAGAATTACAAAAAAAAAAAAACAACAAACTCTCCTCCCCCCCTGCAGGGAGTTTGAAAACATGTGGGTGTTGAAACACAGGTTAACAACAGTCTAGCCACAAGAGTGGGTAGTGCACAGGGGCTCAGTTTGCACCGTTTATCTGGTTTCCTTCCTTTCTGATGAATTTATTTTTCTTAGGTGGGAAATTGCCAAAAATAGATAGCAAAATCAGACTGCAGTTTAGAGATCATGCTATTGTTACAGTGGAACCAGATCAAGAGAATTCCGTAAGTGTAACGAAGCCACCCTGATACGCTTGGGCTGGGAGGGTGGGGCTGGGAGGGCGAGGTGTGGGAGTTGCTCTGTTGTACTGGTCCGAGAGGGTCGTGCCCTCACGCCTCGCTGGATCCGAACAGACCCTAGGAGGGTGCAGGACATCATGGGCTTGTGGTGGAGTGGTAATACAGCACGTTTGTGCCTTCTGGGGGAGAGCTACAGAACTAAATTTAGCCTGTGATTCTGCATGGTAGGTGCATGGCTTTTCTCTGAGGTTAGGTGGGCTCGATCATTACAGCTGTGAAATGGCCTCTATACCTTTTGATAATGGAATTTTTTTTTGCCTTTGTATCTAGGCACAAATAAGTTATAAAAATAGGTTCCCTCAAGTGTGGGCATTGTCTGTGTTGTCGCTGCTGACCGTGTGGTCAGTCTTCACTTCCAAGTTACCGTTGTACCCGAGTTGTTCCATAGAGTAGATGCTGGCATTTTGGATTACAGTGTGTTCACACTACTTCTTATCTATGAAGGTTTATTAGTATGAAATTGTAGAAGTGCTTTTTGTTGCCTTAAATTAAAAAAAAAAGGGGGGAAGACTGGATGGGACAGACTAGCTTGACAGTTTTGTGGGTTTTTTTGCACGAGTAAAATGTTTCCCTTGGAGAAAAACATACCATAACTTTCTGACTTTTCTTTTCCATTTTGTGTCCATATTGCTGTGAGACTCTGTAGGTTTGGCAAACTATATTTCTGCCTCACCTTCTGGTATCATGCAGATAAACCCTGAATGACAGGACACATGCAAGACTTGTGTCCACAAATTCGATGTGAGACCTGCCCACAGAGCTCTAAATTGGTTTGCACAGCTTTGACCGAGGAATGGTAACAGGCATATGGTTTTTGAGAGACAGCTCAGTATTGGAATGGAAATTTATTGGTGCACACTCATTCATGGAGACCTTCTAGGAGGTGCACCGTAAATGCTGTGTTTTCTATACAGCATCAGACCTGTGAGTGCAGCAGAGGCAATATTAAGGCAGAAGATTATAGGTAGTAAGTGCATTTTCAAATATGGAGACTCCCTTAATGCTGTAGTAGATGGCTGTTGGATCACTGAGTTAGGAAGGTGACTTTCTTTCATTGATGTAACAGTGGCCTCCAGAATTAAGGCACTAGCATTGTCGCTTCATCTGCACCCTCAAATTCATCTCACTTGTTTGACTGGGTTTTTTTCCTGCTGTCTTTTAGGATGAAATTCGCAGAGATATGGTTTATGTCTATCATTCCTTAAAGAACAGGAGAGAAACTCACATGATGGGGACAGATGATACTGCTAGTGAGGAAGGCTCACCACAGGTTTGTGCCCACCAACACACAACAGCTATGCTGCCGCGTTGGGTTTTGCTGCATTAGATGGGCTTGACTGAAATGGTAGCAGGGGCCTGAGTTCTGCTGTATTCCTCAGCACCCAAAGCTGGTCTGCCCCTCCCCTCAGTGCCCAGAGGGGCTGAGGCTGCAACAGAGGCAGTTAATGGTAGAACTAAGTAATGCCATCTCATGCTCAATTACGTTTGAGATGTTAACAGGGTTTCTTGCACATACCTCATGTCCTAGCTAGCAAAGCTACTGGAGGGGCTGGAAGCGTCTCCTCCTTCTGTGCCCTTTAGCACATCCTTTATTCAGCTACTGGATATGCTGCTGGCAAGTGTTCAGCAGCAGCAGAGATCACTGCACTGCCACGCTGAACCCCCTGTTGGATTTTGTATCCACTGGAACATGCTGCAAGATAACGGTGTTGATTTTAGGGTGGGGTGGGTCAGCACTGGGAGAAAAGAGAACTCTTTTACTGAACTGTAAGAACAGAAAAAAAAAAAAAAGGGAACTTTTAAATATTGTTAATAAGGCTGCAGCTGGTTTGTCTTCATTCTTACTCAGCATGTACAGTGTGCTTTCATTCAGATCATAAATATTCCTGGAGAGTGTCCGTGAGCTTCAGGACTTTGTGTTCCACTTTATGCTAGTAAGATGCTCTGTCTTATGTCTGTGCCCTGAAACACTTGAATACAGGTCTGCACAAATACACCACAGAGGCAAAACAGAACACAGCTTCTTCTTGTCTCAGTATTTACAGCAAGGCTTTGTGCCTGGCAGTTACTTACCTTTTAAGGTAAATCCCATCGGTCCTCTAGAGTAGAGAATAGGGGTAGCTGAGGTTGTGTGCTGGCACCTGCAAAATATGTATGTGCAAATCCCAGAATGTACCTTCCTGCCCTTAGCAACTCCAGGCACAGTTATGGAGGTCCTCTGTGGTTCTGTCCAACTCTGCCCAAGTGTGGCAGCTAGAAAGAAACTTACACGGCTTTCAGAAAATAATGGCTAGGGTTAAATTAAAGCGTAAGTTTAAAGTTATTTAATTCTTCAGTGTGGCAGCCACATGAGATAGCCATACACCTTAGGCTTCCCTCCCATTTAAGATGGGCTAGAACACATAAGAGATTTCAGGTATTTTTCAGTTAAGACAGGAGGCAAGATAATACTTGCATCTTTTAGAGGAGGTGCTCAGAAATACCAGTGTGAGGAGGGAAAGGAGCACATAGCTCCTGATCACTACCTGTAGCCTAACACACTGTTGTGTAATAAGGGACACTGCATTTAACCAAAGGATTTTTTTTTTTTTTTTTTTTTTTTAATCCCAGCAGACTCATGGCCTGCGGTTTCCTTTGTCATACCTGGATGCACTGAAGCAGATTTGGAGTAGCAGCACTGTTACTGTTAAAGAGCTTAGCCTTATCTCAGACGAAGAGAAAGAAAACCTTGCCTTGTCTCTATGGACTGAATGTCTAATTGAAGTTATTTGATGCTTTTGTGACTTAGCCTTATTAAATGACTTTTTTATCCATCCAGCCTTTGGTTTGTATTCCTGTCTACCAAAGCATTGCAGTGTATATACTTTGCTACTTGTTGCTGCCCAATGTTACTTTTCTTTCCTTAGCTTTGGGAAAACAGGCATTGGGAAAAACAGGTAAGCTGCTCATTGTCCAGTGAGCCACAGCTCCAGGTCTGTAGATGGACAAGTCACCAGTGCTGTGCTATCCCCTCCCCTCTGGATAGATGTCTCGAGGTGGAGGACATCTCAAGGTAGGCACGGAACAGGCTCCAGGACCTTGGGCAAAAACCAGTAACTTGTTTTCTCATTTGTAAAGTTCACCAGCAAAAAAATGCGTTTGTTCTGTTTTGCCCTAAGAGAACAAATGCTTCTCCCTAAAAGCTATGTATGTTGTTTCCCAAGGGGGTAAGACTTTGTCCCAAGAAACTCCCTCTCAGATGCTGCCACTGCTGGAATAAACAAGCGATAGCATTTAACCTCTACCTCCCCCAGCACCGATTTAATGTGAAAGTAACCCCAACCTGTAACTGGAGTCTGCATCTTCAGTGCTCACTTGAGTGGGTTCTGAGGGGAGCAGGGCAGTTATTTTAATATTTGCACAAGTGTTTAATATGCAAACTAATGTAACAGCACAGTCATAGATTCAATGTCCTTAACCCTTTTTTGTCCCTTTGAAAGCAGTTATTTTACAGGAATGTGCTTGACGTCTGCTAAAAACTATTGTTGTATGTAACTTGTTCACAAAGAAACCAACTGGCAAAACGTTCCTTCTAAAAAACATTTTATACAGTTAAAATATACATGCTTAGCATTTTACATTCAAGATCTCTTAAGTACAAAAGCCTGCTTTACTTTGTTATTTAACACTGACACACCAAATACGATTTAGTCATTCTTGGTTTAAAAGACTAGAACTTTTTACACAGGCTTTTAAAATTTCCTACGGAAAGCAAGTCACCTGTAGAACACTTCATATACTGACTTACATAAAAAAAAGCTAAACAGGTACTTAGTTGGAAAAATATATACAGACGTTTGAAAATCTGTTACTTAAACAGCAGATTTATGATAATTTTAGAATGTAAAATAGTAAGTGCAAGTAGATATTTTTTAAATAGTACTATATAGAACTCTAATACAAAAATAGACATCAATATATTTTATTTCTGTGTCAAACTTAGTTACGTGTGTGTGGTTGGTTGGGGATGAGTCCTGTTTGAATGCACAACTGGAATACTTACAGCTTTTGGGACCTAAAATATCTGTCTTTAGCTAACTTAAATTCTTTAAATAGTTATAGAAATACATACCCTGAATATACAAATAAGAAAAACAAATATTACATTTTTAATGAAGTGGATTTAGTGATGCTGAAATCAAATGAAGTGACCAGTGACCTAAGGGACTTCTCTTTCGTGTCAGGTGTTCACAGCCCTACAACTATCCGCGGTTCCTTCTGCATTTGTCAGTGTTGGGCAAGGAACAAGCTGTTCAAGTTTGCAACACCTGCAGTCTAATAAGGTATTTGGCTCTGTCTGTGTCAAGCGGTAGCTAGCAGGCTGGTTGCACAGTGCTGAAATGGAGGAAAGCACCAGCATGCCAAGGACTGGACTGTTAGCCCAAAGGACGAGGGCTGAGACTAAGTTGTACATGTTGTTGATGAGCCACAGCAACGTTAACGTGCAGTTATGCTGTTAATATCAAGCAAGCGTTGACGTGCAGGCTGCTAGCACCTTTGAAAATAGAGACTGGGGTAAATGGTGGCTGAAGGAAGACATGGTGTCAAGACCAAATTACATTGTATTAAATTAATCTATATACATCACAACAAAACATCTAGAGTTAAAATCATTACTGCTCTAAATGCAGCTAGCCCTTGCAGAAGTCTAGCCTGACCCAGGCCCATTTATTTTCTTTTGATGCATGCACATATGGCTCCACGTTAAAGGTGATCTTCAGTCGTAACTGACAATTTCAAGGGTTGGAAATGGGCCGTGGGTCAGCAAAACCAGTTCCTCAATCTGGAAATTTGGTACTGTTAAAACAAATGAAGACAGAGGCCTACCAGTAATGTCGCGGGGGGGGCAAGAGGGAGTTTTCCCTGTTGCTTCATTTCACATGCTGAGCTGGCATTTCCAGCTTGAAGTTGTCTTCATGAATAAATTGCATTGTAACAAGATACTCAATTTGAGCTTCAGGCTTGCTTGGAGCCTAAACAGCTTCACTTGGGACATAAAAGCCCAACTCAAGCTCTTTCAAGCTCATCAGTGCATTCATTCTTCAGTGAGCTTCCATCAGTTTGAGAGGAAGGTAAAGACAACAGTTCTAAAGAGCCCTTCACGTATTATCTCTTTGCAGTATCCTACAAAACTTGTGTCGTATTTTGCATTTACTTTTAATACTTCGGATGAAGAGTAATAGTGACTTTCATAGGAGCGGCCTCTAAAGAATTGGTGTCCCTGCAGAAAGGCATTAGATGAACCTCCCATCTTCCAGATTTGTGCAAAATTCAGTTGTTTTAAGAGCTGGTGCCTGGTATGAAGGAAAGTAGAAGTTGCTGCTTAAGCTTCCAGTGGTGTGTGACTTCAGTAGTTTGGGTTTTTTCCCCCTCTTGGTGTTACTAACCCACACAAGGTCCATCTGTGTGGTGGGTTTTACTCACAATATTTCAATATCCCATTTTTGTGAACGTTTGTCATCTGTTGGCTGATTCATAACGATGTGATTCTTGTCATAATAATTTCCTCCTTAAAAACAAAACAAAATCACGAAGGAGAAATTTTAAAAAGAAATGCTCAGAAAAGTCTGTGTATAATCTTTAGGAAGTGTGACTAAATAGGAAAATCAGCTGAAAAATAGAAATTCTGTGAGGGAGGGGGCTGATGTCTGCCCCTCTGCCTCTCTATGTCTGTCTCCTTCAAACTGTCACTCGTCAGCTTAGGCCCCGAGGAGCTCCTTTAGCTAGGGAGCAGAGTGTACCACAGACCAGAGTCCTCAAGGGCACCTCTGTGCACAGGAACAGCATCTCTGAAGAGGTTTCGTGTTTGGCAGATACCGAGCTCCTGCTCTGTGTCTGGATTTCTGAGGCACACATTGCTGTAGTAGAAATACACAGATTCACAGATACTATGTGGGACTATTTGGTGTAGCATATCCATTGCAACAACAAAGTTGGAGAGTCTTTAAAACAAAATTTCTCTCCTGTGAATACATGTAACAGAGAAATGACAGTGCATTTTTTATCTTTATACCATAAATAAAAATCCACTAAAGGAAGTGTTCTGAAATGCTATCGAGTGGTATCGTGCCCCTGCAGCCTTTAACATTCTATTTTGGAGTAACCCAGGAAGCACAGCGCTCTGATACTGTAAGAGTTGCCATCAGTATCACCAGCTGCATTTAATGGCTTTGTAGTTAAGTATTTATGAATTAGTAATGGTGGCTGAACTCCTCAGTTCTGGAAGCCGGGAATGCTCTATGAGTTCAGCATCACGGGGCTGAGAATTGAGCTGCAGAGGTCAGGTGGGTAACGGCCAGAAGGACTTTCACTGAAAAGGCTGACGGCTTCACCCATGGGATGTGCCCTCACCCTGGTCTGCAAGCCCTGCAGGGGTGTCAGGCTGTCCATCAATTCAGTTAGACCTTTCCTCTGAGCAGGCACCACCACAGAGCCCCCAGCCCGATAACCAGCCACTGCGGTCCTGGCCCCACGCCGTTTCCCTCGGGCTAAAACCTTAGTGCCAGCAGCAGGGCTGGAACAAACTGGGTGTGAGGAACAGGCATTCTCCAGTGAGGTAGTTCTACCCTGATGGATAATTGGAAGGCTCTGGACAGGAGCAATGACAATTTGAACCAGCCTGAAAAGATCAGGACTGAGCACTTCTCACTTTCTGAGTCACATCTATTCCACGGTTGCTTTTCCTTCACCATTTTGTCTTCCATAACTTGCATTTCTTGCCATCAGCACTACTGAACTCCCTCAAGTAGAACAGTCGATTTGATCAAATTAAACCTCTGGAATCAAAAGAGTAAGGTTCCCCCTGCCCTGCTGTTTCTTGTCCCACTGTCAAGCAAGTGGACATACCCCTAACAGGAAAGACAGGATTCAATATTTAACCTTCAGTACAAAAATTGCTGGAATACGGCAATTAACCTCAATCAGAAAATGCACTTAGAACATGTGAGGTTTAGTAGTTTGATTTTTTTATAAAAATACCTTTAATATCAAGCACCAGTTGTTCACTGAGGTATGAACTGATGGTTCCATCCTCATTGAGTCTCCACTTTTGCCTGTCCTTCCCGTGCTCTGCCCAGAGCGCGACCTTGGCCCCAGGCACATCTCTGCCACCGATGACATCCAGACAGGCATTGTTAGCCTAAGAAACAAGAAGGGAAGTGAGATCCAGGCCACTTCCAAGCCTGGGATTTGTGTCTGACTTGCTTCTGTCTCAGGCACCGGGTGTACTGCAGTAATTGTGCTGCAGCGGGTAACAAGCCTGGCAAGCAAGCTAGGAACAGATTATTCAGCAGTTGACCAGCTGCTTGATCAAAGGTGGTGGTCTTTTGTTACTTCAGGTGTTTCTTGTGTTAAATCACCAACTTTTTATATTGATAACAGACTATCAAAGGCAGCATCAATGCAAAATCCCTTACTTTCTTTGCATATTACTTTTCAGAGAAATTCTTAACTCCATTTAGTGGTAATAAACTTAAACTCGCTACCTCAGACAAAAGCAGGTTTCTACTTCCAGTCCCATTAGACAGATGTGAAAAATGTGAAAAGTAGCCCAACTTGTCAAAGCGGACAGATTTGATCTGTCTATACACAGTAGGAAGATGTAGGTTTTAAGAGTTTTGGTTGAAGATGCATGGGAGAGGCCAAAAGCTACCCTGGTGTTAACGCTAGCCTGCAGTCCAAGCAAGAAGTGAAGGTGAGAGAACAGCCGGGGATACAGCCCACCCACTCCCAGCATATGGAAACTCACCTTGGATTTGAAGAGCCCACGACAGTAGTGCCAGATCTGGGTGTTCTTGCCATTGTAGGGGGACGCACACACCGATGTTGCTCTTATATCTGCGAGGCTTCCAGCAACTGTCAGGTATTTACCCTGGGCTCGGTTCCGCACTCTGAGGTACACCGCTGGCTGAAATAGTGTGGGGGAAGATAGTTACAACACAGAGATTAAGCAAGCTAATGTCAGAATGCCTCCCCTCCATCTTCTATCAGTTTTCTAAAGTATATATTCCATTTCCAGTTTCAGATGAAGAGGTTCAATAACTTTTTTTTGTTGGAAACAACTGTGCATGTAAAGCAGCAGTGTTTTTCACAGGCAGAGACACAGCGGTAAGCAGCAGTGGCAGACAGTTTTTTTTTTTTGTTTTTTTTTTTTTTTAATGTATTTATGACTATAGAACTAATCCCTGTGACATGCAAATAGCTCTAGTTCAGCACATTTCACTCATTCCAAGGCCAGTAAATTGGCTGTAATCCACAAGCTTTTTATTCTCGTGACACAACAACTTACTGAGTCATGTATCCAACAACTTCAACCCCCATTAACTGGCGTATACGGCAGAGAAGTTACACCACTGCTTTTGAACATACATAGAAAACAGGGCAATGGCTTGGCATCCCTGTTTAATAAGGAGATTTTTGCAGGACTGCTACAGGGGTTGAGCTTTTGCTCTGTTACTGATTTTGGTGCAAATAGCAGTGGGTTATGAAGGGCAGCTCTGCTGGAACTCTAACTCAAGCATAGTTTTTCTTCTGGGAGCTTTGAATCTCCTTTTTTTCATATTAAAACAAATGCTAAGATACAGACAAAAAAGCTTCTCCCCCATCAAGCATCCATAAACTAATGTGTATTAGAACAGTGTATAATTATTCTTTACAAGGACACGATGGTATTACAGAGTCACTGAGCAAAATTTTTGTGTCTCATTTTGCACAAGTTTCAAATGTTCCACATTTTCTTGTATTACCTCTTATACTGGCAGATTTCACTGCTTTCGTAAGTTGTAATGGAGCCAGAGGGAAGAAAAATGAACTGGTGCAGGTTTGCAGTACTACTCCAGTCTCAAAAAACCCGACCATACACTCACAGAAGTGTCAAGCACAGGTAGCTGGCTGCACAAACTCAAGGAAGCAGTCAGTTTGCAGGGTTTAAAACAAAACCAAAAAAACCCAAATAAAAATCGCACAAACCCCAAATGTCAGCATCCCAGCAAAGTAGCTGAAGCAGGTCTTAAAACGCTACTCACTGCTGCAGTGTGAAAAAGCATGCCACCAAATACAAATGCTCTTCAGATTGCTGGCTGAAGAGAGAATTCTAGTTTTAAGATCAGCACAAATAATTTCCATTATTATTTGCAAAAACAGAGCCAGAATGGGATCCTTTGGTAGTTACCACTTCCAAAGAATTCCAAGGAGCTGTCAACTTCTTGAAATAACAAATCATTGGGAGACAAAAAAAAAAAAAAAAAAAATTCCTTTACTTTTCTGGGGGGCAGGGCAGATAATGCGTAACTAATGCTAAAGATTATTATTTCTGTTTCACTGCAACATTTCCCCAGTCGAATCCAGTGTTTAAAAATAAAGCAGCATTTGTCACGAAGTGGAAGGGAGTTCTGTGAGAAGCAGAGCTACCAAAAACTCTCTTCCAGCTGAGTCCCTGCTCACACGCCCTGCCACTCTCCCCTGCCCTCCCCCGCTCCGCCCCTGCCCAGCAGCGTGGCTGGGCGCGCAGCAGCGCACCCTGTCGCTGCTTTGGAGCTTGTGGGTGTCACTGATGACCTGATGCGCCTTGGAAAGGCAGAAGAGCAGCACTCCACCCGCTCTTCCTTGAGGGAGGGGCGTTTATCTCAGTCTTGCTTCTCTACCTTCCACAAAGCTCCGCAGAACTCTGTGGTTTTGAGACCTGACTCTCTGAAGGAGGTCGAAATGGCCGTTACTTGGGGTGAGGCAGAGGGGGAAAACCTGGTGGGACTGCATAAACTTGGCTGCTTTTGCAAGTCCAGGCTACAGCACAGTAAAATTTGCTCATGCTTCCATTTATGTTAATTATGAAACAAGCCAATGTAGAATTGGTTTTCTCATTATTGTTGTTATATGGCAAAAATGTAAAAATAGAGCATCTACAGAACATGCTAATGAGCCATTCAGAAAAACAATACTTGGCTCCAAAAAAATAGGAATTATTTCCCTTCAGGAACCTAATATAGATCTCAGTAACTGCCACTAGAGGAATTTTCTGCTTCAGTAATCATCCAGTAGGTCCTTCAGGCTGTCACCATTTGGCCTGATTTAAGAAGTACAGTGCACAGCATTATATTTAGTGGTAGAGCTGATACTTGTGCACTAATCCCTGTCAAAAAAAAAAAAAAAAAAAATCCTCATACATTCTTACAGTACCTGCTTCACAGGACGAAGGGAGCCGATTACTTTCCAGCCACTGTGTTCATTCCAGTTTGAAATCTCACTGGGCTCCAGCAGGATCTGCTTTCCTAAAAAATTAGATCCCTCGTATGCAATCCACCTGGATACAGAAAATGAAAGACTACATGTTAACCACAGCAAAACAAAACTACAGGCTTGTGTTCAGGACTGCGCTCCTGAAAGCCCCCAAACCCCTCCACAGTAGTGCTAGCATCAAACCTCTGTTCCTGTGCCACAAAATGCCATCCGTGTCAGTGGTTTAACTATCTTCTGCCTAAATTAAGACCCGGTTTCCATTTGTCTGCCTGAAACTTGTAAACTCTGCTCCCCACCCCCCCCAATTTTTCCCCACAGATAGGAGAACCTCTGTGTGAACCCGGATGGCAATAATGTGGGTTTCAGTGGGCACACATTAGGAAACTTGGAAGCCACACACCAGATTGCACTGCTTGCAGCTTTCCCTGGTTGTATGTGTTAATTATGAGAGCATTTTGTGCAATGTTTTCTTTTGTTAAAGCTTTTTATAGCTATTCCACTTGTCTGAAAACACATACAAAATATTTACTGCAAAACCTACACATTGCTGTAACAGACTTCCCTGTAGTGAATATATCTGAGCCATGGACATGGCTGAATGCTTTAACACAGTGTTAAAGCTCTGGCACACACAGGACCCTTGTTACCCAGGCATCTGCTCAGTAAATACTGTGTTGCTGCTTACAAAGGCAGTCTCAGGATCACAGATTGGTTTTGTTTCTATCAATAGGACATTGTTGTGCAGATAGGGAATCCTAAATGCTTGACTGATTAACTCATCTGAACACAAAGCAAATACTGGTTTCCCCCACTTACCTGTTTTACACGTCAGCTGCCAAGAACACGAGGGATGGCTGCACTCGAAGTCAGTGAGAAAACATCCACAACCAGTGCTCGCAGCACCTGTAATTTTCTTTTCCCCATTGCATGTAATTTGGAGAAACTAAGAGCCAGCCTGGCTCGGGACTCCGTGGAGACCGAAGTGTGCCAGCTGTGAACTGCCTTGTAATGAGGCTTATCACTGCCTCTTCAAATGAAGTCCCGTACCTCCTGACTAACAGGTATTTGGAGCAGCCTGACCGCCCCTGTGTGTTCCTTACACTTCTAACACACTTCTGACTTTTTTTTCTTGTGATGCTTTCTGTCAAGTCGCTGAGAACTCACTGTTAATGTTGCTCTCGGAGCATCGAACAGTCATTTGAAATGCAGTTTCACAGCAGACATTTATGGGAAGCAGAAAGGGGAAAGACTGCTACAGTAATAACCATGTGAGCCAGGTTAGGCTTCTAGCACCCAGAGACAAAACTCATCTTGGGTCTCACACAGACCAACAGCACCATCTTTCCCACACCTGGAGTAGCTCAGCCCACAGCCCCCTTGGCCAAGCTACAGTCCAGGCCATTCCTCACTGAGATGGTCAGCTGGCTCAGGAAGGATCCTTGCACCTCAGCCTGGCAGCAAGATGCCATTGGTGTATCTACATTTGTCATTTGTCTAAAGCTGACAGTAGGCTTTGGGGCAAGGAGCCAAAACCCCTCTGATTTAGGGGTTCCTGAACAAACCCTCTAGGGCATCCCCCAGGCTTCCCACAACCACCTGCCACCCTCAACCTTCAGGCTACCTATCTGCAGGGTGGGATGGGGACAGGCTGTGGAGGTCTGTTTCCTAGGGAGCATCACCAGGAGCTTGGGGAGAGCCCGGCCATTCTGCCCTGACCCTTCCCAGAGACAGGGAACCAGCTGACCCGTCTTGGACACTCAGCCACGAGCAGGAAGATGGAGAAGGGGCTGGGCTGTTCTGCTCACTCTCCCGTGCTTTTCTACGTGGTCCACAAGCCATCACCCTTCCTTTACAGCCAACTGCACAGGCAAAGTGATTTAATTTTCAGTTCCACACCCCTGATGAGAGGGCAGAGAAGGCTCATACAGCCCACAGGACACGCTTTAGACCATAACACCTCCACAGAGGCATGAAGGTTTACATGATCCCACCAGAAATGTCAGGCGTTCCTCCCAAAGAAGGCCCTTCCTCCCCCAAACTAGCACAGAGCACGGGGAATGCATGTCTGCTGTTCTCAGCCTCAAAGGGCAGCTGCTTGTCTCTCTCACTCTGGGCACTGCAAGACAACAGCAGCAGATGATCACACTCTCCGTATTTTCAGCAAGGGCTCAGGATGGAAGTGGCACAGATGTTTGGGAGTGGAGTTGATAGTGAATTGGCAAAGCTCTGTGGGCAAGCTTAGATTCACTATGGGTCCACAGCTAAAGTCAACAGCTACCGACTGCTCTTAAAGAAAGGAAGGTTCAACACTTAACCAACCTTTCAGGAAAGTGCTTGTGTCAAGTTCCTGAAAGAAAAGAGTCCACAGTCCTCTGGAGCATTAACTAGGTTAGGCTTAGCCTTTGCAACAACCTCAAAACATCAGAGGAGCGCTCAGCAGTGTCATCACAGATATCTCTAGAAGTGTTTTGACTTCTAGGTGGTAACAGACTTGATGTGTTTGAAAAATTCATCATAAGAATCACAACAGAGATAGACCTAAGCCCCAAACAGTCTGCGCTAATTCCTTGCCAGTTAGTTCAAATTTTGCGTGGTTTTGTATCATCCCATAAGATCTCTCACGAAAATTACAGTCTGGTCTACATGAAAAAGGTGGGGAAAAGGTTAAAAATAAATACAGGAAACGTGCGTCACATTAAAACAACAGCAGTTTCCAGTCAGTCTCAGTCACGGGACAAGACGATGCAAGTTATTTGTTGCTGCTGTGGATGTGGAGGCTGAAAACCCGGCTGAGACAGAATACTTGGGAGATTCTCCAAAAGGAGAAAGGCGGAGATGCAGAAGAGGTTAGAAGGTCACTTCTGCGTATGTAAAATGGTTTTCACAGAAGACTGTGGGTGTGTATTCACACTCATGGAGGTGGGGTTAAACTAATAACAGCAGCTAATTACTGTTCCAGCTGTCAGATCCGTCCCAGCTTCCCTGAGAAGCTGTTGCCCCTTTGGCAGCTGATCAGCCCATCGAACTTCACTTTAGGTTAACTTTAAGTTAAATCACTGCAGTTTATAGCTGGTATTTTACAGCCAGTTAATAAAGGCAGTCTGAGTTTACTCTACCTGTCTAAGTCAGCAATCAAAACTTATTTACTTTTGGTTCCTGGCTTGAATAACAGGCTCTATTGTTCATCACTGTATAGGGATGATTCTTACAGGGGGAAGTACACCCTCTGCCCAGAGTTTTTGTTTAGTTTGGGTCTTGATACAAAAAGCGGGTCTAGCATTCAACCGCATTTTAGGATTTTATATTGTCTCAAAAGAAAAGTTAGAATGTAAAACACCTTATGAAAAAATGCAGTAATCGAGAGAAAAGGCATGCTCAGTATTAGCTCCTATAATGCAAAACTGACCAGAATATTTCTTCCATACTTACAATCCACTTCTCACCCATACAGACTGAGTGTAAAAATGAAGGTCCTCATTCAAAACAGAATTGACGGGTTCACTGAAGTGCAGCTCTCTGCCCTTGCAGCATTCCAGAGCAAACAGACTGATGGAGGGCTCAGCAAAAACCTGAGGCAAGGGATAGGAGAAAAAAAAAGCAAAAGTTTTACTAGGCATAGTCTAACTTCAGTTGTTAGGCATGATGCACACATCTACCCACTTCAGTTTAATTTCCACATGCTTTTGAGTTAGATCATGCTCCCTCAGCAAATGTAACAGCGAGGAAAAAAAAATGTACATCCACCAACAAAGCACACAGATCTGAAACATACTGCATTTCCCAGGGGCTTTGTCATCAGAATATGGTGCCCCACTGACACAGGCCAGACACAGTGAGTCGCTTCGAGATGCAGAGGCCTCTGCATTTGAAAAAATCTTTGATCCAATTCATATCAGATCAGGGCCTTGAGTCCTTTTTATAAATCCGGTTTATTTATTTATCGACGGGACAGGTTACAGCAGTAATTTTCAGGGTGATCTGAAGATTGCATCTAAAGTAGTGAGGCAAATCACAAGTCTATTGTCCATAGACTTCAATTAGCAGTGGTTCACTGGAAAGATCTTAAGGATCTAACAAATGGGGAAAGGTCAAAACAATGAGAACTAAAAAGTTCTCAATGTTTTTAACAGACATTCCTGTTTTTCTTCTGACAATCTTAAAGAAATAATTAGTAGCCCCTTTAATGTCATATAGAATTGAAACATTTTTCACTTAATGTCCTTTTCTACAGTTGAGAGATTGCCTATGAAAGCAAATAAAAAGATCAGTTTGCACAAAAATGTGTTACAGCTGTGAGATCAGCAGAAAAGCACAGAAGGAACAGATTTAAATACACAGAGTCTGTGCCTTAATACAAGGAACACTTGTACAGTTTTTCAGCATTTTTAACCTAAAACTGTAAGGGAAGTATCGTAGTGAAAATCATAAGCACCTGTAATTTATATCTTGATACAGCTGGTAGAGGAAGAGGGAATAGGTCTGAATAACTGCTTCAATTAGCAGCCTCTCCGGGGAAGTCACCTTGTTCTTAGGAGATGTTACCCTGACATAGCAACCCCATGCAAAAGGTAGAATTTCTTTTGCAGTGAAGACATGGCCTCAGGTGGAATGAATGAAACCAAATCTGGAATTAAAGTTGACACAGGCACTGAGTAATTAAGTGAACTTAACTTCCATGTTTGAAGAGGCACATGTATTGCAGTGAAGTGTCTCTGAAGAGCTCAGTGGTGATTCAGGACTTACAAATTTACTAACTGACTCAGTGCACTTGGTATGCAGCCGGTTGTTCAAAACCTGCCTCAGATAAATCGCTTTCCTCTGCCAACCAGTGCAGGGACAATGTAAGTCATGCAACACTGCGTGGACAAGGGAGTTTGCTGAGACATTTAAAGAAGAGCCTGGGATCATCCACGCGGAGAGATTTTTAAAGCCCACTGCACTCCTAAGAAATCAATGTTAAAGAACAGAAAGAGATTAAAGCCCGTAATATTTTTATTTTGGAATGTCAGTTCTTCCCAGCTGCCTTCTGCTGGATGAGGTGGGTCAAATTTACAGTGTGTGTCTAAAGTCTTGCTTTGAAATGTAGACCAGCAGATCTAGCACAGGCAGCTACTTCTCAGGTTGCTTTGCTCAGCAAGGTAGCATCATCATACTCCAGTCTGCAAGAGCCTGCTCCCTTGGCACTGGCTTTCACCTTGAGTGGAAACCAGAAGCCATGTCCAGAACCGGTCCAACAGGGAAAATTTTCACAAGTGCATTAGTAAGCATGGGAGACGCCATTTGGCATCCTTGTTGTTAGACATCGTTACCAAAGCCTAAAATTTATCCTGCTGTTGCAATATTCACTACGTTAAGAGACAGGGATGCTGTACTAGACAGACCAGTCGTTTGATCCAGCGTATCCATTTATACACCAAGGATCGGAACCGCAAATTGGTGAAATCCATTAAAATGACTCTCAGTCTCAAGTGGTTGAGACTGTTTGAACTCAACGGGCCTGAGGAAGCCCTGTCTGGTTGCCCAGGGTCCCAGCCTGTCGGCACACAGCAGACATTGCATCTACGACAGACACACACAACCAATCACAAGGACTGATGCCACCTCTCCAGTGAGACCTCAGGACTCCACTGGCACAGACGTGAAGCACAGAAAATGAAAACATGCTGCTGTCTCAAGCACTGAAGCTCTCATATTTCCATAACCATATATAGAGCAATGAGCTGATTACTCACTTTATTTATACCGTTTTACACCAACAGCTGGCAGCAGTGACTTGGCCTGGCTTTTTTCTCTGATTTTGTTTTCATAGCTCCATGGGAACTACCAACAGTAAAAAACAAAGTTTTGAGGCTATGCTGTTACACTTACTATAGAGGCATCTTGCTCCCACCCTTCCTTGCAGAATGCTGGGGTGCACTTTCACCCATTTTCAGGCTGAAGAGTCATCACCGATAGGTAAGTAGTGTGAGACTGACAGGATCAGCTTTCTTCACCAAGGCCCAATCCTGATGGGCCAGGGAGGAACGGGGCTTTCCAAGAGCCAGAGGAAGGGCAACCAGGCAGAGAATACAAGAGGGGACAACCTCGGATTGTGGCGTTGCTTTAGGTGGACCCGAGTCCCTGATTTTGAAAGGTGACATCTACATTTACCCACAATAGTTAAGTCCTTGCCATGTCTAGGTCAGGGTTAGCTTTGCTTCCTTTCATAGTTATTTCAAGAAAAATACCTGGAATGCCATCCTTTGGGGAAAGCTTACCAAATGCAAGAATGAGAAAGCACTAAAGAATTGCTTTACCCGACCTTTGTGCTTTAAGGAACTAACTGCCTTGCTTAAACCAGCACCAGTAAAGTTTCAAGAGGTTTTGCTTGTCCTGTTTTTTAATGCCAGTGTCCAGGAGAAACTTGAAGAGATTTACTAATTCAAGAGGCCGGTGATTAAGGAAGTCTATATTTACACAGAATGTAAAAATATAAGCAGCCTTGCGAACTGTTAAATGCAGTCATATTCTGTACTTAACAGGTGTGGTAGTCTATGGCTAGTACAGCCCATAATGCCATGAGAATGACACAGCTTTTTTTCCCTCCCCACGGTGTGCTTTCAGAGTCTGAAAGGTAAGCCATGGAACTCAGTACACTAAAAATCTCTTGCACAGTTCACCTCAGCTCAGACTTTCCCCTCAGTGACCTTTTTTAACGGAGAGCAGCTGTGCACCACACATTTTTCACAATTCAGAACAGAATTTTGTACTTTACCAGTTCAGAAAAATTGCAACAAAGCCTGAAATGTTTGATATTAAACAAATACCAGTGCAAGATGAACTTCCTTTCAAAAGACTTTTGTTTGCTGTGCAAGGCTTAGGTGCTTGGCCCACTGAAAAGCGATAGTGTACAGACACAAAGAAGCTAACCAAAAGGTGCTACAACTGAAAACCAAGTGCACAAGTGAATTTGCACACAAGCTTGTAATAAAAACAAGTACAGTTTTAGCTATGGATAACGTACAGATAATTTTTCATTATGAATTTTGTGAAAATTATTACTAAATAGAGCCCTTTTGAGAAAGGCTCACCCCAAACCACATTTTTCCTTGCACGTTTTTTTGCAAACTTGGATTTTGCAAACTTTGATGGGAAGGCCTAATAAAGCAAAAGAATTAAATCCTTGAGGCCAGACTAAAGCACGACCGTAACCTAGCCACAGCAAGGGTCGGTACATTTCCCCACTTCGTGTCCCTGCTGACCTGCTGCTATGCAAACAGCACTTGCCAGAGCCTGAACTGGAGGAGACTCCACAGCTGTATTACAACATCCTTGGAAAAATCTCTACTCTTCAATCTTGGCTAACTCATCATTTACAACTGTCTTTACTGATGCTGTGCTTGCCTGGCTCCTCCCTTTAGTGTGGGAAGGATGCCTGGCTGAGGCAAAGGAACAAGGTGCTGGACAACAGGAACACCCACAGTCCAGTCCCAGCTACACAAAATGACTCATTGCCTTGGCCCTGGGAAACACTGATTAATTTCTGTATCAGATTTCATTAGTTGCCTCACAGGAATGCTGAGGAGGTTAGTTAACACCTGTATTTAACTTAGAAAAGCCCATCAATATAGAAATACAGGAACTATATTGATTGATCAGAGCAAGAATAAGGAATGCCTCAAAGGAGAATATAAAAAAAAAAAAAAAAAGGCAAAAGAGTTGCACAGCCTACAACCCAGATCTAATTTTTGTTTTTAGAAACTACGAGGCTGGTTTAACTACAGGGCTGAAGTTAACATTTTAGAAGGAAAGCTAATTGCTCCATGCAAATATCCTGGATACTGTTGTCCACTTAAGTCACACCACATATTAGAGGGAGTGTGACAAAATAACATCCTTGAGAAAAGGCAGCACTAGAGCTGAACTGCCCATTGTAAGAACATCTTGTAAGGGTCTCTATCCCAAAAGATTAACCTCTTCAAGCAACAAACACTCCACAAATGCCCCAAATAAGCAACTACAGCCCTGCAAATGGCCCAGCTGACTTCACCCACTCTCCTGCTGCCAGGCGAGCGGCCCACGCTTTCCATTTCATGAGTTCATGGTGATGCAAAAGGCAAGCCCTTGCCGATGCAGGCATGGAAACCTGCACCTCTGCAGCAGCCCTTAACCAGTGCTAGGCCTTTACTCGCCTGCAGGATGGCTATTAACACCACCACCCACAAATTTCATCAACAAGCTTTTCTTAGAGTGCTTTGGGATTTTTCGATGGAAGGAGACACGAGAGGCAAGTTACATTAGTTCCAGGGTTCCTGCCATTACTAAATAGATGTGTGCCCTTCTAATGTTAAGTGCGCTTCCAAAGCATGTAACTGCCTGTTCACTTAAAGAAAGACTTTCCTGTGAGATATACTTTTTAGCATATTTTCTGGACTTACAAAATAGTACATGAAAAAGACTCATTGCTCTTTTAGAGGCACTCCTCTTTTCAGAAGTGAAGGGGCCATGTAACACATCGCTATTTGATATGCAGTGTAGATTAATACATGGGTATCACAACACCATTTTTCCTCCCAGAATAAGGAAAAAAAAGGACATTATATTCTCATTATGGAGGTACAGACATGTTTTGTTCCTTCTTTGTATCCTCTCATTAACCAACAGCTTTACCTACACTCTCCCAGAACGACAAAACAGTCCAGTCTGAATTTGAGTGAAATGGAACAGCAGGGAAAAAAATACAGGTAGGGCCTCCTAAGGATTTAGTTTGAGTATTATATGCCTTGGAGAATAAGCCAAGATGGGAAAGAGGTTCCTGGGAATAAGGGAACACCTTCCCCACTCTCCTTATGAACCTGCCTAGCTTTTGCTTTGATAGTTCCTGAACAAACAGTAGAAAAAACTCATTACAAAGATGTGCTTAATTCCTCTATGACTCCAGGGCACAATAAATGGGGAAATGACCAAAGCAGAACCATATTAATTTGAATTTCTTGAAGAAATAGGGGAATCTGTGTGCACTTACACCAGTCAATGGACTTGGACTGTTTTCAATGGCCAGTAATGAGCTAGCCTTCTGAGTCCTTTGTACCGCTAAAAGTGTGGGTTTTTATCCCCTCTTCCAGTGCCACACGTGGGCCTCTACTTCTAGTCAACATCTGGGATGCAGAAGAAACCTCACACACTGAAGCAATACATGGCTCCCCCCAGCATGAGAGTCCTTCCAACAGTTACACTTGCAGCAAATACATCTCCCTTAAAGGAGAGCAGGAGACAATGCATTCAGGGCTCGGTGTCGGGGTTAAACATTCTCCCTCTCACACGTGAGCTATCGAGATACACCTTAGGTCTGAAATTGGGCTGGTATTTAAAGCTGAACAATGGAAAGGGTTCCCAATGTCACAACTGAATTCAATAAAGCTATGCAACAATTCCACTTGGGAATACGCTTGCTGCTCTCTTGAATGAGCTAACAGAAATATCTTGTAATAAAAAGGGCTCTGTTCCAAGAACAGTGCATTGCGGACAATGCACAGAATTAACTACTGCTGTTTCTGACCACTGACCAAACTTACTGCTGCGTGCTTAGCATCACGTCTGTACTACACAATGCCTCTGAGCCCTGTCCCGTGCGATTAGCATACACAATGTGCTAGGGGCCGATGAGGGCGTTTCTTTTTGTAAAACAGGTGTGGTTCAATAGGATTTTATGCTGTTTAGCTCCTTGATTTTGTGAAATACAAGGGCTCCTATTTGCAAGAGAGGAACTGAGCTAAGGGATGCAAGCTACTTACAAATTACAGGAAGACGTGTGTAAGCTTCCCACGCACAGCCTGCCAAACACACTTCTCCCAGGGCTTGGTCCTCAGTAATCAAGGGCTGCCAGTAGATTCCTTCTATGCCAAACTGCATAGTTACCGCTCTGTGAGATTACCGGCCGAGGGATTTGGAAGAGACCTCTACCATTTCATGTCAAAACTTCACTCTTGATTTAGCAAAGTAAATGTTACCTAGCGTGAAAAGGAGATCTTTAATCTGAAAACCAGGCTCTCAGCAGGTGGGAAGCTATAGCTCCAATGAAGTCACTGTATCTATGTAACCTAGTGAAATGACCAGCTCTCAGACTCGAGTGACACATCCTTCCTGCCATGCCCGTGGCTCTTGGTGTTCAGGGTTTTTTGTTTGTTTTTTTTTTTTTTTTAAATCTGTTCACAAATAGAAAAAAGGACTTTAATACTTGAAGAGTTACACTGAAGGGCACATATCACAGCCTGAGTTCGTGTCGTGCGATCAGGGAAGGAGGAACAGTTTTAGAGACGTTGGTCAGTGCTAGGGAGGAGTGGGCAGAGCAGCCACTTGCTTCTCTTTTACTGACACCGTTATGGCCACCTTATCTTCTATGCTCTTGCATAGGAGCGTACCAAGATATGGGACAAAGGCACAGATGTGACAGTAAGACTCCAGGGGCATATGTCCTGTGTGCAGGACTCCAACAGAATCCAAAAAACTGTATCTATCTTGTACTGGATAGTACAATGCATTCCTGTCTAATCTCCTGACCATAGAGGACCTCGTATCTCACCCTCACTGCTACAATAGGTCACTTGACTGCAAGATGTGTAGTCAACGTGACCTGAAAGTCACATGAAGACTATATGCGTGTGTAATAAGTACTTGTCCTGGATCTCAGAAGTCAATAATAGACAGGATGGCCACACGAGCTCTGGACTGGACTATCTGATGTGTCATACGCAGCTCACAGGCCACAGACATGGTATATTATACCACTTCACTGACCCATGATTTGAGATGCCATTAGGAGGTGAAAACACATTTTTATATTTCCATAAAATATTTAATAAATTAAACAGCATTGTGGCAAGTATATTCTACCTTGCAATGTCAATGTCCATGTCTTCTGTGTGTACTTTGCTTTAAGACTGAACCTTCGCTGTAGGCCAAATAAAAGAAGCCCTGTTTACTTAGACAGCATAACAAAACCAACATCTCACTGTGTACTAACGTTGCTGAGCTGTAGTATAAAGACCAGTCAGAAAAATGCCAACCAATGCAACTCGTACAAAAGAGAGCAACTGCGAGCCCAGAACACCCAAGAATGTGTGCCTACAAGCGACCGCACGCACCCGTGCAGGCAGCCTGGCTTGTTCCTGGCCCCAAAAATCCCCTAAGCCAAGAAAACACACTTCACTCTTTTGCCTGAGTGGGAGTTTGTTTAACACAAATATTTGCTTCAGACATCTGACTAGGAAAAGAGTTCCAAAACATTTTTTTTTTTTTTTTTTTTCCCCCCAATAAAGTCCTTACGTATTGAATAGGCTTGAGGGACTTGATTGTAGCAGCTGGACAGCCACAGGAACTGAGGTCAACGTAGAGGCCTTCTTCCAGCACACAGTGATTGTCAGTGATTTCCCCTTGGTAATACAGGAGCCAACTGCAAAAATAATGTAGCAAAAAAGATTAGCTGCTCTAGCTGCTTATTAAGTTTTTTTCAAGATTTAGTATTTGCTAAGGAAATAAGGAATTAAAAATCTGCTTGTTCTTGTTAAGCTTAAGAATAAGGTCACTTCACTTGAAAGGCTATGTGACAAAGCAACCAAAATTATATGGTACAAAAATCTTAGTTCCAGTCTCAAACGACGTGAGTGGAATGCAGACTCTGCTACTGTACCAAGTTTCTCAAAATCTGGTATAAATTCTAACTGCAGTTAAAAAAAAAGAAAGAAAAAAAAAAAAGAATCACAGTAACTGTGCAAACTTCCCACAGGAAAAGCAAAATGCATACTACCCCAACCAATGACAGGACGACAGTTACTGAAATGCATTGCAAGACAAAGGGTCTAAGACATGATGGAATATGATGGGTATGTGTTATGCACTTTCAGCTGTCTGAAATTTAGTAGCGTTTAAAAAAATAATTCATATTACTTAAAATGATGGCATGTAAAACAAAAGACTTACCATCCCCGAAGAACCTTAAAAGAACATGGTATGAATGATGTAAAATCAGAAACTTCTGCTGTGAAATCTATACATGCTCCTTGGAAATGTGTATTACTGAAAGCTTTGAGCTACAAGAACAAAACAAAACAAAACCAATGACTAGAAGGAAAACAACCTCATTATCATTAATGTAAACAGAGGTAGCTGTGGTCTTAGAGAAGTATCCATTCGCAAATAAACAGAATGAATTCTCATTTAAAGAATCTTTTATATTTCTACAGCTGCTTTATTTTTAGAAAGATTGAGCATTTTATCTTCTCTGGGCCCCATACAGGATGCTTGCCTGTGACGCTAAGGCAGTGGTATCAAATGTAAGTTCCACTGCTGCAGGAGAGGGCCCAGAAAAAAAGAGAAGTCTAGGACTGAAGGATGTTATCTACCATCCAAAGTACCCCTGGATTGCAGCTAACTCCTGCTACAGCTCAGCAGTCCAGTGTTCAAAACAGGGCAGGGAAGCACTGGTCAAAAGATACAGGAATACTGTTGACAAAATGCTTTGAAATCTTCTGTGACCACAGTGATCACAGGTAGTTTCTCATTTAATAACTACCAGGAGAATTTCTGGGGCAACCAGATGAACCATTAACTTCTGAAGTTCAGCTAAGATGTTTCAACATGTAATGGTGAAGAACTTCAAGCAACATTGAACTATACACCACCAGTAAGATGTGATCAATCTGAAAAAGCAGTAAGGGTGAAAGTGTTGCAATAGAAAAAAAAAAAAGAAGGAAAAAAGTAGTACGATATAGCCTATGATCTGTAGCAAAGTCGCCTAGAATTCTGTACCCTTGGGCTGCCACCATGTAACTGAGGTGAATTTCACTTTAAAGCCTGAAAGAAAGGCTGGAAAGGAATGAAAAATTTAACCATATCAAGAGAACAGCTCATATTCTGTAATGGAAGAAAAAGACGATGGCTGTTGCAAGAGCTACTTCCCCCTTCATGCCCCAAATTGGCCTAGTTTCCTGCCAAAGAAAAGAAATCAAATGCTTTTGCCAGTACAGATCAAGAAGGCCAAACACAAGTATGAGCAAATGATTTTGTGTAAAAGCTCAGTCTGTGTTTTCAAAAGAAACTAATATGCTTCTTGTTAGAAAGAACAAAAATGGCCTAACCTGGCCTTGCATACTGTAACTGCAAATTGGAGAACACAAATAAGCTATAATATAAAGTGCAATTGATTTTTCTGTAAATATAATTGCACTGCTACGTCACAAAGCATCTACTTAAGCTGTAATTACATAGTATTTTCTATCTACTTACCTCAAAGCTCTTGACAAAAGACTGTATGTATACATGGTCTTTCTGTCATAGGCCAGATGCTATGCAAGGCTTTTGAAGAAGGTCTATAACTCATTTTTATATAGATTATATATAATAATGAATGATGGTTTTAATTTGACAAAGGTTGGGGTGAAGTACTGATTCCTCAGTGAAAATACTGTATACCTGCGATTAGTCGCAAACTGCAGCTATTTCTACTTTGTCAAGGTTTGACATTACTATACAAGGTTTCATTTCCTAAAAAGTCAATGGACACTATGTTGAAAATATAAATACAAATTATCACTGCAATCATGTCTGCTTCCTAAACCATCTGTACAAGTCAGCTGCTATTAAAAGAGGCTTTGTTCTTGCTGGGCAAAACCAACTTTTGTTTTTAATAAATAAAATGAATGGCTTTTTAGAGCTGGTGATTTCAGGCATTCTTACATTATATATACTCTCTTAGGGAGCCTGGCAAGAGGAAAAGATTAGGGGAGTTACTGAGAGATTTAAGAAAATTTAGTTGCTTTTCAATTTCTGACAAGCAATGAAAAACAGAAGTGAAAGAGACACACTCTTGCGAACAGTGAAGACAGTTCCCTCTCCTCAGACATACATTTATTAAAGGTGGGAGAATGTATGATCATTCAAAATAACTGGTATATGGCCTATACAAGGGTCAAACATTAGGCTGCTTAAGCATTTGCCAGCTCATACACACCACACTTTGACGTTCCGAACTAACAGACTGTTGCATACATGGAAACTTTATTTTACTCTGAATGGGAAATTTTTCATATTTATCCCAAGACTATCCTTTACTTATCCTAAGTAAATAAATGTTTTCCCATAAAAAACTTACTCAAAGTATTTCCTCTCCTAAAATAACTGTAGCAATATGAATGATGTTCTTCCTTCCCTAGCTACAGGGCAGAATCCTATGAAAACCAGGATTGCCATAAGTCAGGACAGTATTTTTTAAAAAATGGTGTTAAGGCTGCTATTAGAGAACCCACCAGGCAAAACACAATCTAGTCCATGTCAGTATTTAAAGGTGACTGTGCATATACACATACACAGATTTTTCACACTTCAAAGTTTTCAACTGATTTTAAGGGTCTGCAAAACTGGATTTAAAGTCCTCAAAGGATAGTTTTTGGGAAATTCTGAAAAAGTAGAAGAGTTGAAAATGGAGAGAAAATTACTGTCAACTGGATCTAACTGGTTTAATCTGAGTTGGTTATTTTATCTGGTATCATTTACCAATGCCTTACTGTGAATGTACTTGCAAGTCTTTTATTTGGCCACAAACCGACATATGAATAGGTCTGGCAGGAAATCAGTGTTTAAGACTAGAATAATACACCAATTATGTCTTCAGACAGGAAACATTTCCCGTAGTCCTGGGTTAATCATAAAATTGTAGAACTAAAACTACTTGGCAAAAAAGAAGGGTGTGGTCAACCTGCTAAGTAACACCATGTACGTATTTCCCATGCGCTTACAGTTTTTATACCCATCCAAGCAAGCAAGAGCAAAATTGTGACCAGGTGACAAAATACTTACTTAAGTTTTCTCAAACAGAAACACTGAGCTCTAAATTATCTTTTGTCTGAATAAATGTCATGTTTCTTGAAATCAAGTTTTCCAAATTTGCTTGATTAAAAGCATGCCAGAGAGAGTGCTCAATATAACCACTTTGATCATCACTCATGCTAGCAGCACATTCCAGGACAAAGAAAATCCCCAAATCAAACAAATAATACAGGAAGGGAGAAGAGCCCTGTTGGGACAGAACATTGCAGGAGACACAGACTATCCTTGGTGATGAACACAAACACTTAGAGACGGTTTTTGGTTTTGAAAGATACCACAAAGGTGCATTAATGGAATATAACCTTGTAAGATGATGACGAAAAGGGCAGAACCCTGACCTAACTTATTCGTGAGACAAGAAGTGAATTACAAGGACTGCTTTCTCTTCATAAATTGTCACCAAGTCAGACATGACTTTCAGAGAAATAGTTAGACTGTATCGTAGAAGAGATTTATCACAGATTTGTTATAATCAGGGTGTGTTCAGTTAAGGCCGTATGCTACCATGAGAAAAAGGGAAGCACAGAGCAAGTGGTGCCTGCTGCCAGAGGAACAGCTGTATGTGACTGGGAGACTATGAAAAGCAGAGCCATGAGCATCCAAGACTCACAAGCCCAACTTCCCCTATTGATGCATCTGCGGGTTTGAAGAGTGCAGTTCAATTTTCTGCAGTTCATGCTTTCTTCTTCTCCTCACAAATGAACAAGATAGTGACAAACCTGATATAATGCAAACTGATGGAAAGAATATATGCCACAAAGAGAAGGATAAATGCATGTGGTAAGAGTTTCCAGAAACAGGAGGGAAAGAAGAAGAAAATAAATAGCTACAGAGACATAGTCACTCAAAACCTACCGAACAGCTTACATTTTTGAAAACAGAATACTAAAATGTATGACCTAGAATAAAGCAAAGAGTAGAACATGCAAACTTAACCCTTACACATCTACTAGTTTCCTCCGTCAATGCTCTGCTGTATGGAGATGATAATACTGAGATATCATCTGAAGCAACAAGATAAGACATTCAACATTACCTGTATTTAATTATTAAATGTAGTTTAGGACTAGAGGCTGTTATATAATGTCAACATACCAAATGTGGAGGCTCATTCATTCCAAGTGGTTCCTGCAATAATAAGTATATATACATGCACATAAATAAATAAAATTAATTACAGTTCATTTCCTAGAAGACAGGTTCAAGTTCCTGAAATTTATTAATTATGAACTCAAGAGCAGAGAAAAAAAACGACACTTCCCATGCTCTTGGCACAATTCTCTTTCGTAGCCTCTGCCATCAACAGTCTGTAAACCCATGACTATCTGCCTGACTGCTCAGTCCCTTTTCACACAGAGAATTTCCATCAGCATTGATTAGTTCATATAATGTGGATTAGAGCCCATGTAAATGTCTCTATTTTTGAGTCTATTTCTTGAAAAAAGACAGAATTAAAAACAACAGAAGACTGCAACACCTCTTTCAAGATGTGCTCTTCAAAATAAGGTTAAATGTTCCTTTCTTATTTGCACTGCAGTAGTATCATTTGTTATATACTTATTACTGAGGACTGTCTTTGTTTTGCATTAGGGTTTTGAGAGTTTTGGCACTAATCTATTTGGGCAAGTTGCACCACCTTGGATTTAATAATGCATTAAAAATATTTCCTGTCTTTATTCAATATACGTATTACAAATACTTTAGCAGAAGAAAAAAATAATCAGACCTCTGTTATACAACAATATGGGCCAGATAAATTCTTGAATATTTTTATCTCCATTACCAATCAGGTATTTTAAATTACTGTATTTAAGGCAAACTAATCTTTCCAGGCCATATTATTCTTCCCATGAGTGAAGTCTGCAAAAGGGAAGTACTTACGAAGTTTCCCTGACACTCAACAGACAGAAGGATCCACAGCGTTCATTTCAGTCTCCATCCCAAACAGACTCCTTATGTCATTCACAATGGTCTTAAATTGTTTCCAAGTAAACAGACAAAGTGATTGAACTGCACAGCCTACATTGTAATATTATTTTACACGCAGAATTCCAATAGTCTCATTTATTTTAAGTTTTCCTTTAACAAGTTCTGGTAACTCACCAACTTAATAGGTCGAATTGACATGATGATTTTACTAGATCCTCCCCAGTCAAAGAAACATTTGTATTTTCCTTTTTCCAATACATATTGTTCTCCACAGAAATACTTCTGCTGATATGCAACCCACCTGGAGAATGACACAAAAATTAAACTGAAAACACTGCATTTTCCTGTGTAGCTTGATGAAAATACTAACAAGTGAAATAGAACAATTTTCTTCTGAGTTTTCTTGGTAAGTTCATTTGACAGATAGTGTAACATTAAACCCAATGAGAGGCACATAATCGTCACACGTTTGATTTTCTGCTCTTACTTTGCAACTACTTTGACAAAGATACAACTTCATGTCTCAGCCTTTCTATCAAATATACACTCATGATGAGATAGTGCATTGCTTAGAAGCCTAGAGGAAAGACACTTAACTGACAAGACTTTGAATCTCTTAGCTGAACCTTTACCTGTTTAGCATGCCCCCCAGCCAGGGCTTTCTTCCAACGTTTCCAGTTGGATTTAAGAAGAATGGTGCAAGAAGAAAGAGAAGTAAATGAGGAAGCCTTGAAAAAATGAGATAAAGCACAAGCTTGCAATGGTTGGCAGTTCAAGCTTCTCCCACTCTCTTTTCCCTGTTGCAATTTAAGAAGAAAACCCCCCAACTTCGTTGAGATTGAGGGTCCCTCTAGCCCTGCACGTGCTCTTTGGTAGTGGCACAAGTAGATGGAGGCTAATTAGAGACACCACTAACATCCACTTTTGGTGGTACATTCTTCTCTCAGTCACCCAGCACCCAGGACTGTCATATCAGGGGCATTAGATGGCATTCTCCTTTCCTAGTCCTTTTAGCACCTGCTTATGAATCTGTTCGTCACTAATTTGTCTCCTGGTGCTATCTGTTACCACAGCCTCCTTCAGCAGCAAGTTCCAGAAATTCACTGTCTCCATTGTAAGAAAGGCTTTTTGCTCCCCACCTCTAAATTCGTTTTAAAGCAATCTCCAGCTAGTTCTGTAAAGCATCCCCACATTGTTGTCATGTAGGATTCTGTGAATGCTGCTGCATTGATTGTCTACCACTTTCAACATTTTGCAGATCTCATTCATATCCTTCCCCAGCCATCTCTTCTCCAAATTGAGTCCCAGCCTTTCATCCTTGTGTCTCATCCTCATGAGACACTAAAATCCAGTCTCTACATGATCAGTTCAAATCCCCCACTATTGCTAACTGTCCTAAGTCTGAAGCTTTTTTAGTCTCACTTAATGGTTGCTGATCCCTATTACCATTAGGGTATGTATGACAATGTTAATACTGCACTTTCAAAATTACTATTTAAGTCTGGAATTTCCACCCGCATGTCACATTCCATAGTGCTCTTTTCCCATAATGTATTTTATGTTTTAGCACTTGATACTATTCTTCATGTATAGTACCACTCCCTTGCCTATAATAGCCTACTCTATCATTCCTATAGAGTTTGTATCTCCTCTGCTCATCCTTTCTGTGAATCTCTAAGGTATCTGCTGTATCTGAGCTGTTACTTCATGCCAAGCATTCTAGCTCCCCCATACTATTTTTCAGCCTTCTAGCACCTTTAAGTTTTGTCCTTGCTCCATCCATTAATACTGTATATCTCTGTCAACAGATATTGCAGATGGTCTAATTTACCTTCCTTATTTATTGCAGTTGTGCTGTTTATTTTCCTCTTGGACTTCACATATGCACACTGAAAGTTAGTCAAGCCCACCCTGCAGGCTGTATCAGCTTGAACCAGGTACTCTTCCACACCTGTTGGTTTAACCCCCTGATTTTAGTTTAAATAGTTCTTTAAAAAGTATTTTAATTTTCGGTGCCAGCAGCCCGACTTTATTACAAATAAGGCGCAGCTCATCCCTTCTGTACAGGTTACAACTGTCCCAAAAGGTATCCCAATTCTTAACGTGCCTAAAATCCCTCAATGGTATTACTGCTAAAGCTCCTGTATCATGAAACTACAGTCTCTGTGACCTCTAGAGGCACATCATAAGCTTTCTTTAGGAACAAGAGTGCCCAGATCCAAATCAAGGTGTAGGCATGAGATTTAAAGAAAACTTTTTTTTTTCTTCCATTTACCAAGGAAACTGAAACATTGCTCTCCCCCAAACATTTATCACCTGTACCATGTGAAATACATTCTGTCAAAAGATGTACCCAAACCAAACTGTGCACAAAATATTTCCATGTATTTCAGTAGACTTACACTCCACTTTTCACAAGAATTGACCTCGTCTCTGGGCCAAATCCAGCCTGCTCCACATCAGGGATTTCTTCATTGATGATGTCTAGTGCTTTCCCATCTTCATCATCAGACTGGAAAAGTGCCACTGATGACTCTATAAAATCCTAAAAGGCAGCACAGGAGTTAGAAGACAGGCTGTCACAGGTCAGTGATACTTAAAACATTTCAGAAAAGAGTTGTAGCCTGAAAGATAGTGTTTTATAAAGCAGTGAAGAGACTCAGGTCCCATGTATGGATCTTTTTGTGGTATTTTGGCATTGAAGTGCAGAGCTGGAAGCCTGGCAATCTGATATGGCCTTCAGTGGTTTCCACTGGAGAGAGGAAGAACCTGCTGCCCTGAGCATCATCCTTTCCTCTACAAGGGTAACAGAGTGCAAAGATGCTTGTGTGGGAAAGAGAAGGGTTAGGGATTTGGCATTGATCTTCCAACAGCTTAACAAATGACTGCTCCAAGCATTACGATGACTATAATCTTTTACTTCAAATTCTGCTTCCTCGTCCCTTCCCAGCTACAAGGCAATAATCATAGAGAGTAAACATTTCCAGCACAAGCTGTTTGTAGTTTTTGGATACATCCATTGTATGACTAATCACTATAGCTATAAAATAAATCCTGCAGGACACTGTCATGTTCTCCCCCTTATACAGTCGTGTGACATTGCTTTATGCTTTCAGCTAGCATAGCTGCTTGACCAGGTTACTTTCACAGTTTCACATTATTTGAATTTGGGTTTCAAATCTCCAACTTTTTAACCACATAGCAATTCCAAGCCCACAATTCAGTCACTGCTTGGGAAAATGGAAAACAACAATCCATTCACTTTATTTCTTTAAAAAACCCCATGAATGTAACTCAATATCAGCATTTCTGAAACATTAACCAATGTTATAATAAACGAGAAAAGAGAAAAGTCTATTAAACAAATTCATGAACCAACAGAGAGTCACAAACATACGAGGGCACCATCACAGGAATTATTACACTAAATACTTGCTGCTTACTAGCTTACAAGCTACCAACCAGAGAGCAACATGCTGAAGGCTACACTGAGAAAACACTTACAACTATCAAAAAACACTTAGAAATTAAGCCCAGGCTAAGCATGCAGCCAGATTCATTTGGTAAGGTGAATCTCATCAAACAGGCTCTTTAGAGGACACCATGCCTTTATACAGGATTCAATCCCAATTAATAATGAAAACCAATTTTAGAACAAACACTTGATGTGGCTCAGCCTCTGCATTGTTTACAGGGCACTAAAAAGTGACATAACAAATTCTGTAGTAAAACTGGTTTGCCTACTATGTAGATCATCTTCTTCTTTCATTTATTTAAAAAGTTGCAACCACTTCAGGTATATACTGGAAATTAAAGTTCCAGGTCTGGCAAAATCATCATGGACAACTGCAGCTTCAGACTACTTTTTAGGAGGAAAAAAAAAAAAAAAAAATACTGGCGCAGTTCTAGTGCAAATGAAAACCAGCTACTCGTAACAGTCCTAAAGCAAGGACTTTGTAAACAGAGTTCCTGAAAAGCCATTTAGATCAAATATGCACCTATTTCCTTTGACTAAATTTAAAATACTGAACTATATCCACAAATGTAATTACATTTAAAACTTGTTTCAAATTCAGTCATCATTTTTAACTCCCTAAATTTTCACTACAGCTTCTGTTACAATAGGCAATATGCAAAATACTTAAAAACAGACTTTCACACCAAAGCAAGTGATTTTAGACTTGAAAACACCAGTGGAAAAGCTCCAAAGGCAACATACTTTGCTCTGCTGAAAGAGCTTCAGAAACTTCACTGTTTCCCTGATCACAACGGCCACCTCAGCTTTACAGATTCTCTCACTTACAACTGCAGAAAAGCGGCAAATGCAACTGTCCCCCAAGCCAGAACACGGTACAAACTGCTGTCTACCCTCAGGAACAAGCCCTGTATTTGACTCCAGTATATCCAACACAGATACTGCTAATAGAACTGGCAGCTTGTTGGAAAAAAATTATCTACAAGTCCTTTCTATCTCTGCTTTCAATAAACTCCCCGAATCCCCACAGTAGAACTTGTGACTATTCACAGCAGAAATATTTAAGATAGACAAAAACTGAAAGCTCTTGCAGTGTGCCTACATGCGTGTAAGTCTTCATGAGTGGAGTGGGGAAGGGTGACTTGCAGCAGTCCCTCTTTTGTGTGCAATGTCTAACCTTTCTGATTTGTCAGGAAATTAAATTCATGCCTCAGCTCCACTGCACTCACTGGTATGTGTACAGAAACATGAGTTGGATTTTTCTAGTGCTAATAAGCTCTGGAGGAACCTGTCATGTTGAGCGTCATGGAGCAGGAACATCTGAATAGCTTTGCATAGTACTAAGCCACATTGACAGAGCCAGGACTGACACAGGCAAATGAGGCATGCCATACCCGGCCTGGCTCTCTGCTGAGCCATTTACGTGCTTCTGTACCACGCTCCCTGCTTTGGGAGCATGGCACAAAGACACTTGATCCAACTTCCTGGAGCTGACTCAGGTATGCAGGGCTCATTAGCTTCGGCTTCATGCTGGGTGAGCCAGGCTAAGTGCTTGTCAGGTCTGGGCCGGCCTTAAAGCTAACATAGTCAAGGTCACCTGCTGTTATGCCCAAGGAAAAAAATCAAAACAAACAACAACAACAACAAAATGAACAAAACCAAACCAAAAACCCCCCAAAAGCAAACCAAATCAAACTCCCAAAGTCTAGCTGGATTGGCCCCTACATGAGACCACACTGGTGAGTACATACGAAGAGCAGGGTCAATGCCCAGCCTCACTCCCTACCTAAGCTGACTGTGAATAACACAAGCCGGTTTCACAAAATCCTTAATCTTTTACAGAGACTCTTGAATTCATCTGACTAAAACGGATTTTCCAGGGAAGAGCAGTAAAGATCTGATATTCAGGAACACCCCTCCAAGAGTCTGAGACCATTGCAACCTCTACTGCATTTCTCCTGACAGAAATTCTGAGATTATGGAGAAGAGCTAGCACCTTCGCTGTGCAGCGAGGGGCCTCAAGCACACAGAGCTAGCTTTGGATTTTGGCCCAGGTGCCCCTCAAAACAAGAGTTTGGTACTAAAATGTTTTTAAAATTGTGACTGTAAGTATTGTATACAAAATCATGAAGGGAGCATATGGCAAGCCTGAATGCTGACCAACGTATTTCACATCAGAGAGAGGTGTTCAATCTGTTGGTTAAACTGAACAACAAAACGCCAGTGCCATTAGTCATTTTATTGGCAACTGGCTCATTGCCTCTAGTTACACTACAATTTGAGGAAAAGTATTTCTTGCTCTTTTATTATCAATATGTACATATTGATATATAAGTATATGAAAAGTTCAATAATACATGTTGATATCTGAGTGTGAATGACATGTTTTTAAAATGTTAATGACTTGAGCATCCTGACTGTTCTAGGCATGTGGCAAATTAAGTACATGCATATACATGGAAGGCCATCCCTGCTGGGCACATGCACAATTTTAAGCTTGTAATTATGTCCTTTGCCAAGAGGAAGATTAAAAGAGATCACTTTAAGTTACTCAAGTATCCTATGTATAGCCTGAAAAGAAAGAAAAACTAAGATTAGGCAGTAATTGAATAGTATTCTGCACATTCAAAATCAGGAGTTAAAAGAAAATTCCTGCCTGTTTTTCTCAGAAGCCTGAAAATAAATTATTTAGAAAAGGACATTTTTCTTCAATTAAGTTTATTCTCCTATCTTTATTTTAAGTTATACGATAGATTCTGAATATAAATATAGCTTTATCTAGGTGCCTTTCATAAAAACCAAAACTGCAAATTGTGAATTTAAAATTTAAACGTGGCCTTTTTAGGTTCACATAAACAGTTGTGGGTTTGTTTGTTTGTTTGTTTGTTTTTGTTTTTTTTTTTTTTTTTTAATAATGACTGTGGAGACAATGAGTTTGATCTAAATGCATATCTTCAAACTTCACAAAATTCCTGGCTCAGGAATATCACATCTCCTCGTCAGATGAGGAGATGAGTAATCTGAGTATACAAAACTAAGTAATCTTAGAGTGAACAATCTAATTCTCAGAAGCTGTATTTAAAGATCACAAAGTTTCTATTATAATAAAAAAAATCCTCAACCCCCCAAACAATAAAACCCCAAACCAAAGGAAATGATAAGTTCTAATCCCATGTTTCCCCAACACTGAAAAGTCTAACTTTGCTTCCAATACAGGACTCCGATACAGTTTTTATTATTATTTCATCTTTGCCCCTACTACACACATTTTAGTAGGAAGGATTTTTTCACCATGCCTATTTTTGCTGCCAAAATTTTCTGGCACAAAAATCACAAAGACGGAGGGTAATGCTGTTTTAAGGCTTGTAACAGCTGTTATGTTGAGAAGCTATTTTTATTTTAATAAAGAACTACACTGTACACTTATGCATATTGAACTTTTCAGAAAATTCTGTTCTAGAGTTTCAAGCAGCATGAAGTGCAGAAGTGAGATACTTGGCAAATCTGTCAGCTAGACAAGGATTTCTGCATGATACATTCTTTGTATGAACTTTACAAAGGCTACTTAGAACCTGCTTCTGCTTTACAATGTATACAGTGCAGTCTAAATTTCAGCTAGTAGGAGAAGAATGAGAATGAACTTGGGCAAAAGATGGAATGACTAAACCCAAGACAGCTGTACCATATACAAAGAATAATCTTCCTCCTTATGTATAGAACTGTGCATAATTTGTGTGAAATTCATAAAAGCACTCACGGCTTGAAGGAACCGGAAAGACAGGAGGGCACTGTCAGCTTCCCCCCATGAGTGTTTGTCTTCATAATCTCCCTCCTCCAGCAAGTACTGACGGCCTTTGTAGCGTTCCTTATCATAGGCAACCCATCTACAGCAACCAGCAACAAAAGAAAGAGAAATAACTAAAAGCAAAACAACCACGCACATGATTTTCCGTAACAAATAAAAGGGGAAGAGACCATCCTAAGAACACTAAAATGAGTATCACAGTCTCAGCTAACAAACAAAGCAATGCTTGTCTGAAATCACAACAGGCACACATGAAGTGTTCTTTGTGGACCTAAATCCCACCATGTGATTCTTTCTCCAACAACAGTTTATTTGTGTAACGCTTTTCCATGTACCTCTTCTCAGTCAGCCATATCCCCCACACCAATATTTGTTACTACAGAGGCTAGTATGCATCTAGTGGCCAAAACACTGTAAGCCACTAATTGTCAATGATAAAAACCAAGCGGTAGATCTCTTCAGTGTATTAATAAACAATGAAATTCTACTCTTGCTGGAGCTGGTGACAAAATCAATGGTTTTCACCAGAACAAAATTTCACCTGCTTATATTGTTTCCTGCTCTAATCTAAAAACATGTATGTATCAACAGACAAGTGAACTGAATTTATACAATATAATGCATACGGAATATGTTTCAGCACTAAGGGAATAAAACTTCTTAAAGTATTTTGAACGAATAGATAAGGCTTGATTAAAAGAAGGCATTTCCACATCAACTTTGAAAGCTCTAATAGATCTTAATTTGAAAATGTGCTTCCTCCTCCTTTTCTCTTGTAAGCATTTCTTTTATTAATGCCCCCTTGTAAGTATTAGAGCTGCTGTACAAATTTTGTCAGCATGGAAATTTGGCAAGAAATGCTAGCTTTACTTTTAGTACCATTTGATTTACATTATTTCAGCTGTTTAAGTTACTGCAGTATTAAAAATAAAAGCCACCACAACAGACAGAAGGATGATTTTTAATAATTTGAGGCTTCCCAGATAGCGAATATATAATGTATTTATGAATACATTATTTCAGTATTCACAAATAAACTTACTTTGAATTTAGTGCTTGTAAGATTCTAACAACCACGTGAAAGGAAGTGTTATTACACCTTTATATTTAAGTATTAACATTGAAATCCCCTAGGAAAAAAGTAAGTCTCTGAAAACTACTTTATTAATAAGCTCTTTGGCAGAAGCAACCATTCTGTGTGCTTTCAAACAGTCCTATCCTGTTGGGTCTTGGGAGAGATTGAAAAAACAGTGCGTGGGGTTGGCAGCTCTCTAGAATAGCTGGCGCTGTTTACCTTGTGAGCAGTCCACCTAAGGACTGCGTTACACAGCCCTTTTCTGTGCGTGTGTGTGTATGACAGAAAAGGGCAGGGCAACACAGCATCAATCTGAGGCCTCAACGAAGGAAGATAAGGGTAGATTCTTAATTCCAGATAACATGAAACAGGTGGCAAAGAAAAAACACCAAGACAGTAAAACAGTTTATATATTTCAGAGGCATTAAAATGTCAAACGGAAGACTGACCACACCTACCCAAAGTCATTTCAGTAAATTAAGTAGAGACTGTCAGAAGTATAAAGCAATATAACTTAAAGCTCTGTGTGAATGCTGTCATTAAGGAGAAAAGCGGCCCAGTTTATTGGCATCCAAATGGTAAACAACACTGACTTCATGCCTCTCACACAGTTTTATCTTCCTATATCCCCTTAGATAGATAAGCCATATGGAGAGTTGGTTTTATCCAAGGCTAAAAATTAACAATATAAATATATATTCCTTTATTTTCAAAGTATTTTACCAGTGAGAGACTCTAATCACCCCTTAGTTAGCACTCCTCAGCATTTAGTTATGATTTCCTATTTTAAAGTAAATAAAGTGAATTATACTTACACTCCACCGATTACACGTATTGATCCAACTTCCTGAAACTCCTCTTCACTACCAAAGAGAGCTGGGATGGAACTGATGTTTTCTGAAAACTCTTTTGACCATCCTCCAAAGTGGGTTTTCTCATATATTATTATCTAGAAAACATGATGTTGAACAATGCCTTGAGTATGCCCTGAATAGTAATTTGAAGTTTGGGGTGCATGTACTGCTACAGTATGTGGAAGATGCCTTTTTTTTCCTCCCCCCAACAAACCATCACTATGAAGAAAATGCAGTTTGGCATTCCCTAGCCCTTCTGATTCTCGAGCGCCCTAGAAGCTGAAGAGATCCTATTTGGATTTAGATTGGCTTGTCAGCCTATTTGCAGACATTTCCACAGAAGGATATTTATTCAAACAATCTATATACATAAATGCACACTACAGCTCTATGACAGTGATTTATCCTGTAATCCTGTGCCTGGGCAGTGTATATTAGCCTGCAGTGAATTCTACCTGGTCACAAGATAGACACACTGAACTTAATCCTTCAAAAGTAGACAAGAAGTCTTTCTCTGTACTTTGCTGATGTTATTTCAGGGACTGCAATTAACACCCCCCTTGAGTTTCGTTATCTGCCAAATCACACAAATCAGCTATTAATAGTATTAATACTTACTGCAATATTTAGTAGAAAAATGCCCAAGTCTTGCATGTATTTGTATAAGTTACTTAAAGTATTAGCATTTTTGTGGAGAACTAGAAAAAGGAGGGAAAAGGAGCAATAACCCTGGATTAGCTTTCTGCTCCTCAAATCACAGAAGGGTCACGGTCTCACTCATAACTCTTGTATTGGGATCAACTATAGGAAGGAAGGGTCCTATTCCTGCTCTCCCCTGCCTCTGCCTTTTTTGTTAAATTTGGTACATTAAATGGGAGATTCTCTCCAGATCCCCTTCCATTACAGTGACTGATTTGCCAGTCAGGAGAACTAATTTTATTTCCTAAAAGCTTTACAATTCTTCTATAGCAATTTCACATTCTCCCAATATGTAAAACCCAAAGTACTACTACATTTACATCTCACGAAACACTAGTAAGAAAGTGGACTTGACAGCAATAGTGATTTTTTTCTTCAGCAGCAAACACTGAATGCTTAATCAAACATCACATACCCAACAAAAAGAAAGCTTAAATAGAGGTTTTATATATTTCTGATGTGCTTATATTTTATTCTCAATGTCCTCAGTGCTTACCTTAACATTCATTGGCATCTGTACCTTTAGTCCACCCTAAAAAAAGATGGGGGGGGAAAGATATTTTATATAAAACTTAAAAGTTATGCTTTGACAAGTATTTTATAGTGCTATCAGAAGTCTTCGTAATTATATTCCCCATTTTCAGTGTTGGCTGAATCAGACACTAACTTAAATACTTTGGTCATTCATAAAGGCCAGGGACACTATAAACCTGGCCTACAAACAAATCAGTGCATCGACAAGCCTGTAGGGTGCAAGCAATTTAAAAATACTCCTTCAGTGTCTATTAGCAATCTAAAGCAAATATTTACTATGTGTTTTTAAACTAATTTATATTGACTAATTTTTAAAATTAACTTTTAAAGCTTTGTTGTATATATTTCAAGCTTCTTAAGCACAAATGGTGGAACACTAAGAAATTATTAACACCAGAAGAGAGAGAAAATATAGGCTGACATATTAATGTCTATGGTCAAAGAACAAATACAACAAATGCATTTTCTCTGTAAATGTTAGTGAACAATGTTCCGTGAGGGAACAAGACACCTACCTTCCATGAGTGACTAAAAGGATAGCTGTTAGGTCTTACTCCCTTGTGGTTTTTAAACTCTCTTTCTGTAGGCTTGCTATGCATACAAGTAGAATTATGTTATACACTTCCACATCTCTTTCATATTTAGATCTGCATGCTGTGTACCAAAACAAAAATGAGCTACATCCCCCAGGATTTTTGTGCAATGTGTGGTCACAGAAATACTACTGGGTAATAAATTCCCCACCTGGTCTTCGACCCCCAGTAGACTCTAGCTGTACCATCAAAAAAAGAAAATCACCAACTTCTGAAGAGCTTTTTCAGTTACTGAATTACTGCTGGCTGCAATACAATTAAGAACCTTTCAGTTCTGTCTTATTTGATGTCCACTCAACAACAGCGGTTTCCCATTAGGATGTTCTAGTGAAGCAGGTGCTCCCTCTGACTGCATGGGGTCTTACTTGGGCAGACGCAGAAGCCCAGCAAACCACAGCGACCACCGTGCCATTACAACACTGTAAATGCACCATGTTGTGAGATTAGCGTTACATGTATAAGGATTAACCCTGAAAGGATGTTAGAACCTAAGATATATTTAGAGCAAAACCTTCGAGGGAGCAACATTAGGTAAAGGAAGGGACACAGCTTATTAGGGAATTGTGAAGTCCTCACCATTTTTAAAGGACGCAGAGATTTTATATCTGCTGAAGGAATTTCAGATGGTGAATCGCATTCGTCCAAAACCTTCATCTCTCCCTTGTAATTAAGGTCTGAGTAAGCAAGCCATCTATAACAATAAGGATAGAAGGATTTATTAATCTCATTACCTAGATTACAAAGATCTTATTAAAATTGTTGTCCTTTTTGTACTCATAAGAGCTAGATAATGTGTTTTAGGTACTGCCAGCACAGCATAACAAAGCTGTATTTAAATACAATGGCAATATCATTGCAAAGATCATAGATACTTCTCAGTCCAAACTAAACATTAATGAAAGAGAAGAAAATTACCAATTTGTTTGCTTATATTAAAAATCTAGTTTGTTACACTCTGAGTATACAAAACCAGTATCAGTACTGAGGATGAGACACTTGCATCAAATTTTTCCTAGGATTGTCACCTTAGGAATTAAAAGGCTTCTAGCATCAATTCTGCTTTGTTTTTTCAGTGCAAGTTATTAAAATACAATGATTTACAACACTCCTTTGGAAAGCAGGCTATCGTAATTTTGACATGAAGGTTATAAATGCTGAGACTCCTTCAGACTGTTTTAAATAAAAAAGCAAGCTGAATGTAGAAGCTGGACACAGGGTTAGTAGACCAAATAAGGAATGGAGGAAGTGACATTGAGCCATATGGAAAATTATTTTCTTAGCACTACAGATACAGACCATAAGCAGTTAAAAGTTATACTAAGTTCTATCAAAACTAAGACAAGACTGTTTTTAATTCCTTCATCACCTCAAGCTTGATGGACATATTGCGAGATTGTGGGAAGGAAGGCTTGGCACACATGGAAAGGCTAACTCAAGACTCTTGTAACAGAATAGCTTACGTCATATTCTGCAACTACTTATCAGAAGAGGCACAGAACTCCCAAACTTCAAGAACTGTGAAGTGTTGGCCATTTACCCAGGAAACAAACTAGTCTGCTCAATACAGGAAATACTGGGCTACCAAGGGGACTGTATCATACTGCATCACCTCACTCCAGAAAGTCAGGATATGGCTGTAGCTTGAGAAATGCTTGGATGATGGAATAATCATCTTCTGGTATGCAGCCATAGTGTTACAGTTATAACAGCGTGGGTGACTAGGGAGACACTACCTGTTCTCCAATGAACTAAACTCTAATTATAGCTGAGCCGCTTCTTCTATTTATAAAGCTACTCAAAGATGGAATTACAGAGGACTTCTGCCAGCAACTAGAGGAAAAATGCCTTCAAAAATTTGGTTCCACTACTAGGAGCCCACACAGTATGGTGCTGAAGTGTAGAGCTCAGAATATCTAGTGTGTGTTAACTGATTTGTAGCAATACCCCCCAAATATTGTTCCTATTGCTGACTGACTTTCACTCCATGTTACCGCTCTACCTGCTGGCAAAATGCTATTAAGAAGGTTCAGTACTCACACGCCCGATTTGACTCTTATATAAGGGTTTTTTTCAACATCCAGCTCTTCTAAATTGGCAACCGCACCCTGTATGCAGATAGGACGTCCCTCTGTACCACCAGCTGCCAGGCAGAACTCTACCTCTGGAACGCCACAGTCCTGCAGAAACAAATCAAAGGGTAACGCTTAGCCACGCTTGCAGAGTCTGCCCCATCACAGCAGGGGAAGGACTGGTAACATTTCCTTCTTTTTTCCCCTGTCTTCTCACCCTTCTAACCTAACTCCAAGGCTTCATATGATGGAATGGGTTTAGTTTTTTTTAAACAGAAACTGGAATTTTTAGAAAAGCTAAGGGAAGTAAATTTCCAGCTCCCACCAACTTTCAAAGAAGAACTATGCATTTATGCCTGTTGGGCTACTTTCAAAAATCTCAGTTTAAATACACTCCAAGTAAAGGATCTGACAGTATTTACTGATAGACAAACCATGCATATAATACTGTTAGGTTGCTGGCTTTTTTTTTAAAGACACTGCTTCCATAACACACATATAGATAGATAAGTATGATGCGTGCATAACTAAAACTTCTTAGAAATGTCTACTACATTCCCGCCTCCCTCCCTCAGCAACAATTATGTTCTGTAACGCACCCAACTATGGTTTGAAGCCATGAATTCAATTTTCTGTCATGCTAAATAAATCTACAGCATTTTAGACGAAGAAAGAAAAAGTAGTACTAAAAAATGTTTGTTTTGTTAGGTAGACGCTTCAGCAATTTTCCTGTTACTACAGAGCAACAACCTCTATTACCCTACTGGAGGTTTTCTGCGGAGAGATACCTTGCTGGAGAACAACCTGTTGAACACATGATCTTCTCTAGAATTTGCAGGGATGTTACTGAACCACACTCATTTCATAATATTCATATAAAATGCATCACCAGTGCTTTCTTTAGCAGCATTCAAACACACCATGACTCAGCGAGGACCTTCTATAAGGCTCTCCTTCAGCCTTGCCTTACAGAACAGTCTTCCTGTTACAGTGAAAGGCGGCTCACGTGCTTACAGGGTTTGCTCAGCTGTAGCTGGAAACCTTCACTTCTCAGTGATAACTTCACACCACCCTTCCCCTTATCCTCCTGCCCCACAGGCCCATTCACATTAGACCACACGGCTTGGACAGCATAAAGAGACCCCGAAAGTCCTAAATGTGGCTGGAGGAAGATGCCCCTTGCACGTGCACTAGAGAAGAGGGGTGAGAAGCTGTCCCTGAGGGTGCCCTCAGAGAAGCACCTGGTTACTGAATTTGTGAAGAACCTAAGCAGAGTCACATTGTGACAGAGATCCTACATGGCCTCTGCCAGACCCGAAAGGCAAAACACAAGAGCTTACATAGAAATCCAGCAACAGGCCACAAAAGCTCTTAAAAGTTACAGTAACTCATCTCATGCAACACCTGCATGCTCTCCTTTTTCGCATAGGTTTTGAGTGGAGCTTTCAAACGATGGGAGTAACATCCCACCTAGAAATACCTCTCTTCTTGGTTAGCAAAGTTCTTTCAGTAGTTATTTAACTGTCAGCAATTAATGTGGCAATTGTAACAGATGAATTTCAGGATATTATTTCACCTTCCTCATGAGACTTGAAGTAATGCAATATACTGTTTTGGCAACTCTCCCTCATGCATAATTGTGTTTCCTATGTATTGTACCTTGCAAACAATGTACACTATTTGTTTTTAGAATAAAAACTGCGATACCAGAATTTTTACTCTCAGATGAGCAAAACGAGAAAAAATATAAAAAAAGACTTTCTAATAGAATGCTACTTTATAGCTAAGTGCTAAGGAACACCATAACTCAATTCTAACTGTATTGCCAGACAACTTTAAGAAAAAAAATCTCATCGTATTCACATGTATAGATATATTATTAAATCACAGTTAGAAAACTTGAAGTTCGTGTTTTTTTTTTCTAGTAAAGCAGATATGTGATAAGGCTGAAATGTGTGAATCCAAAAGAAAATCAGAAGTTGCACCTATAAGAATTCCACAAATAACAATGCTAGACTCTTAATGGTTTCAGATAAATTCTGAAACAAAGCATCTACAAGACTAGACAAGTGGCAAAATAAAGTATCTTTGCCTGCAGGCTCAGACAGAATACGAGACAGAATATGTTTAACTTTAATTCAGTAGGAGGCTTTTGTGTGTGCTTTTTTTTGTTGTTGTTGTTGTTTTTTTATTATTATTATTTTTATTTGAAGATTGGAAAAAGCCAGTCTGTATTCTCTTTTCAAGTTTGCTCTCCTGACTCTGAAGCTCACGAGGCAGGCTCCACCTCAAGAGATGAAGAATGTAGCAGTTCTCCAAAGTGCAGGTAAAGCACAAGCACTTATAACAAAATCTTTCCTATTTATCACCATCTCTCTCCAGCCAGATTTGGACAGTCATATAAAACCCTCTACTCATTGTGATGGTATTTTTGTGTGTGCTAGATTAAGTCCAGAAAGTTCTTTCATGAAGTGTAACATAGTAAACTGTGGTCTTCAACAAAAGCAATTCAAATACCTATTTTTAATGGTAATAACATGTTTGAGTAAGAAGTACATTGTGTTTTCTAAGCACATTTTTTTAAAGTCACAAATATACATTTTGACTTAGATATCAAGTTCAATTTACATATGTTAATTCACAGACTGCAGAAAACGGTAAAATTTAGAGTTAATGTATGAAGCGAACACTATATATTTGAAGATATACACTCAGGTGCTATGCCATTAATTTATATAATTTAAGCATGTAAACTTTGGCTTGGCAAATATTTGCCCTAGCATGTTCATATTTGCCTGAGCAAATTTAATAGGCTCATTACCTTCAGAGGCTTCTTTAACATTCCTAATAAAGCTACCATCTTTACAAACAAAATGAAAACCACACTAATTTGATAGCATTCAGGTTTAGAACTAGATCCTTCAGTCCGAAGCCCTTTCATTTGCAAGGCGTCAAGATTTTTAAATAAGATATCCACATGCAAAACTACTCCCATGCAAAACTATTACCACAGTGTTTCAGGCCAGATCCAAAACTGGAAAGTTTCCTCCCTATATACCCTTCTGGCCCTGCCATCCCCCATCATAAGCAGTCAAAAATCATGTCATTCATTATCCTACTGACACGTCAGGGAAAAACAGAATAAAAAGCACAGCAAACAGATTAGGTAGCTGTGTTCATTTCCAGTGATAACACACAACCAGCAAATGCTTAGGTAGGACACAGCCTCCAGGCATCCCACTCTGTCTTCCTTTACTCTGAAATACTCTCCTATCTCCACAGGGTCATCCTGGAATGCCTGTGCTTTCCTCATGGTCTCTTTGGAGCAGAGATGTTTACAAAAGCACAGGGAATACTCATGCTAGCTTGCAGAGAACAAACACTTCCAAAACAGTAACATGGCCTTCAGCAGAAAGGGTAAGGCTTCTTCAGAAGAGAATTAAGACGACCCTCAAGACCTTAGCATGAAATATTACTCTTCAGCAGCATCTTGGACATTTTTCTAGTCTGACCAAGAGCTTCACCAGAAGTGAGAGACCTTGAGCCCTCAACCCCCTCAAGGTGATATTGGCTGTTGACCCTTCTTTTGGCTCTAGGGTTACAGGCCTAAGCACTAGCAGGGCTAAATAATCTCAGCACTGTTAGGTCTTCTCCTCAGACCTGTAAACTGTGGTGACTGAAGTGATCAAAATAGCCTATTTAAATGAGACAGCCTTTTATGTCAACAATAGGACAAATAATGACTAAAATCTGGCTTCTTAAGCTAAATGCGAAAACAATGATGAGAGAAGAGTCTATTGAAAACCAGGCCTAATTAGTTCTGGTATTCACATGATTGCTTTTTAATACAGTCTAGACATACATCTTACTTTTGATACACAGTTTGCCCTTAGGATGTGTCAGCTTCTGCAGCATTTTTTATTTTAAATCTTACTCACTGTCAGTCCTCCAGCCTTTTTTACCCATTCATAATTCTTTCTCCCAGTTCTCCTGCTTCGTACCACTCTTCCTACCACCCATCACCACCAAACCAAACTACAGAACTCAACAGGTCTGGTACTAAAATAAAATAATACTAGGGAAATTAATGATTAATGTCTTGTAGCTACCAACTAGCAAAGGAGACGATCTGAAGCTGCTGGGAGTCTTCCTATAGCACCTGACAAAGTAGTCCCTGCTTGAAATAATAACTTCTTTTCACCTAGCAAACCGCACAAACAAAAGAAACACACCCTTCATGTAATGCCGTGAACATTCCCATTACAAAGAGCTTTGCTTAAGGAGAGTCCACAAGGAATCCGGTTAATCCCTGCCTAACCAACTTGTAGACTGATTATAAACTGCTGTTTCAGATCTCTTCATCACCTTGCAAAGTAGTGATTTACAAGATCACTTCAGAATGGCAACATCAGCAACTCCTCTCAGCTCTTGTTTTTGGAAAAATAACACTTAGCACACTCTTCGGGCTTCCAGAAACACAGAAAAAGCCCTCCAATTCAGTAAAATCAAGGTATGCATTTGCAGTAGAACAGAGAACTGACTTGGCTAAACAGACAGTGCTGCAGGAACTGCATTGAATCTGTGTGTGCAGGCAGCCTTTGCCAGCCTAGGCTCACGATGGCTTGCCTTAATGGAGTTCAGACTCCCCATTACTTCAAATAGGTCTGCAATTTACTAGTTGCATGATCTGTTCCTTTGGGATCTTCCCTCCACCCCAAGTTTCTTCAAATTAAACACACATGGATACATCTAATATGTACCCACAGTAAGTCAAGCCGCAAGCTAACCACAAAGCTAACAATTGCTTTTTCTAGAGGCTTAAAGCCATTTCAGAGCATAAAGCTACTGGTAGACAGTTTCTCAGCAAACTAACATCTGCCAGTAAAAAACAAGAATAATATTAAATATACCTCCTACAGCTTCTTTAGTAAACATCTGTTTTTCTCTTCTTTGCAAGCCATTTTCTTCTCAAATATTCAGCCAATTTTCAAATCTGCTAACTCAAGGCATCTGAGCAGCCATTAAACAAGCACCATAAAAAGCCACTTGAAGAATCAGAAGACAAGCCAGACAGCCTGGACACACAGCCAGTGTGACCCAACTAAGACAGAGAAAAGTCACTGAGCTACCTAGCCTATGAAAAAGAGAATGACAGTAAAACATAGGATCCTGCAGATCCCATATACGAGCTGCCTGAAAAAGAAACAGCTATTTGTCAATTAAAAATAATGCCTACATTAAAAAAAAAAAAAAAGTAGCACTTTGGCAAACTACCTTCTAAAAGCAGTTCCAGACCAGCTGAACTACAACCTGAAAAAGAGGGATGCTTTCATGAATCAAAGTTTAGAGGACAAAACCTGGCTAAGCAAGTTCCACACCCACACTAGCTCTATACAGCTCTATGGACTAACAGCGAAAGTCCTCCCAACCAACCATACCTGCCAGAGGTTGATAACATGAGATACAGTGTGCACTACTGAACTAGTGTACTGTAACAAAGCTTTCCATCTGTGTTCCATACAAATGAGCCACGTACTGGAAGAACAACAACGCCTGGACCTACTTAGCTGTATTAGACAGATTTTTATCAAGCATGATGAAGCTAACCACAGTGTCTTTCCTATCCAGTGGTTTTCTTTGATACCCAAGACACACTCGGCTTCCCTTGGCTTCAGACCATAGTTCCACATGTTATTGTGGTATTTCTTTAATTATTTAGCTGCCTTACACATTATTAATCAATATTCATATTCCATATTGGTCAAATGCTTTTAATTTGTTTAGCTCAAAGAAATGTTAAGTATTCATGCCCTCAGCCAGTGTCTTTTGAATTTATTGTTAAGTCTTTAAGAGAATGAAAATGTATTTCTAGTTGTTATTACATTATGCCCCTGTATTGACAACAAAAAGTTTATCAATTTTAAAACGACCTCTATACCAGCAGAGATCAGAGAAACACCAGCTTTTCTGAATAACTTTCACACTGCAATACAAACGACAACTCACTCACAGTAAAGGGCCATTGCCCTGTGAATAACTGGAATGTTATGCTAAATGAGAGCACTAAGTCTTCTTAAATCACAAGATCTGGTAAATATATTCCTCATTCACTGAATAACAATGGTTGCATTATATTTAGTTTTAGGCATTCGATTCCTATCTTTTCAACAAAAAGCCTTTTAAACTTCTGGCTGTACACAGAGCCAGATGCTGTAGGTGTACCACTTGTCCTCATGGAAATCCCACAGACGGCAAAAGCTGCAGAGGGAGTGACAGTAATTTTTGGAGGCTGTGTTGCACAAATGGGATTGAAAACCCAACTACTAACTTCTGAAACAGAAGCCATACAGACACAGTAGATAGTTTACACTTAAGATAAACACTTCTTTGAAAAAATATTAATTCACTCCATTTATTTTCAATTAACTGGACAGGTAAACATCTAAAAGGAGGGGAATCACTCTGTCAGGTAAAGGTGATGGCAAAGAAAGATAATCCATCTGCTCATTACCTTCAGGAAGAAAGGGAAATTTAGCACAGCAAACACCCTGAAATTTATCTTGAAGGTGAAAACTGTGATTCATAGCAAATTTTAATAAAATTAGAAACACAGCATAAACACATTGACCACTGCTTGTAATATACCACTATTACCAACAGAAAATATTTATGTATGCAAGTATATTATTAACAAAGTCTATACCTTTGTTACATGTTTGATTGAACCAACAGTGAGGTTTCTTTGACGATGTTTCATGCCCGGGAGATCCCAAAGGTGATCCAGCACAGCCTCTCCTTCTTCTAGTACGTATTTCCGACCTTGGAACTTTGGTTTCTCATAAAAAATCCAGCTGTAATAATGATATCATGAACTGAGTTGCTGCTGTTAGGCAAAGCTGTCCCTATACAGCACATCTGCTGGAAAGCTCAGTAATGAGCTCTTCTTATCAAGCCAACTATCAGACCTTTCTTATGCTGTTCCTTGTCATGTTCGCTTTAGATAAATACGGGGCTTGTAGTTCTGTGCTTTAAAAGTAAAATACACAGTTCTCCTCCAGGACGTAGCTTAACATAACTTAAAATATTAACTGTATAAAAATACAGCTAAAACAATGAAAAAACAAAGAGCCTTATTTTACCAGAACAAATATATTAATTGACGTATCAAAACATGTCCTGTTCAGGCAGATACTATGCAAGGCATAAAACATATACATATTAATAATGACATTCAGTATTACTTAGGACATGAGGGAAATAGATGCAAAATCAATGCTGTCAAAACTGCATAAATGTGACTTGCATTGTTACTATGGCTGACAGTCACACACTCACTGTAAGCACCACCAAATAAATTCCAGTGCAACAACTGACATGGTCCCAGCCCTAGCTTCCCCAAGCAAACAGAGAAATACTTGCAAAATCTACCTTAAAGGTACATGTAAATCCTTCTGCATCCACATTCCTCTAAATGCTACATTAAAAACAGCAGCTGTGATTGTTCATTTTATGTTCCTTCTGCAACAGCTACCATATAATGAAACCAAACTGTAAAAAAATCTCATTTTTTTGGGCATAGACATACTTCTAACGATGATTCTGGCTGTACTGTCTCAGCACTTCAGGCAAGAAATCTAAACTTACTTGTGGTTCTATTAAAATCTTTCTGTTTGAAGCTAGTTCCCAGGAGAAACAATATATTATTTCTGTACTGCAGCATTTGAAGCCTTGTTTCATGCTTATTCCATTGGTATTAGTCTAATTATAAAGAAAAAAAAAAAAAAAAAGACACTCTTCCAGATGCGACATGTGTCATAAATAAAAAAACCTGAAAATACAAAACACATAGACAGTCTTTTGGAAAATCTCTATTTAAATATGACCTGGATTTCTTACCATCCTCTAATTATCCTAAGTAATGCTCCAGTGGGAAAGATCCAGGACGTGGTGTCTAGCACATCAGAATGAACTTCTTGTTTAGTTTTGTCACCATAAATATCATATATAATAATCTGAAACAACATACAAAGCATACAAATGAGAGCCCATTTCAACATACAGTGTAGACAATTATTCTTTTGCTTGGAATAAAACCTATTTCACTTTGTGCCCAACTCAATTGATAGACTGCTTCTTTTATGAAACACTCTACTGATCTAAACGAGCAGTTGCTGACAGAAATGCAGTAAAATTACTAGTGGCAGGATTTTTATTAATATAATCTCATTATTAGCATATGCAAGCAATCATTAAATTACAGAAAACCAGATAAACAATTTCAGATGCTTTCCATTCAAAAAATTTTGGTGTAACAAAATTAGCCCATGTACCATGTTGATCTATGTGACACTAATTCTGCTTACCTTTCCTGGTCTTGGATTGTATTTGAGACTTGCCCTGTCAATGAGGTTCTGAAATGAAAAGGACATGGAGAACAACTATTAACATCTACACCAGTAGCACTAAGCATAGCCAGATTATTCTGGGTCCACTGTTTCTATAAATGTATGCAACTGCCACTAGAAGAAACAACTAAGATTTGTTTCACTGTCGTTCAGAGTTGGTGTAAATAGTTTAACATAATCAAACAATCAGCAGAAAGCAGCAAGTGTTAGAAAGGAAGAACTATTATAGAAGCTATAACTTCTGGAAATCTATTACCCTTTCCCAGCAAACAATAAACTGCATGTCTTAACAGGGGCCAAACCAAAAGAGACCTCTAACACAGGCTGAAATATTCCCAACATCACGGGAATACTTCCTTCTTCAGTTATGCATTTGGTCTATGTGGCATTTTCGATTTCTAACTATTGGAAGAACTGTTTCCATATGCCCATCTGCCCTTGCTTCAAATAAATTAAAAAAGAAATGCTAATCTACAAAAGCAATTATGTTACTTATTTGCTAACTGAGCTACAATTTGTAGAAGACTTTGTGATGAAACAATCAAATAGCTCAGTAAGCAGATATTTACATTTTTTGGACAATACAGCTCTACTAATCTCAGAATTGGAAGAAACAAAAGAAGAATTTTCATATAAAAGGCAATTCCATCATCTTCCAGTTGAAATGTTCTTAACAGGGATAAGTCTGTGTTTTGCTATTATACTTACTATTATGTGTATTTTCCTATTATTTTTTCTGTTCATATCTTCTGTTTTACAATTAAGTCACTTTTATCTGCATGCTGAACCAAGAAAACTTATTTTTAAAAGTTATTTGATAAGAAGACTTTTTTTTTTGAACTGTGATCTTAAACAGCCTAATTACTTTTGTTTATGATAAAAGAATTTAACCTTAAAAAGAGAGGAAGGTGAATAGGGAGACAGCAACTTTGAATCTGGGCTAATCACTTTGATTATTAATATTATGTGACATGTCATCTTACCACTGACAATTCTCGCAGTTTTGGCATGGTGGTGTCTTGAGACCAGTGAATCTTTGGCTGCAACATATCCTGGAGAATGCTTCCAAACCTGGTCCCCTTCTCGAAGGAGCAATTGCTAGCAGATTTCAAATACTGGTAGTACACACTCGTAGGAGGATGCCTTAGAGCACAATCAGCTTTCTGTGAAACTGGCTTACAAGGTGTTTGACAGGGAGAAGCCACATCTGGAAACAGTTCTGGTTGCTTCTTAGAGTCATGTTGTTCTTTTGAAAGAAAAAGTGATTGTTCAGGAAACAAAGATCTATTTTGGTCATTTGACTGAAAGGTTGTTTTTAAATTCCCTCTCCACTGGCTCGATAGACAGTCGTTATCTCTCTCAACATCAAGCATACTTTTTTCATATGATGATTCTTCATTCTCGTCCTCCACTCCCTCCTCCTCCTCCTCCTCCTCCTCCTCCTCCTCTTCACTCAACTGAGTAGTAAACTGCAAGCGCTCAGAAACTGACTGAAGAAGGGAAAGCACAGAAGCATGGTCAGTGTTATCTTTAGATATGCCACTAGGATTGCCTTCTGGCGACATGTCTGTGGAAAGTAAATCTTCTTGGGAGCTGTCATCTTCGTATATTGGAGACAAAGATAAAGGATATACTCTATAGCGCTTGGCCTCCACACTCAGAAATGACTCAGAGCTATGGCTATCTGTTGCTTCATTCAACCTGCTATCCTTCCCATAAAGACAGGCTGGCTCATGTGTATTCTTTGCTCTTTCACACATTAGATGATCTATATTATCTGAAGGGAAATCAGAAGAAGTGAGTGAACCAGTCTGCATATCATCAGTTGAGATAGATTTGTTTTCCATTTGAAGGGCACCTTCATAAATTATAGTAAAAGAACTGTTTTCCCACTGTTCAATTAGTGGAGAAAAGGCCAAAAGATCTGTTGATTCCTTCATGTCATTACTGCAGTCCAGACCATTTTCTTCAGGCTGATCATTTCTCTTCATGTCTTGATCCTTCACTTGTACCTGCTTCAGCTTCTCATTATTTTGGGAAAAGACTGTGTTGAAACAGTTTTTCCCTTCACTGTCCTCTCCAGTAACAGACAATTCAGGTATAATGAATTGTGTATTTAATCCAAGATTAACCTCTGCTATCTCACTTGCCCCTTCTGCTAGTTCCTCTTTACTCTCCACTGCCTTTGAATCTTCTAAGGTTGCTTTTAGTTGTGCAGCTACTTCTTCTGCAGCCTCTCTTCCGCAGTGTTCATAGAGAGTGTCCTCTCCACTGCTATCCAGAGATCCCCAAGGACTGCTTTTGTCTTTGGATTCACCCTGCATGCTTATACATTCTTCATCAGGCATAAAAGATGACAAATTAACATCTACAGTTGGCAGCAATGTGCAGTCTAGCATATTTGTATTATTGCATGCATCTTTTAACTGCAATGACAAAAGCAGCTCTTCAGTCACAGTAGCATCTCTATGTATTAAACATAAAGATCCATCAGATTTTCTACTAGTTGCTGATACTCCAGCTTTGCCACACATCTCTGCTGCTGCCATGTGTTCACATACCTTTCTATCGTGTCTCTCTTCTGCTGGTGTCATAAGATCCAATTCTGGCCCTGCTGAACTACCAGCTGATAGAAATCCATTTGTTTGACAGGTAAATGCATTATTTGGTATCTTTTCACCTCTTTGGGGCCAAGATATGCCATTTTCCATACTATTTGGAAGCAAATTAGCACCTGAGCAATCCACCTTTTCACAGTTTACCGTTACACTCCGAGTTTCCTTCTTCTCTGTTGGTTCCTGTGTTTTGTCAGGTAACTTCATGTTCAGATTTAAAATCTTTGGCATTTCAACCTTAGGTCTAGGCTCAACCTTTTCAGAAGGCCTTTTATTCTCACTGCCTTGCCACTGACTGGATGCTAGTTTTTGTTTGGCTGAGTTAATGACTTCATCAGTTGTTTCTTTTGCTTTTAGTGCTAGTGCACCGTGTAGGTCAATTTTATCAGGGATGCAAGATCGTATCTTTTCATCTTGATTATTTGTATCCACTGTTTCATTTCCTGTAAATGAAGATGAGCCTCCTCCACTGCTCTCATTTGAATGGTTTAATGACTGAACAGCTGACTGGATTTCCTCTGCTTCCAGCTGTACAGTTTCAGCTTTCTGATCATTTAGAATATCCGTATTTATTAAACTACCCTTGATCCCACAAAGCTGGCAGACACCAATGGCTTGTTTTGCTACTATTTCTTCTATAGCCAAGTGTAAAACCGAGTCCACTATTTTCTCAGCTTTTTCAATCAAAACAGCAGTATCTTGGAATTCAGCACGTTCTTGTCTCTTCACATCGGTATCTTCCCATATGTCCTCAGAACAGAGCTCATTTGACTCTGCAGGTGCAGCAGCTGTTTGATTATCTGTTGCAGAAGGGCCTTCTGAGATAGCAGAAGCACAGTTACCAAAAATCACCTGTCCCATTGCATTTCCGCACGCAATCTCAGCACAGGCTGACTCGGATGCTGTTTCCAAAGATTTCAAAGGACAGATGGGTGATGGCATTGCCTCTGCCAAGACACTGCTGTCAGTCTGTTGCGTGGAGGAGGCCACCTCTGTCCAATTACTAGCTCTGTGACTGGAAGAATTACTCTTCCCCTGAGCAACGCCCAATATTTCCAAGGCAGAAACGGAAACGTTGGAGGCTTCTCTGAATCCCAGAGTAGGTGAAGTGGGACTGGGGATGCAAACACCCCCCACATCTACTCCAGCAGCAGAGCAATCAAGTGTAGCTGGAGTAAGGTCAGGCTCCAGAGAACCAGCCAGGCCCAAAGCTCTCGGGTCTCCTGAGCAAAGTGGCACCTTGGTCATTCTGTCCCCAGGGATTATTCTTCTAGACTCATCAGCTGGAAAAATAAAGCTGTCCTGTTCAGAAGCAGCACACCATCTAGCAATCTGGCCGTTTTCAGAGTCAGCCGCAGAAGGCGTCATTTTTCCTTGGTTGTCAGATGAAGAATCAAGCACTGTGGGTGATATCCTAGCCTTATTACTGTTTTCCTTCTTGGAATTTAAATTAATACACCTATCTTCAGAAATGGGTGGAAATTCAGAAATAATGCCTACATCAATATCCTTTTCACAGATGAAAGCAGAATGATTGGTCAAAGGTCTTCCTCCGTATCTCAAGGCAGAACAAGAAACCTCCAAATTTTTTTCTTGTGACTTAGAAATAGGAGAGGCAAGTTCAAAGAGGCCATCTTTACACTCAGAAGGAACAAGAGCAACCTCAGTCACACTAGCCTCCTCGATGTTAAAAGCAGCAGGAGTATGATTATCTGTCCTGTCAATGGTAATTAAAGCACAAGGTGCAGGATTTGCTGTGTTATCTTCTGTGAGTATAACTAACGCCTTGTCAGGAATGTCTTGAACAGTTTCAAGGAAAACAGGACCAGGGTTGTGGACAGGAATAGAGTTCTCCGAGAAGCTTATTTCTACAGGCTCAAAAGATTTGCTCTTCTCATATTCAAGATCAGGAAGAGAGAGTGTGTCTCTCTCATCTTTTAAGCTGTCTTCTCTTTTCCCTATAGTTTTATTTTTGAACTTGCAACTACGATGAAGAGAAGCTGAGCAACAGCCTCCACTTTCAAGAAAAGACTCACAGGTTACAGAGAGAGGTGCTGTCAGCTCATCGAAGTTAGATTTCACACTTTCACACCCATGCATGCATGGTGATACACTGGCATGATCTTCCACTGCAGCCTCAGATAAAACCTTCATTATTTGCACATCCCCAGTCTCCAGACAAGGTAAACCAGCCTGCTGTGTGTCAGTATACTTAGAATTCTGCACATGGATTAATTGGTGATCATTTTGTACGTGTATTGGTTTCCCTAACTCAGTCGGTTCTTCATCAGAAGTCCCCCTGCCCATGGCTATATCTTCATCGTTTTTAACAGATGACAAGGAAGTAGTCAGATTACCTGTCACTATGCATTTTTCTCCTTTGGAATCCATGCTAAGCAAAGTGGGTATTTGCTCATTAAATGGTAAAAGAACAGTAGCAAGAAAGTTCTGTGGATTTTGATCTCTTTCTACAGCTGCCACAATTTTCTGTGTGTAATTTTTTCTTGGATCACTGTCTTTATTTGCACTATCTGTATGCTGATCTTCTTGCTGCTGAAATGTAGTGGTACTGGAATGATGCATTTGGCCATCCAATATTACCTCCGAGTGACTATCCATTTGATGATTACAGCAAAATTCTCCCTTACTCACCTGTAGTTCTTCATTAACTGTCTTACTTTCTGATTTGGGTGAATGTAAACAATCATCCTGCACTTCTTTTGTGGACTCCTGATTGGCTGTTTTACTACAATCATTTTCTTTATCGAAGTTAGAAGTGGCATTTTTGTCTGTCTGAAACAGACCTGCTGCTTCTCCCAGAAGTCCATCTTCTTTTCTGACCAAATTGTTTGCAGAACTCATTTTAAGGGAATTGGTAATCTGAGAAGTGGAATTGGTTAGGATCTCACTTTTTCTACTACTAGATGACAATAATGAATCTAGTGAATGTGTCCTTTTAACTTTTGTGGCAGGTAAAGTAGGTGTATGTTTTAAGTCTATCTCATGAGACAATTCAGTAGATGAAGTTGTGGCCTTTGCAGTTACTTCATGTTTACTGTTACCCAAGCAATGCTGAGCTTTACCAGACTTACTCCTTCCCATTTTAACTGCGGAAGAATTTACTATAGCATCATCTTCATAAGCTTTACCCTCATCTTCTCCATTTTCTTTTACTAAGTGTCCTGATTTTTGAGAGACCCTTGTTTGGATTTCTCCATTTTCTGTAACCATGGAAGCGTTTCTGTTCTCAGTACTTTGTTCTCCTTTTTCAGCCACTTCTGACTGATTCTTCAGTAGCTGCCTAATCCTTGCAGAACCTCGGTACGTTGCATAAGTGACTGCAGGTGCTTCTGGCTTCCGTTGTATCTGCCTGAAACAAGGACCATCATTATCAGCACAAAACAGACTATCTAAATAGGTAGTGTGATAATAAACGTTAACACGAACTGCAGATGATGTACAATACTGTCTTCCTCCACAGGTTAGCACAAACTGTAGATTGAATGCAACACCATTTTCCTCCTTTTTCTGCTCTTCCTAAATATGGGTTTGTGTGACAAATGATATATATGCTACCTTTTACTGAAAAAGACAACTTAAACTATAAGCAAAAAGTAGATATCACTATAAACAACCTCCATCATTTACTTCCTACTAGACAATGGAATTACTATTTATAAATGCCACTACAAGTCAACATTTGCAGTGACAAAAATAAACATGCTTTTGTGAAGATGTTATATACTACTAAACCAGGCCTATATTTTAAAACTAGAAAAAAAGAAAGTTACTGTAGTAATGTTCATTGATATATTGAATTTAAATTTAAATTTTTACCCAAGCTCTCAACATACTGTTAAGGAACGGAACAAGGAGAAGCAAAACATATGAAGAAAATAAAGTATACAACAGGGGATGCTTTCTGAACCACCGTGTGGTAAGGAAAGAGTGTGAATAGAGATCAAGTGAGAATGAAGACTGCTTGAATGCTGAAAGAAATATGAAAAAAAGCAGCCTAGAAATGTGACAAGAAATTGGTAGATCTAGCCATTCATTAGTCTTGTATTTAGTAGCAAAAGATGCAAATGAATAAACTAACAAATGGAAGAATCTCCATGGAAAAACTGTGATCCTAATCCTTCACTGCTCTTTCTGACAATACTAAGGATAAATTCAGAGCCTGTCACTTTCAATTTTCTGAAGAAGCAGCCTTCTGTCTTTTTTTAAAACTAAAAGACATCACAAATTTCTTTCTAATGCTTCTCTCCTCTCCCCTATTTTTTTGCCAGTTAAAGAAGTCTCACAAAAATCAGGCAGTGATAAGAAAAATGTGACCGTCAGCTTTTCCATTCTTCATCTTAGGACAAAGCAGGTACTCAGACGGTGCTTAAACTCCATTTTGCCTCACCCTCCACCTCAAGGAATAACAAGCCCTTTCAAACTCTTATCCAGTCTGCCCTAGGTCTGCTAACCTGGTGGCTAGAAGTGGCCATTCAGCTGTCTGGGAAACTGTCATACTCCTTTCAGAACAGCCTCTTGGGAAAAAAAAAAAAAAAAAAAAAGTGTGTATGAGGAAATCTTACCTAAAATTTTGATTTCTAATATAAAAACATTGCAGTAGGTGAAAAATATATTAATAGCATTTTTAAAAGCCCTCTGAAGCCTACCATTAGTTCACATTTATTGAGAAGTTATTACAGCTCTAGATTTGAGAACAAATAATTTAAGTGAGAAATAGAACATAAATTTACTAAGAACGGCAAAATAAATGATGTTGTTTATTTGAGTATCATTGACTAACTGTAACTTCAAGTATTGTCTTTATGGATTCCGAGTATGTAGTCTCCCAACAGGTATAGAACAACATAAAAATTGAATGGATTTACCAATCTAAAATAGAATCTCTTTTCTGTCAAGGTCTTAGAGGTCCAGATTCATACTTCAATTTTATTTTGAAGAGGGAATTTAATACTATTTAAAACCACAAGTAAACTCCCTCCTTGTACAGTATTTGGACATGCAAAGATTACAAGTGAACTAGAAGTGAAATTATTCATACCCATAAACATTAAAACAGAGATATAAACATTCATTTATATGCATGTTTTGCATGCCAGGTATATTTAGGCTAATGTGAAAATACATGAATATGGGAATTTAGACATTGTGAGAACTTGAAAATTAAGTTTGTGTTGGGATTAAATTCACTGAAATCTTTGATGAAGGCTACAGCAGAATCTCAATATATGGTTTATTAGTCAGGTATATTAAGTTACAGAGGAAAGAGGAAAGTTGTGTATAAATAGCATGTCTCTCAACCATTTGAAAAGTTAGATGCCTACATTTAGTCTTCTTTACCACTAGTTTGTTTTCCAGAGATACCAACAATGGTAGCTCCTAAACATCACACACCATTTGTTAAACTTGCTGTCTTCAGCATTCACATGTCTTCAAAGAAAAATACTCATTTCTGAGTGAAAGAAAACTAAACACAATTGAAGAAGGGGTAATAGAGAAAAAATTAAGATTTTTTTTTTTCCTTAAAAAACCAAAACCATTATTTTCCACTTCCTCACAGAATACTTTCCTCTACATTAGAAAATATTTTCCAAAGCTCCAGAAAACCTAAAAATCTCAGGAGAAGGATCTGAGGAGTTCTACAGTACACTCTATTCACTCAGTATCAGAGAGTCATAGCAATAATAAAAATAAGTCTTAAGAAAGTAAGACCTGATCATGGTCTCATTCAGAATTAACCTTACTGAGTATCCTCTCCATTTTCAGTTAAATTACAATGGAGTCAAAATGTTTTAAGTAATTGCTATTAAGCTTTTACAAAATCCATCAGCTCTCCTGTCCTGGTTTGGGCTGGAATAGAGTTAATGTTTTGTCTTAGTAGCTAGAATAGTGCTGTGCTTTGGATTCAGCATGGGATTTGGTATGAGAAGAATGTTGATAATACACTGATGTTTTCAGTTGTTGCTGAGATTTCAAGGACTGTCCAGCTGCCCATGTCCTGCCCGTTCATAGGTACACAAGAAGCGGGGAGGGAGCATGACCAGAGCACGGGACCCAAATTGGCCAGTGCAATATTCCATATCATGTAATGTCATGCTCAGTGTATAGATAAAGGGCAGCCAGGAAGGAGGTGGTGCACTTTTGCTTCCGGGATTGCAATTGAGGGATCTTGGTATTTTGGGATCACTAGCTGGAAACAGGCTTAGTATCAGCAGGTGGTGAGCAAACACATTGTGCTTTGCCCATTCATACTTTCTATTATTGCTATTTTTTTATTTTATTACCATTATTAAACTGTTTTTATCTCAACCTACGAGCTTCCCTTCATCCCTCCCCCATTCCCAGGTGGAGGAGGGTGGGCAAGCAATTGCATGGTGTTTGGCTGCTGACCAGGTTTCAAACCATTACATCTCCCATAGTTTGGCCAACCTCAGAATAAAATCGGTCTACAACTGTCCTGAATCCAGATAAAATTTCTTTCAAGAAAACAAACTGAACACAGATTGGTACCAATCCTCAAAACAAGTTTTATGGATTCTTGAAAAGGAAAACTGTAATAATACATGTTTAAAGTGAGCACATTAATGGTATTGGCAAGGTAACATTAATTTCCACCAAAACCAAGGCATTATTTTGACTAAACACCTTGATGACAGTTAACTTTTACCGAGTGTCTTTCATTTCATGGTTGATACTTTGTCTGATATACAGTGGGAAGAATTCAGAATTTATCTATAAACATGTGGCAAGAACTAGTGCTCTGACACAAACATGGAAAATGTTCTTCCGTTTCTCTCTGCCAACTTTGCCTTTAAGTTTTTCCCTTGAACTCAGCAATTCTTAAACCCAAAGCACCCAGAAATGGGATGAATAGGTTATTTTTACAGAAGATTGCCTACGCAGAGATGACAAGGAGAACCCAGCATGATGGGGTATTATATCTACATTGATCTGAGCTGCAGATCCCAACAAATAGTTATACCATTTATCACATATGGTCGGGCAAAACAAATGTACTCAGAAGTTTCTTTCTGCCTATGTGGTGCCTTTTACAATTTCTCCCAATTCTTTTTGCTCTCTGTCTTCTGACGGAATTTTATGCTCCAATTAATCAATTGGAAGTCTGAGTAAGACTCAAAGCAACTCCTCATCCTATGGTTGGCCTGTGCCAGTGTCTCCTAACACACAGCCCTGATTTTCTGCAGACTTCCTTCTACCAAGAGTTTCTGTACTGGATGCTATTATAAAAGGGAACCAACTCCTCCTCCACAGATGTGGCAACTTCAGGATCTCTGACCTTTGATAAAGAATTTGCTGCTCAGCATATTGTAAAAATGTTGTCAACAGACCTCTTAGTCCTAATGCATTTACTTTTAGACCACACAGAGGCACGTTCAATCTGAATGCTCACATGCAACAAGACATTTTAAAAATTACAACCCATGTTCCTATGCAGCAGCAGCAATTCAGTTGTAAGTCTTATGAAACATATTTAGAAGCAGGCTGTGTCACAGAAAATCTTTTGAAAGTGTCACTAGAGACTGGTTCCGTAGACTTTTAAAGTAACAACTCATTTCTTATCACCAAAAGAATATGTCAATTCAGAATTTACCTTAAAAACTCTTTTCAAAATTTTTTTTTTCAACTCATATGATACAGATGAAAGACTGATTATACACAGAACTCAGTGTGTATTCTGTCACATATTTCAAATACTAGGAGATTCCTTCTTTCCCTTCTTCATAGAAAGCTATTCAATTCCCTACAAAAACCTTAATTCAGTTTCACAAAAGACTGACAGCAACAAGAGAGGATGCTAACATGAGCTATGTTAAATTTGTCAAAAGTAGGTGCTTGCGGAGATTTCTTCTGAAAAAGAAATAAAAAGTTCAAGGGGGGGGGCTAACTCAAGGAGGAGAGCGGGACATCTTCTGATATCTCATATTACAGACATCTTGTATAACTTGCCCAAAAAGTGGCATTAGTTATACAACAATCTTGTTGGTTTTGAAGTCCTGAAGCAGGAAGAAACCTACTACCTTGAATGCCTCACCTTGGTGCATCAACAGACCACACTGTTTGCACCTTTTTCAAGTGTATGTCATCAAGATGGTGACCCTTTCCATCTTCATATTCGTACCATACAATAATGCAGAAATCAGACAAACCTAGGCTATTTTTGAAGAGATGGAGGAAGATCATACAACATGATACAGCACTACATGGGTATAGTATCTCAGATCCCCAGGCAGCACAGCTTCATTTGCACAGCACAGCATCCACGCTAGAAAGCCCTTCCAACCAGCACCACTGCTCAGCTCTGGGCTCACAAGATCAGGTTCAGCAGTGCCA